AGGGGCATTGCTGGCACATGATGGCATATATCACATTGGTGGATGTGCAGGTGAACGAGCCTCTGATAGTGTGGCTGATGTTATTAGGCCCTGTGATGGTGTCCCCTGAATAGATATGTGGGCACAATTGGCAACGGGCTTTGTTGCAAGGATAAGTTCCTGGGTTAGTGGTTCTGTTGTGTGGTATGTGGTTGTTGGTGAGTATTTGCTTCAGGTTGCGGGGCTGTCTGTAGGCAAGGACTGGCCTGTCTCCCAAGACTTGTGAGAGTGTTGGGTCATCCTTTAGGATAGGTTGTAGATCCTTGATAATGCGTTGGAGGAGTTTTAGTTGGGGGCTGAAGGTGACCGCTAGTGGCGTTCTGTTATTTTCTTTGTTAGGCCTGTCCTGTAGTAGGTAACTTCTGGGAACTCTTCTGGCTCTATCAATCTGTTTCTTTACTTCTGCAGGTGGGTATTGTAGTTGTAAGAAAGCTTGACAGAGATCTTGTAGGTGTTTGTCTCTGTCTGAGGGGTTGGAGCAAATGCGGTTGTATCGCAGAGCTTGGCTGTAGACGATGGATCGTGTGGTGTGGTCAGGGTGAAAGCTGGAGGCATGCAGGTAGGAATAGCGGTCAGTAGGTTTCCGGTATAGGGTGGTGTTTATGTGGCCATTGTTTATTAGCACTGTAGTGTCCAGGAAGTGGATCTCTTGTGTGGACTGGACCAGGCTGAGGTTGGTGGTGGGATGGAAATTGTTGAAATCATGGTGGAATTCCTCAAGGGCTTCTTTTCCATGGGTCCAGATGATGAAGATGTCATCAATATAGCGCAAGTAGAGTAGGGGCTTTAGGGGACGAGAGCTGAGGAAGCGTTGTTCTAAATCAGCCATAAAAATGTTGGCATACTGTGGGGCCATGCGGGTACCCATAGCAGTGCCGCTGATCTGAAGGTATACGTTGTCCCCAAATGTAAAATAGTTATGGGTAAGGACAAAGTCACAAAGTTCAGCCACCAGGTTAGCCGTGACATTATCGGGGATAGTGTTCTTGACGGCTTGTAATCCATCTTTGTGTGGAATGTTGGTGTAGAGGGCTTCTACATCCATAGTAGCCAGGATGGTGTTATCAGGAAGATCACCGATGGATTGAAGTTTCCTCAGGAAGTCAGTGGTGTCTCGAAGGTAGCTGGGAGTGCTGGTAGCGTAGGGCCTGAGGAGGGAGTCTACATAGCCAGACAATCCTGCTGTCAGGGTGCCAATGCCTGAGATGATGGGGCGCCCAGGATTTCCAGGTTTATGGATCTTGGGTAGTAGATAAAATATCCCAGGTCGGGGTTCCAGGGGTGTGTCTGTGCGGATTTGATCTTGTGCTTTTTCAGGAAGTTTCTTGAGCAAATGCTGTAGTTGCTTTTGGTAACTCTCAGTGGGATCATAGGGTAATGGCTTGTAGAAACTCGTGTTGGAGAGCTGCCGAGCAGCCTCTTGTTCATATTCCGACCTATTCATGATGACAACAGCACCTCCTTTGTCAGCCTTTTTGATTATGATGTCAGAGTTGTTTCTGAGGCTGTGGATGGCATTGCGTTCCGCATGGCTGAGGTTATGGGGCAAGTGATGCTGCTTTTCCACAATTTCAGCCCGTGCACGTCGGCGGAAGCACTCTATGTAGAAGTCCAGTCTGCTGTTTCGACCTTCAGGAGGAGTCCATCTAGAATCCCTCTTTCTGTAGTGTTGGCAGGGAGACCTCTGTGGATTAGTATGTTGTTCAGAGGTATTTTGGAAATATTCCTTGAGACGGAGACGTCGAAAATAGGATTCTAGGTCACCACAGAACTGTATCATGTTCGTGGGGGTGGAGGGGCAGAAGGAGAGGCCCCGAGATAGAACAGCTGCTTCTGCTGGGCTGAGAGTATAGTTGGATAGGTTAACAATATTGCTAGGTGGGGTGAGGGAACCATTGCTGTGGCCCCTTGTAGCATGTAGTAGTTTAGAAAGTTTAGTGTCCTTTTTCTTTTGTAGAGAAGCAAAGTGTGCGTTGTAAATGGCTTGTCTAGTTTTAGTAAAATCCAGCCACGAGGAAGTTTGTGTGGAAGGTTGGTTCTTTATGAGAGTATCCATTTTTGAGAGCTCATTCTTAATCTTTAATAATATTTCAGAAGTAGAAAGGTAAAGACATGACCACAAAAGGTCTGAAACATTATATCCAGGAAGATGTTACACTCGTGTTGAAGTAACAGATATACAAATTACATTGCTGTTTAGATCCCATTCCTTCATATGCAAAGCGTGGTACCTCTCACATGACCAGACCACAGAGGTTTTATTGCTTTTTCCATGCTTATCACAGAAAGAAGGGCATCTCATTATGTCATGTAGCTTTTTTTCCTCTCCCTTCCTTCTGGGAGAGGCCTCATCCCATATGCCTTATGCACCTGCAACTCATGAATAGAAGGTGGAATGGACATTACGGATAGTTTGAAAAAAAAAAATCCATGATTCCAGAAGGACTTTTGGCATTCCATGGACTTTTATTGAGAAAGCGGCAATGAAAAAATTAATAAAATGCACTAGGTTAAAACATACATCCCTGATAAATTAAGAACAAAAGCAAAGTAAACTTATTCTCACAAGGTTGAAAGTCAAAATAAATATTCCAAAGGCCATTCATTTATCTGTTCTGCCCAGCTATGACCCAGGCAATCCTCTTCCAGTTACTGAAGGCAAACTCTCCCAGAGTTCTGTCTTCCCTGTTATTCTAAAAGCCCAGTGAAACTCCAAAGCAAATTTCACACTCTTATAACACACACATATCACTGACAAAAACCACAACCAAGTGAGTTCTGAAACCATGAATCTCCATCAAGCAATGCTTGCATAACATACCATGTCTTGTGTGTGTCCATGTATGTATGTATATGATATACACTGATGCCCTCTACTGGATGAAATGTCAAATTGTTCAAGGGTTATCTTGTTACGGCATAAGGCCAAACTTATGTATATATTATTAATAATAATACACTGCCATAAGTATATTTGTTGCTTTACAAACAAATGAAAGATAGGCTATCTGCCCTGAAGAGTTTGCAATTTGGTCATTAGTTGGGGAAACTGAAGGGGAGGAAAAAGAAAGAAGAAACAACAACAACAAAACCAACAAACATGCACACAAGGATCAAAAGAAACTGGTGGAAAATTGCTAACACACATTGTTATCTTTTTACTCCCTCCTTAATATCTACCATTGTTGTGATTAGTACAAATCACCACCATCTCTGACTACTACCTTATATAATCACATCTGTCTCTCCCTTGCCCTCTACTTCCTACCCATTTGTCTGTGTATTCACCTGTTGCACATTAAATCCTGGATTGTGAACTCTCTGGAGCAGAGATTGCCTTTGTGTTATTTGTACAGTGCCTAGCATGATGGGACCCTAATCCCGGTTTGCAGTATCTGTTCAGTACCACAATTTAAATAAAAAGAAAAGGAGTACTTGTGGCACCTTAGAGACTAACAAATTTATTTGAGCATAAGCTTTCGTGAGCTACAGCTCACTTCATCGGATGCTTGCAGTGGAAAATACAGTGGGGGATTTATATACACAGAGAACATGAAACAACGGGTGTTACCATACACACTGTAACCTTTCCCTCCCCCACCCCCTCCTCCCCGCTCTCTTGCTGGTAATAGCTCACCTTCCCTGATCACTCTTGTTACAGTGTGTATGGTAACACCCATTGTTTCATGTTCTCTGTGTATATAAATCTCCCCTCTGTATTTTCCACTGCATGCATCCTATGAAGTGAGCTGTAGCTCACGAAAGCTTATGCTCAAATAAATTTTTTCGTCTCAAAGTTGCCACAAGTACTCCTTTTCTTTTTGCGGATACAGACTAACACGGCTGCTACTCTGAAACCTGATAATTTAAATAATAATCTCTAATTAGTGTATGGCATTTAGGACTGGTCTACACACAAAATTGCACCAGATTAACTGAACATGTGATGTTAAACAAATGTAGCTTGCACCTAAACTGCTAAAAACTAGGTTTAAACCATTGTTAGGGTCCACACACAAAGTTACATTGATTTAACTAAAATGGTTTACCATCTCATCTTTTATTATACCAGTGCAAGTAGACAAACCTCTAAATACCACAGTGATATATGCTTTGAATGACTTAGAGGAGACAGATTGAAGCATATATGAGAAAATACCTGTAATGGAGATTGTGCTGTAGCTCAAATGAGTGAGGCCTATGTTTCTGGAATGGAAGGTTTGGGGTCAATGCTACTAAACTACCTAAGACTAGATGATCTAGGAGTCCTTTAGGAGTCACAGAACAACTTGCAGGAGAGTATATTTACAGCATTGCTAACCTTTGCACTATTTGTACTTGTCTTAAAGCCCCAACTCCTGGATTCATGCAATTAAACAAAAGGAGGAAAAAAGCAAATTTCTAGCCGTCCTAGTTGTGGAGAAAAACCTTGGGACCCACATTCACACGAAAGGCTTAAAAACTAGAAAACGAATCAACTGAGCCAAAAGATATTTTTTAATAATCTCTGGATTTTTGGAGGCCTGGGCTCCTGATTTTTGACCACTTGCGATTGGAGATAACCCTGGAAAGTGTGTGTGTGTGTGTGTGTTAAGCTAACATTACAGGTGTTGCATTGCTGAGGACAAGAAACAACACACCTCTAAGCTGACATGAGGCACAGCCCCCTGATGCCGCCAAGCTGCAGTGCTTAGGGCCTCAAAGCCCTGGGCCATATATGTGGGGGAGGGGAGGGGAGGGGAGAGCGAGCAGGAAGGTTATGACGCCAGCCAGCCAGAGGAGAGAGCCGCCTTACCTCCCTGAGCGACAGAGCACCAGCGCCAGGAGAAAGACTACATCCCCCACAATGCACCGGCGGCCCATGATGGCGTCCCCGTGGCGGGAGGGGGAGGGCTGTTATACGCCGCCCGGCGGCGGGGGGAGGGGGAGAAGCGGAAGTGGGTTCTCCCCGCAGGGAGGCCGGCTGGGTCCGGTTCCGGGTGTCACCTACTTGGCGGTGCTGGTGGAGGGGGGGAGGAAGATGGCGTCGGACTTGGAGACGGAGGTTCAGGCTATTGACAGGAACTTGCTGGAATGTTCTGCCGAGGAGGCTGCCGTGGTGAGGCTCGTCCGCCCGCGGGCCCGTTAGGGGCTCGGTCCCGCGGGGCGGGGCGGGTATGCGGGCGGGCCGGCAGGGGGTCTGTAGGGCCAGGCCCGGGGCGGCCGGCGCTGGCAGGGGGGAGGCGGTCTCTAGGGCTGCCGGAGGGGAGGGGTGAGGCGAGGCCTGAGGGAGACGGGGCGTAAATGCGCTGGATGGCGAGGGGCGGTTGCGGCGGGGCTGTTCAAAGGGGTCCCGTGACTTAGGCTCATTCTGCCCCCTGCGTGTGAACTTGCTGCTGTGACAAGCCCGGCGAGGGGTGACGGGACCTGGAAGGGAGGCGCAGAAGCCGCTCTCCCGTCTGCCTGGCTTGTGCGCGTGACAGCCCTGCCGTGTAGAGTCCGCCCTGCTGTTTCCTCTCTCAGACCGGTCACTTGCCCCGTCTCTTGTTTTTCACTGACTGTGTTTCAGGTGGCTGGTTCCTCCTCCCTTCGCAGTTTTAAAGTGTTGTTCTTAAGATTTCTTGGGAGAAGGTTTTAGAAACAGTGTTTCCTTCTTCCCCCTCCTTAGCTTTTAGGTCCCAAGCTAGGAAGGAGCTTCATGTGTACAGACCCGTGAACGGCGTCCCATTGATTTCAGTGGGATTCTGTGGGAGAGCAGTGGCCTGCCCTCATGGACCTGTTTGCAGGATTGGGGCTTTCATAAGCAAGCAGTTTTGTGTTCTGTGCCAAGTGTGTTTGGGGTTATTAGGAGGAAAAGCCCAAGAGAAGATGTTAGTAAGAACAGTTTAATATCTAAAATTTCCTATGCTATTACATTGAGTTTTAAGGTACAACTGCAGGATGATGGACCTCTCATGCTCATGGAAACATTTAAGAGCACTGTGTTTAATGTCTCTCTTGTGGGACCAAGGCCCTGTAAGCACTTATGTATGAGAGTTCCATGATTCAGGTGCAGAACTCTTGGGTGTAACTAGCATCAGAGCCTAAAGCTCTTTGTATGTACATTTCAATGACAGATTTACAATTACTTATCTGGAGGAAAAAAAGACATTCCCGTAATTCAGATTATCATAGTATTTTTATTCTACTAATATGTATGTTACCTCTTTTAATGCAGATATGGGGTGGCAACTGTGAAAATTGATTTGTTCCATGTTTTCTCTGCATTTTATTTAGCTGGTGTGTTTAATGTAGGGGAATAAAAATACTTTGCATACAGTGGATATTTAAAAATATTTACCTACATAAACATGACTAGGTCACTGTCACAGGTTCTTAAAACGTTTACAAGGACTAGAGCAGGGATTGGCAACCTATGGCACTTGGCCCGCGCCGCTTCCTGCAGCCCCCATTGGCTTGGAGCAGCAAACTGCAGCCAGTGGGAGCTGTGATCGGCCAAATCTGAGGACACAGCAGGTAAACAAATTGTCCCGGCCCACCAGGGGGCTTACCCTGGCGGGCTGCATGCCAAAGGTTGCCGATTCCTGGACTAGAGTGTATTAGGTGGCAAAAAGCTATTACCAGAGAGTAAGGCTTTTGGGGAAAGGAGCAGCAAAGGAGCATGCATCCTTTTGCTTCTAATAAGAGCCTCTCATCCTGTGGTAAAATGTAATTTTTTCCTTTTTCTCCCACACATCACTTTACATACTGGTATTTACATCCTAAATTCAGTCATGGATTGATCTCTTTCAGATATGCAGTAATTACATCAGAGACTAAATTACAAGCTTTGTGGTGGTTTTATTGCAGTTTCAGTCTTCTAAAATGGAAATCTTTTGAGAAACATACATATACTTTTAATTATGTTTTACGTTTAAGTAAAATCACTTATACATGCTTTGCAATGTTGAGTTGACTTCTTGCAGGCTCATTGAGCGAGAGGTATTCCTGTTCTGGAACTGCCTCTGAGCCTTGCCTACTGATCTCCAATTGCCAGATTTGCTTGGTGGTAAAGCGGGCTTTGCCATATTCTAACATTCTTACTGTCAAAAAATGATTTCTATGTCACATTTTTCCTGTTACTCATTTTGTCAGCCAACTTTTTGGGACAGTTCAGGGAAAAACTCATTTGATCCTGCTCTGGGATACATTACTTTCTCCTAGTAGTCCATACTACTTTGCTTCTGATTTCTGTTTAGACAAGCCAGGACTTGAGTCGAATCTTAAAAGCCCCAGTGAGGTCACTGGGGCTCTGGACAGACATGGGGCATGTGGGTGGAGATGACACTACGCAGCTTGTGGCATTGGAGCCTAAAATTTCCACATGCAGTTACTTTGTATAAAATTTAGTATTTGCATATGCAGCTTAGCTTTAGCTTTGTCTTGCATGGGCAGATACTACAGCTTGTACGTGTAATTGCAATATTTGTCAGACAGATTAAGCAATCAGTTCATACATGTATTTGAAAGTGGAACCCTTGCTGAGATTTGATAGGCCTCAGAGTTTTATTTAGAAAATTAAGTTCTGTATCCTTGGCTAAATGTAACCTACTTCAGGGCAAAATTAAAAATAGATTTATTAAAACAGTTAATAATTTTAGAAAATATCACTGACTTTCAAGGATAAATTAGCAGTTTATGTGAGACCCTTACAGAGAATCTTTCTACCAGTATCAGAATAACCACAATTATTGGGAAGGGTAGGCTGCTTACCAGGGACATGAGATTTTTCTCTGACTGGGTACTTGTCTGAGCTTGTAGTAAAATGAACTCCGGTTTTTCCAGATAGAAGGTAGTAATATACTATAGAGTTGAGATGAAGCAAATTTAAGATACTTGGCTAAGGAAAGAATTAAAACAATAGACCTTATGTGTACTGCAGAAAATGGCCTTGGAAATGACCCACTTCTTGGAGAAACACCGCAGGAGATGCAAGGTCAATTCTAATGTAATTAGATTTAGTTCCCAATACAGTAGTAGAAGATATTCAGCACAAATGAGGAAGACTAGATTTTTTTTCAAAAAGTTTTTATTTATTTATTTATTTACGAAGGCTTACAAGAACAAAAAGTTCAAATTCTTGGAGAGAAAAGAAGATGCGGGGGGGGGGGGGGGGGGAAGACAGTGTAGTTTCTTTGGTCTCTTATAAGAATGGTTGGTTTAACTATAGAACAAAGTAACTCTGAGATTTTTGGTTGATGGATTTTATTATTATTTTTTTTTGTAGTCTTTCACCCAGGGCCAGGTTGGAAAAATTCCAGTTCTCTGAGCACCAAAGGTAGTTTAGTACTAGGAGACCGAGTAGTTTCATTCCCAGGGCTTTGAGAAGTCAGGACTGGGGGCAGGAAGGGTAGAGTAAATTTCTACCATCAGTTCTAAGAATTGTATCAGAAATAGTCTAGCAGTAAAATTAGCTGCTTCTAAACTGTTTAAATATGAAATTTTCTGCTATGGTTCTAGGTGTTCAGCGTTTTCCAAAGAGGCACTGTGTGAGTATCGTAAATGGAAAAATTGCTATATAAATTTAAAATTGCTAACAGTATATAAATAAGGGTAAACCCTAAGCTCTTTCATGAAGATTGTTTCAGAATGGTGTTTGTCTACTCTAATATAGGTCCTTAAGACAATAAATTATTGCAGTGAGATCAAGCTATAGCATCTGGTTTCTAAAACCAGTTATTTCTGTATGAATAGTTCTTGCTTTTCATCCATCTTTGGGTTAATTCGGAATGAATTAACTAGTATTCTCATAATCTGAAGTTACCAAGAAGTATTTGGTAGTAGTAATTACATGTTGGTAAGGTTTATACACAGTACAATACTGAATCAGTGCATACTTGTAGTATATGTATATGTTCGTTGTTGTTTATATTCTATAGTAATGATTATCAGTAAAAATGGCAAACAGTAAAGTCTTCAGTTACATGGTTGAAATAAAACAAATATAATGAGAGGGACAAACTTTTACAATATACATATGCCATCTCACCTTTTGTACCTTGTGTAATTGAGGGGGAAAATTTTTGACTCTAGGGGATACAGCCAATACACCCTTTGAAGGTCACTGTTCAACTTGAAACTTTTAAAAACTGGAATAACAGTTCCAGTTTCAGACAGATTACCCTTTTAAACAGTATGTCCTGAGTTTGTTTTTAAAAAGGATTCTTTAAACAAAAAAGTGTAAGGAATTTTCTTCTTTATTGATGTTTGAAGGTCCTTTCAGAAAGGAAAGAATGGACTATACGCTATGATGGAGATTTTTGAGAGTTAGGCGCTAATTCTCCTTTGTGCCTTTGAAAATCTCCCTGTGTGTGCTGTCAAATTCACAAAATATTCAATTTGGAAAAAAAATTTTTTGCTAATGGTTTATTTGTAGTACTCTATGTTACTTGTAACTGTAGTAGTTGCAAAATTTTCACAGAGAAATTTGACTTTAAAGTTTGCGGTGTCCCTTTAGCTCTTAGGTTGAAAAGAAAGGTGCTACAACGTTTATGACTGGGTGGTGTTGATTTTATTTGTGAGTAATTTTGTTTAATGTTTTCTTTTTAATTAAAGAAATGGCTACAAGCACCTGATCTTCCTAAAGAAGTATACCTGCATCTAGCCTACTATGTACCAAAAATTTACTGTAGGGGTCCTAACCCTGCTCCACAAAGAGAAGACATGCTCGCACAACATGTACTGCTGGGACCAATGGAATGGTATCTATGTGGTGAAGATCCTGCATTTGGATTTCCAAAACTTGAGCAAGCAAACAAACCTTCCCATCTCTGTGGTCGGGTTTTTAAAGTGGGGGAACCTACATACTCTTGCAGGTAGGTTAATTCTACAATTCCCGTAAATTATTAATTCTCAACTTTTTTTGGTGGAAACATTTTTGTCCTAATGAAAATGTTAATTGTCCATATGTATTTTTAGTATACTTGGAACATGGTGGGTGTTGTTTGGTTTGTTATTGGTAACATACTAAAGGCTTAGGAGGAAGAAAAATTAATTACAGCATCAGTATAATTAAACAGCCTTAGTTTTTGAAAATGTCAGCGTTGGTTATTTAAAAAAAAAAATACTCTTAGATAAAGGGGAAGGGAAGGTGGATAAACTGTCAAATCATGTCCAGGGCTTAAATGCAAAAATTGAAATTAATTAATTCAAATGTTTAACATGCATCTACAGATGTCCCGCCTGTGTTCTGAATATTTTCCAATGAAAAGTTCAATTAGTGGTGATTTAGATTGATAGGCAAAAGAAACTAACTTGTTCATCAAGCCCACGCCCCCATTCAGATGTCTCTTAAAAATCTCATTTCTGTTGTGAAGCCTACAAGAAGTGAATAGGAGGATGTTACCAACAATATTAAAAAACACACTATCAAGACCTGTATATGACTTAAAGTAACTATGATTTTATTGTCACCTTGTCTGTCTTGTTCCTTTCCCATTTTTTGCTATGTTAACCTTTGTACATTTTCAGCACAAGAACCACATTAGAATGGTCATACTGGGTCAGACCAGTGGTCTGTCTAGCCAGGTATCATGTCATCTGACAGTGCCCAATGCCAGATGCTTTAAAAGGGAATGAACAGAATGGCAATCATCAAATGATCCGTCCCCTTTCACCCAGCCCCAGCACACCTGGCAGTCGGAGGCCGAAGGACACCCAGAGCATGGGGTTGTGTACCTGACCATCTTGGCTAATCGCCACTGATGGACCTATCCTTCATGAACTTATCTAATTTATTTTTTGAACCCAGTTATGGTTTTGGCCTTCACAGCATCCTCTGGCAACGAGTTCCACAGGTTGACAGTGTTGTGTGAAGAAGTACTTCCTTTTGTTTGTTTTAAACCTGCTGCCTATTAATTTCATTGGATGATCCCTGGTTCTTGTGTTATGTAAAGGAGTAAATAACACTTCCTTATTCACTTTCTCCACAGCATTCATAATTTTATAGATCTCTATCATATTTCCCCTTTAGTCGTCCTTTTCTAAGCTGAATAGTCCCAGTCTTTTTAATCTCTTCATATGGAAGCTGTTCCATACCTTCAGTCATTTTTGTTGCCCTTCTCTTTATCTTTTCCAATTCTAATATCTTTTTTGACACGGGATGACCAAAACTGCATGCAGAATTCAAGGTGTGAGCATATTTACTGCCATCTTATCTATCCCTTTCTTAATGGTTCCTAACATTGTCATCTTTTTTGACTGTTGCTGTACACTGAGGAGATGTTTTCAGAGAGTTGTCCACAGTGACTCAAAGATGTCTTTCTGGAATGGTAAAGCTAATTTAGACCCAATCATTTTGTGTGTACAGTTGGGCTTATGTTTTCCAATCGGCATTATTTTGCCTTTATCAACGATAATACTTCTTATTTTATGAAGTGCTTAGCACACTTCCGGTTACTTGAAAAATTATGCTTTAAATAAATTGGTTAGTCTCTAAGGTACCACAAGTACTCCTTTTCTTTTTGCGAATACAGACTAACATGGCTGCTACTCTGAAACCATGAATAATAAGCTTATCCTAAATTTAAGCAATTTATTTCTGTTCTGTCATTCCCCTTTTCTCATTCTGGGATATTTGGGGGTCTTAATTTTTTGTCTTTTGCACCTGTCCTCTGTGTCTCCGTTCCCCTTTTCACTGAGCCATTGGAGAATGCTGGCCATTGGAGAAAGCTGGGGGAGAATGTGGACTATCAAATCCACTCCACTATCAGAAACTCAGTACTGGCTAAAGTGCTGAGCAAGTGTGGAAATAAGTACCTACAAGCAGATTTTCTTCTGCCTCACTATTGCAGCAAGCTAGTGAAGGAGGTAGGGTCATAAATTGAGTTGTGTGAATATCTGATTTTTTTTCAGTTTGCTGGCAGTTCAAAGGGAAAAATTATTTTGAGTCAACTCAAAACTGAGTTACTTTTTGAATTTCATCTAATTGTAAAGTTGGGGGAAAAGCTTCATTTTGGGTCAAATGAAACATTTTATTTGAGCTGAAACAAAACATGTTTTGGCAATTTAAACTTTTTTCAATAAAAGCAAATGATATTTTGGTCTAGATTCACAAAACTGAGGAGGTGGTGGGCATGGTGGTGCCCCCTTTTTACCCAATAGCCCAGGATCTGGGACTTGAACCCATGTTTCTTATATCCCAGGTGATTGCCCTAATAACCAGGCTATTGGTTATTATGGGATGGGTCTCTGAGTCTCCCCTGTTGAAGCTGTTTCGTTTTGTATTAATTATTAATTGGAGCAGGGACTGGAACCGGGGTGAGGCTGCTTTCCCTCCCGCCCCTTACCCCCTGGTTAGTGTCATTCTCCCTCTCTGGATTGATGAATAATTTTTTATACAAAGTGGAGCAGCTTCAACAGGAGATATTGAGACACAGGGGGGTCTCACCTGGGATATGGAAATCTGGATTCAAGTCCCAGTGGGGAGTTGAAGCTGGATCTCCCACATTCTGGGTGAGCAACCTAACCACTGGACTATGGGGTGTAAGGGTGGTAGTGGCAGCAGAACCATCTCACCACCTTTGGTTTTGTGAGTAGCTCCTAAATACTTTTGTGAATCTAGCCTGAAAAAAATCAAATCTAATTCCTAATCACTGGGCTATAAAGTCATTCTTACTCTTTCTAACCCAGAAACATGAAATTTCCCTTACTTGAGCTGATGAAAACTGCCCTGTGGGAATTAGAGTAACTTCTTCCAAACCTGTATTTTCAAGACCAACATCTCAAGATACTAAGACAACAATAGCCAGTGTTGTAGGAAAGCATGGAAAAATGCAGTTCCTTGATATAATCGTCAGAGAATGATAGTTTTACTGTTTAAATTCACTTGGTATCTTTATCTCAGCAGAAAATGTGAAAAATAGTTCAGGTACACCAATATGGTTGATCTTTGCAGTTTTCAATATGGAAAAGTGATTTGTGCATATCAGGATTGAGTCTCTACTTTTCTGCTAGGGCTATAGTACATATATTGTTCCTGAGAATCCTTTTGTACTTAATAGCTTATACTTCATAGTTGGCGGCAAATGGGGGAGAATAATCTTTTTCTTAAACCCTCCAGGATACAATTTTTTTTATTTTTTGTAATCCATGAAATACTCTAAAAGTATGAGGACCTGAAAAATATTATTTTTATTTATTTATTTTTAAGAAGCTTGTAGACCTGCAGCAATGGATGTTAGGTTTCCATACTTGCCAAATAAATCATCTTTATAACTGCTGGTGAATGGCCATGTGCATTTTTAAAAATCCCATGATTATTAAACAGTTAATTTCCCCCTACACAATATAATAAAAATAATTGACTGCCTGTAACCAGAAACAAGAGGTTATACAAATGTAAGTTATTCAGAACAAAACAGCTTGCTGGGATTAGTCACAGGTTTGTGTTTTCCCCACTAATTAAATTTGCACTTAAAATAAACTAATGTAAACAAAAAATAGTATTGGTAATATTTATGTATATTTATGCTGTGGATCAATGATTATCCCTCTACTAATACTGATTAATTGGGCAAAATGGAATTAAGAATATAGTAGGTGCTTCATAGTCGGTTTCTTTTTTTAAATCAAATAAGGGATTAGTTCATGTGAGTTCTTGTTTTATATTCTTTCCTGATGGACATCTCAGGAAATCCTTAGTTTCTCTCCAGATATTTTTTTAGGTGGTCTTTATTTTTCCGTTTTGAAATCTGATTCCCTGAATCTATCTCAGTGGCTGTCAGTCAGTTGCCTATAGTGTCAATATATCTTTGATCATTCTTGTGATTTGTTTTTTTTCAAATGTTTGGCTATATGTAATATACAATTGCCTTGTTCAGCCGTTCACCTATTTTCTAGAGGTGGTATATCCAAGTGATACAGTTAGTACCTGTAAAAAGTGTTTGCCTTCTCTAAGTGGTCCTTGACCTTCTGGTTGTTGTGAAAATCTTGTTCTTGGAACTCATTAGAAGATTGTAGGACTAAACTTACAAGCAAAGAGTTGGTTCCTAATCTTTTTGCATGTAAAAGTTTCATATCAAGGTGTGATGAAAATCTATTTGCACTGATTACTTAGGGCCATGTCTAGCACTTGCATCCTATATCCTGAGAAAACTTGCTTCCTATACCTTAAAAACAGGTTTGAATCTGGTAACATAGCTGGGTTACCAGTTAATGTACTTGTTTCATCTACTGAAGGTAATATGTACATTACCCAAATGGTTTTCCAGGCCTACTGCCCAGGCTGTTTTTCATAGCCATTCCTGCTCTGGGAATAGTTTTTGATAAGACAATGAGAGGAAATTCTATCCCATTTCTGAATAGCAAACAGTTTAGCAAGAAGGCTCACATTCATGTATTTTGAAAATAAACTGTTGTGAGATGCATAGTTAAAAGCTAAAGTAATATTTTTTATGTTTAATTTTTTCCTCTGTTTGTTTACAGAGACTGTGCAGTTGACCCAACTTGTGTGTTATGTATGGAGTGCTTTTTGGGAAGTATTCATAGAGAGCATCGATACAGGGTTAGTAATCTTATTGGAGTATATGAATTGGGTATAATATTTCTCTTATGAATGGGTATATTCAGAGTTCCAGTATATAATTTATATTTAAGAGTGTGTATGTATTTCAAAATAAAGTGTGCATACGAATATACATGCACAGTATGGTTGGAATGAAAAATGTGCAGTGTAATCTTACCAGACCTGGGAGTTGTAACCTCAGTTTAAAAGCTTAGCTTTAACAAGACTTAGTTAATATTTGAAACCACTGAGCAAATTATTATAGTGTTCCTACACTTTAATCTTAAATATATTCACAATTCTAAATTAAACATAAACTGGAGTTAGTTTTATTATGTTAAACTTGTGGTTTTCAACCTTTTTCATTTGTGGACCCCTAAAAAATTTCAAATTGAGGTACAGACCCCTTTGAAAATTCAACCTGTGATCCACAGACCCCTACCATAGAAATCTGGGACTGAAAACTGACTGAACAGAATTCAACTATAAGTGTTGCATATGCTCAGCATGGCATTGAGCGCAGTGTGAGAAAGGGCACTAAACTGTGGGCTTCTATGGTAATGGCACTTTCAGATTTTGACCTGGAGGTGGGGGTATTCACATATTTTTGATTGATCAGAAAAATGGAATGCCTTTTCTGGAGTCTAAAACTTTATTTTCATGGTTACTTTATGCAGACACTTTAGACATAGTGTGCAGATCCCCAGGGGTCTGCAGACCACAGGTTGAAAATCACTGTGTTAGACATAGTTTCACTTAGTTTGGGCACTATATTTAGGCTTGTTTTTTTTTTTTAAAAGGTGTTGAACAAACGTACGAGTGAGAGAAGTTAGTTTTAAAAAAAGGAACATTTTGGTTTCTTAGATTTAAACATACTTCTGCACTGCCACGAATTCCTGCACAACAGAAATTTGTTAATGCATGAGTAGGGACCGACCAAATTCATGGTCAATTTTGGTCAGTTTCACGGTCATAGGATTTTAAAAATCGTAAAAGTCTTGATTTCAGCTATTTAAATCTGAAATGTCATGGTGTTGTAATTGTAGCCGTCCAGATCCAAAAAGGACTTGTGAGGGGTTGCAAGGTTATTGTGTGGGGGGGTTGCAGTACTGCTACTCTTACTTCTGCGCTGCTGCCTGCAGAGCTGGGCCCTCAGTCAGCAGCTGCCACTCTCTGGTTGCCCAGCTCTGAAGGCAGCAGCACGGAAGTAAAAGTGACATGGTATGGTATTGCCACCCTTACTTCTGTACTGCTGCTGACGGGGCTCCGCCTTCAGAGCTGGGCGCCTGGCCAACAGCTGCCGCTCTCCGGCCACCCAGCTCTGAAGGCAGCACAGAAGTAAGGGTGGCAATATTGCAACCCCCCTAAAATAACCTTGTCGGGGCGGCAGGTTTATATAATTTTTGGTGGTGCCCAGAATGGGTCCAAGTCTCTCTTCCCTCCTCCCCCCCCCCCAGCCCCTACCTGCCTAAGGCTCTGGGGGGGAGTTTTGGGTGCAGGAGGGGTGAGGGGTTGGGCTCTGGGCTGGGGAAGGGGGTTGGGGTGCAGGCGAGGGTGTGGGGGATGGGCTCTGGGAGGGAGTTTGGGTGCGGGCTCTGGGCTGGGACAGGGGGGTTGGGGTGTGGGAGGGGGTGCAGCGCTTACCTTGGACGGCTTCCAGAAGCGACCCACACCCCCCTCTGGCAGCAGCTCCTAGGAGGGGTCTCCATGTGCCGCTGCCCGCAGGCACCGCACCTGCAGCTCCCATTGGCTGCAGCTTGGGGTGGGGGCAGCACACGGAGACATGCCCCCCTCACCTCCCAGGGCCGCAGGGACAGGCTGGCTGCTTCCGGAAGTGGAGCAGGCAGGCAGGAAGCCACCTTAGCCCCTTTACGCTGCCGGTGGTGGTGGTGGGGGCCCCGGGCCCTTTCAAATTGCTTGGGGGTGGCAGGCGGGGCCAGAGGGATGCTCCGGGGAAGGTGCGTGGGGGCAGCAGGCGGGGCCGGGGAGAGACCTGGCTCTGAACTTTGGTGGAGCCGGGCCCCTGTGCTCATATTGGTGGAGTACGCAAACTATGGGCTGATACTTTGAACTGAACTTTGTGACCCATCTACAACTCCCTTTTGGGTCAGAACCCCCAATTTGAGAAATGCTGGTCTACCCTGTGAAATCTGTACAGTATAGGGTAAAAGCACACAAAAGACCAGATTTCACAGTCCATAAAGTGTTTTTCATGGTCGTGAATTTGGTAGGGCCCTGTGCATCAGAGAGAGAAAACGAAACTCTAGAAAGAAAAGTGACTTAGATTAGTTTGTCAAGCTGAGTGAAATATGAAAGTAAATACACACAGCTGAAATGAGTAAAATAAAAATTTAAGCTTCTTTAATCTACAATACTGTTAGTAGTACAGGTGAGTATATTTTTTTAAACTTGATGTTCCTTTTAACTAGCACAAGTATTTACTTAATTAGTCTTTACATATTAGTCCGTTTCTTTGGTATTGTCAAGTCTGTAATAGAATTTCTGTAAAAGTGTTACAGATGAAACAAGTGGAGAGAACTTCTTTTCCTTTCTCAATACCCTGTGATAGCATACTTACGTTTCCTATTGTGGAGGGTGTTAGTATGCACTCTTAATTTAATAACTAGTAATGCAATATGAAACAGGAATAGAGGTTTTTGGAGGTGTAAAGTATTCTGTCAAAATGAAAAGAGACCTGAGCACCATGACTAGACAGAAAAGGAGAATGTGTACTGTGAAGAATCTGTGCATCAAAAATAGGTGTCAGAATCATATGTATTTATGAACTCCATTCACAATTGTGATTTAGGAAAGAATTGTATTCAATACTTATTTCAAGAGCTTTTAATTTTAAAATGAACTAACAGCGTGGAAATAGAGCAGTGCAGTGTACACATGCACATATTTGTCATTAGAGAGACAAGGTGAGTGAGGTAATATTAAACCGACTTCTGCTGGTCGGAGACACAGGCTTTTGAGCTATGCAGAGGTCTTTGGGTCACAACACTGTAAACAATTTTTTTCACTATCAACTTTAGTAAGTGTAACAGAAGCCAGTTGTTATAAATGTGGCCCTCAAACTCTACGGACTATCCCTCAGATGTCCCTGTATAGTAGGATGTAGCAGTATACAATTCGTTTTGAAAACTAAGTGTACTGTTTATAAACGACATTATAATGCAAAAATTTTAAATATTGGAATTTGAATAAAAAAGATTCTATTTAAAAAATAAAAATAAAATCAGACCAGCCATCTGTGACTGATTCAGAATAAACATATGCTTGTAATTTCTGTGTTCTATAAATACATCCTATGCTGTATGCGACCTGCCCATGCCTATGCTCTAGAGTTACTTTAACAATATAATTGAAAAAGTGTTTAAAAAAAACAGATGAAGGATGTATTGACATGTTTTTATCATATTTATTTGAGTAGCATACAGGAAAATCTCTAACAACATAAAGGTTAATGTATTGTTGCTTTCAGTATACATAGATCTTGCACATGCATACAGTTTTGTGTGTTTTAAACAACTTCAGATGACAACATCAGGCGGAGGAGGTTTCTGTGATTGTGGTGATACTGAAGCTTGGAAAGAAGGTCCGTACTGTCAAAAGCATGAACTTAACACGGCAGAGACGGCAGAAGAGGAGGTAGTAAATACAATTTTTATATATAGATATTGTGTAATAGTGCTAACTTAGGACATTGAATGCTGCCAGACCAAATTATGCACAATTCTGAAATTCAGAAGGTAAGGGAAAATAAATCTCTAATCATTTTGTATGTGACTTCTGTAAGGTTATAAATTCACCTCAAAAATAAGAAAACTAAATGCTATAGAAATAATATCTATATACTTCAGTGTTTTAGTGAAATGGTGGACTCTTACATTTTTAATAAATATTGGAGCATTCGTAGTGTCCTAATATTTGTTAAAGCTTTGAGACCATGAGTAAACCAAACTGAAAGAGAATTTGCGTTAAATGATTTAGTTGGTTGAAAATTTTGTCTTTATATATTTACTATATCATCTCAGCACATGGATATTTGTAACTTTTTATCTAAAGTAATTAAAAGAAGTTATTTAGGACGGAAGCTATTAGTCTTCTCTACTCAGCCAGTAAGTAAAACAAATTGGAAGCTTGCAGCATGCTAAATATAAATATTGGTACTATACCATATTATACACTTGATAAAATTAATATAAAATTACATATTAAAACTACTTTGAAAACAAGCTATTTAGATTGAAAAGTCAAGCATGCAAAAATAGAAAAAGCTAGATTTCTGGTTGCCCAAGTAGCCTTAGTTCTGTCCCTTCTGCATCCATCCTATGCACTGAGTGAAGAAAGAGTGCTGTGGGGAAAAAGAAGGGTAATTAAAGACTGTATTGCAATGCATGCATATAAGGGAGCAAACTAAGTTTGCACATGCAACCTAGATTCTGACATTTCTTAACACTCGTGCTAGACTTTGCAACCTAAATAACTTTCTTTTAAAGTAGTTTTTTAATGTAACTTCCAAGGGGTTTTTAACAGGAAAAAGTTTAAAACAAATACATTTTGTTAGTTACAACTGTAACAAACCCCTCATCATAGATCATCAGCAGGGTTTGAACCATGAATCTTCGGCACTGCAACAGAGTTCTACCAGTTGAGACACAGGGCTAATCATGTTAGCTGGTAGCATAAGAAGGACGTTATCCCAGAAAGACGGATGGACAGCTAATGCTGTGTGCTGGGTCCAAGGAGGTTTATGTGGGGAATCTGCCCTGGCTCTCCATTTCTTCTCCACTGGGTCTGAGAGAGCGCCTTCCCTTTTTTGGTGCCCCCAGAGAGGAGCTGGGACATGTGCTAAAGGGGATGGTGCAGGAGCCCAACATTGCTGTGTCTGGTGTGCGTGCATGCGCACTCTCTCCTCTCCCCTCCCCCCCCACCCCCCCAATTGCTACAGCTGCTCCAACAACTGCTAGATGTTTCCAGGTAGTGTGTGGTGGTGGTGGTGGTATGGTGGTGCTGCTGCTGCTTGGTAAATGTGTGGGCCTGACTCTTCAGAGTGGTTTGTTAGTTACTTTTGTATGCTGCCAAAATTTCCCATGGAACACAAGTAACAGAAGGGAAATGGTGACTTTTAACAGTTTATAGCTCTGCCAGATCTGAACAGAACTTAATGGGAGAAGGGAAGAAAAGTCCCTAATCTGAGGGCCATGTCTCTGCTGAATTTCAAAGGCCTGCTGCAAAAAATGGAGATGTTTAGAGCCTCTCAAAATATTCTTGGGGTCTTATTTTTTTTTTAATAACTGAAAGTGTTGGGCATCTCATTACTGTTGTTTTATATTTGTCTGTCTAACTGCTCTAGGAGCCTCTGACATATATTTAAAAATATATCAAATCAGAGAAAGAATCAGCAATCCCGTATATTTAAAAAGCTAGGGAACAAGGCAGCCCAAATAAACCAAATCCCCATAATACTTAATATTCCCCAACACTATATACTTCTTCAGCAGCTCTTTTAAGAAGATGTGCCTGCAGCATTTATTATTTTTCGTTTGTATTTCCACATCATGTAGGAGTCCTAATCATGGATCAGGACCCCGTTGTGCGTGGTGTTGTACACAGAACAAAAAGACAGTCCATGCATTAAGAAGCTTACAATCTAAGTAATAAGACGAGATATAACCGATGGATACAGGCAGTGAGGTGGGGTGAGGACAAGGAAACGGTGAGACAGCATTGGTCAGCATTGTAGGCAGCAGTATCAGTGCAGCAGCAGCCACACAACTATTGTCAGTTTTTTTCTGTAGGCATTATGGCAAAGGAGAGCTTTAAGCAGCGTTTTGAAAACAAGTTAGTAAGGTGGCTTTGTGCATGTTTAAAGGGAGCTCCTAGCAAGTGTCACAGGGAACACAAAGGTTCTTGGTTTGAAAACTTAACAAATGGGTAATGCAGGCTGGCATCATGGGTTGATCAGAGGCAGGATAGGGAATGAGATGCTAGGTAGGGTGGGGAAGTTCAGAGGGCTCAGAAAGTGATATAAGCAGTTTTAGACTTGGTAGCATTAGTTTTTTATCAGTAAATGTCTATTTTTTTACCATATACATACAAACTTGACAAAAATATTTCTAGCTGTGATGATCAAAATTTACAAATGGGCAATGTAAGCTTGAGAACTTATGAGAGTTTGATATTTATCTTTATATGTTTTGGCATGTGATGTTGACAATTTGTGTTTTAACAGTTATTAAATATTAACTACTTGAATCTTAACAGCTACATTCCCGCCTCCTAGTTTTTTGGTGGCTGTGAAATTTTAAATAGAAAAAATGCTGAAAACTCCTAATTTCATGTAACTGAAATTTTTAATTGATAAAAATCAGGAAGAGAAGCTTAGAAATAAACATAGATATTATCTGTCAAAATTACAACAAAAAAATTTGAATTCTGCCATGCCTACTTACGTTTGCTGCTACAAACAAAGGGAAGCCAGGGGAGAGATGCAGAGAGCAGATGAGAAGCCATTAGTGATGAAGGACTGGAACTTCCAGTCATGTTGCCAAGTGACAATGATGAACAATGGCGAAAGAGAACAGGTGGTGGTCTGAGAGGGGGAACTCAGCAGCAGAGATTAAAAAGAGAGCAGTACTTGGTGAAGACCAAGTCAATTGAATAGCCCTTATGGTGAGTGGGAGAGTGTATCTAGGGCTACAGGTTTAATGAAGTGGAGAGGATGAGGAAACATGCAGCTTAAGGGGCAGATAGGTTATCATGGAAGTTAATGTCACCAAAAATGGGTGTGGGAGATTGCAAGGAGAGGAATAGAGGGAACTCGGAGTCAAAATCTCAGAGCAGGGCTGATGGGGATGAGTTGGGTGGACAGTAAAGTGGAGGAGGAGGAGAGAAGAGTTGAATGCAGCAGTGTTCAGAAGAGGTGGAGGAGTGGGATGGGGAGGTGGGAGGGATTGGAAGTGATAGGAACAGGAGATCAGAAGACCAGCATCTTCACCATGGTGTGATCCAGAGTGGGGAGTGAAAGAGAAGGAGAGGCCTTCATAAGAGAAGGCAGTTGTATGGGCATTGTCAAAGGAAGGGATCCAGGTCACTGAGAGAGGCAGGAGCTGGAGGGAATAACCTATGAAGAGGCTGTGGATTGCTGTGATCTTTTTAGAGATGGATAGCTAGAGAAGAGGAGGGAGGTTAGGAATAGTGGCACAAGACGGGTAGAGATGGTGGTGGGGACAGGTGAGGGGATATAGTGCCAGAGTTGTCGTCAGAGGTGATGAGGACTTTCAGATTTGGGACCTAGATTTCTGCTGTTTGTGGAGGGAATTAGATAGGGTGGAGAGGGGCAGAGATGTAGGTAAAGATGGTAGAACTGTAGAGGGAGTGAGGGTAACCAGGAGGAGTTGTTGATGGTAGTGGGAGAAAAGGGAGGAGGAGAATGATGATGCAAAAAAGAGATGTGGTGACAGCTGTGGGTGAGTGGCAGATGGTCTGAAGTTTAATAGATCCTGGGGTATTTTGGACCTGGGGGAGGACAAGGAGTGCATTCCAAAGGAGAGCTAGATAGATTCATGGAAAATAGATCCATCAATGGCTATTAGCCAGGATGAGCAGGAATGGTGTCCCTAGCCTCTGTTTGCCAGAAGCTGGGATTGGATGACAGGGCATGGATCACTTGATGATAACCTGTCTGTTAATTCCCTCTGGGGCACTTGCCATTGGCCACTGTCAGAGGACAGGATACTGGGCTTGATGGACCTTTGGTTTGACCCAATATGGCCGTTCTTCTGTTCTTATGGAATGTACTTTTTTTTTTATGACACATGAATTTCTTAAAACTGAAAACTGCAATAATATGATACCCATCTGCCCTGCATAAAACTAATAAATCAATCATCTGGAGCTTTCTGAAGTTAAATTAGTTCATGGAAAAATTGGCTCTGTTTATCTTGAGGCTATTTTAATTCTCCTAATGGGGAGAAGAGGTTGTGTGGTGGTTTTTGTTTTGTTTTGTTTTTTGTTTGTTTTTAATGAAAGGGGAAAGCACATGAGCCAGGAAAATAAGAGAAAAATGGTTATTGGAAAGTCACTATATCTGCATTAAGCCTCAATTTTAATAGATTATTTTCAGGAGCCAAAAAGAATATAACATCTGACTGACCTATCATGCATTATTTGTTTACTTAAATACACATTTTTAACTTAAGTCCAGGCTGTGGAGGTTTATTAAGTGGTTCCTAATTTTTGTTTCTATGTCCACTATGTGTGTGTGTTCTTCAAAAGGCTGCCTATATATATAATCTATCTATCTATATAAAAACACATTGACCAGCCTTTGAAACCAAAAATACATCACTCAATTCTGATGACGAAAGGCTGGATTCTTCCACCTTCCTTAGATCTGGTAGAATAAGCGTGGCAGAATGTGGTGCTATGGCCTTGTAAACATAAAGACTATGATATTTTTAGCTAAATATTTAAAGTGACTTCTGTGCAAAGGAAGCAACTCTTTTGCTGGTCTTTATCAGTCACACAGCTGATAACTGTTTAGTTTTCAATAAAATCCTAACAGTTCTGATGACATAGATTCTAAAATAAACGTGTAATTGTATCTATGTGCATAGTACAGAGTTACTACCTGGTACAAATTTCTTACATGGTCACACTGGCATGTTTGATACAAAGAAGTAGATACATAAGTGATAAGTCAGGCCTGATGTAATAGGATCTGTAACAATTATGTTCCCACTTATATATAATTTCTTTTTAAAAAGGATAACTTGCAAACATGGTGTTAATCTTTATTGTATGCTGGATACCCCAAATTGCCAAGATTATGAGGGTCATTCAGCACAAATTTATTTAAAATATCTTCAATTTTTGTTTTTGTTCAGTGAGTTGGTCCCCCTGAAATCTGGTCTGGTCAAGCCTTGCTCTGCACTTGCAGCATGCAGCAAGCTATATTGTCTCAATTACCATGGAAGTCCGTTATAGACTGGCTCCATGCTAGAGGGAAGATGAAACACTGGAGAGTTAGTGCATTTAAAAAACAAAACAAAAAAACTGCACTTTTTTTTACCCTTTTGATTGTAAAATAATTTTAAAAGGTAGTAAAATAGCACCATGTGCTCCAGAGGCTTTCTATCTGATGCCTATGCCTCTCAGGAGGCTACCTTTGCTCCAGTGAAGTTCTCTGGTACATCAAGTTGCATTCTGATGCATATGGTTGTGGAGTAGGAGTAGATAGCGGGTTACTCCAGGGAATCTGAAATCACGAGTGGGCAAATACAACTTTTGAATCTTTGCTGTGCTCAACATCCTTCTTACTTTTCCTATTTTCAGACTGATGACATAACCTTAAAGATGGTTAATAATAAAATATCTATGGGTCACCTTTAAAATGTCATTTTATTTCAATATCCTTTCCTTCTCATGTGGACCATGCGCTCCTTTTAAGGAACAACCTAAATTTTCAGCATCGATGACATCACCAAACTAGTGTGCACTGCTTTCCAAAGTCAAGTTGTACTGCTTCTCACTCATTTATCTTAATTTATTATTATTTATTATTGTAATGACAGATTGGCTAAGGTTAACAGTTGCTTGGTCTTCATGTGTTTAATGCTACTTATCAGGAGGAGGTAAAAACTCTTATAAAAATTTGCTTTGGAGTAAAACTTGTCAAGAAGAAGGAGGGGAGACAGGGAATTGGTTTGCTAGCCCTGAAGGAACAGTTTGATTTTTTGCAAATGTTATTTCTAGTTTAAGATTCCAAGTTCTCAGTCATAAAGCTCTAAAAGGATTTCAGTTCAATAAATAAGCTGAAATGTGATTGTTCTACACTAGTTTCTAATCACTTGTTTTGTCCAAAAATAGAACCATTGTCTGCTAATTTTAGTTGCCAGTCTGTCTTGTGCTATAGTTTGAGCAAAGGCATTGCACTGCTGGGGGCTCAGTGAACCAACTTCATATTCTTTTGGGTTTTATTCTGTTTTCCTGTTAAGTTATGAAGATGCAATAACAGTTTAAAATAAATCAGGGCTGTTTTGGGTGCAAGCAGTCATTCTCCATTTCCTTTTCCACCCCTCCCTCCCCCATTGTCATTTAATTCCTTAGTGTAGATGACACCTACACATTTGGACCATTTCTATTTTTCACATGCATATGGGGGGAATTCAGTACCTATTTCCCACCAGACTATAATCACTTCAGTGAGCCATTATAATCAAACTGGCATTCTTCAGGTTTTGTGGAATTCATGCATGCTTTACAGACTTTTTTCTGCACTGAATTTCTACTTTTGAAAATAAATTAGTAAGGTATGCATAACTAGTGAATGGCTGTAATTTTAAATTAAACTGTGGCATTAAATGGGATAGTATAAATTTAGTATTTATGTGTTTTGCATTTTGGTGTAAACTTTTAGTTTAGATGTGGCCATCGAGTACCACCATATCTTAGAAATATTTAACAAGAAATCATCATATGGTTACACAGAAACAGGCAAGAGGGAGAGGAGTGAAATATACTATTTTGGCACCTGGAATCTTGTTTACAATTTGTAATGTACTATAACTAGTGTGAATACAAAATTTGACAAAAGGAGGTGTGGCTTTGATAATTGTTGATACTATAACTGACTAAGTTAAGTGAAATATGAATAATGAAATGTCCAATACAAGCAGGATAATGATGGTTTGAGCCCAAACTCAAATGGTTCTTGTTATTATTGCTCATTTTCTTTGTTTAATTTTCCTATAATGTTTTTCTACTATCTCACTACAATCAATTTCACTTTTCAGGATCCTCTGGTGCATTTATCGGAAGATATGATAGCAAGAGCTTATAACATTTTTGCTATCATGTTTCAATATGCAGTAGATATATTAACATGGGAAAAAGAAAATGAATTGCCACCTGGTTTAGAGACTGTGTAAGTATATTCTTTGTGTTTGAGGTTTTCAAGACGTGCAGGTGTTTAAAATATAAAACTTACTTTAATTATGTTTTTTCCAAAATACTTCAATACTTGAAGATAGTCACTTCAGTTAGTAAAACTCACTTTGCTCACTTTAGTCTACATCAGTGATACTTGGACTGCGGCTCGCGAGCTGCAAGTGGCTCTTTAACGTGTCTTCTGCGCCTCTTTGCAGCACATGGTATTAAAACACTGATTTAATTATTAACGAGTCAGGATGTTTTTACTATGTTATTAACAAATTAAGTTGTCAACTTGCACTAAGTTATTAACTTATTTGCTGTAAATATGAATAGTACTATAGTAAATGAAACAATGAAGTCACACTACTGTGGCTATTTTGAGTAAGCTCATCACTAATTTGGCTCCTGAACCACTGAGGTCTGTATCACCATGCTGTCTTCCTTTAACTCCAATAGGAAGATGATGTAGACAAGTGTCTTTCAAAACATTTTACAGTTGGGATCATACAATGGATCATCTCTCTTCCTTTTCCTGCTTGCATAGACCATCTCCAGTGTTGTCTGGTGCTCAGATAATATCCTTGTAGCAGCTACAATTGTTTACGAGGAAAAATAGTATTTAATTCTATGTATCATCTTAAAACAAGTAGGGCAGGTTGATGCCACTTGACCAACCAGCTCTCTTCAAACCCACTGTTGGTCCGTGAATTACAACTTGGGAATTATCACTGTAGAGTGAAATAAATAGCACTAGGAATAAAACATCTTTATTTAAAATTTGATTCTACTACAGTAGTTTCTTTTAGTTCTGCTTTGTGTGGGAAAATACTGTAAATGGTGGAAGTTATAGAATTATATTTAGCACTGATTTACATTTTTTTGATAAAAGTATGGAGAACTCGTCTAATGGCTTTATTGGTTTAGTATCTTATGTTATGAAGTGGTAAACATAGATTTGCAAAAGACTTCTGGATTCTGGTTGCTTGGTGGAGAGAGACCATTAGGGAGACCTAGAAAAGAAAGGGGTAGGAAAATAACGCCAAAGCTATGGGAGAATATTGTATAACAAGTATGTTAGATAATTTTTCCTTACTAGAAAATGGCTAGCCCAGAATAAAAAAAGTGCACAGAAGTAAAGTCAGGAATTGTCAGACTAACTTAATACTCTGCATCTTTACTCACTAGGAGCTTAATCCTTCAAGGTGCTGAGCACTCTTGTAAGGTGCAGAATGCCTTTAACTCCCACTGAAGTCAGTGGGAGTAGAAGGCACTCATCAGCTTCAGGATAAAGCCCTGTTGATTTACATCATGAGTGCCAGGGTTAACCCAAGCTTAGATATTGGGCTTGTTGGAAATTATTAAAATTAAAAATAGATTAGAAGATTAGTACTTAATTATATAAATGTGGTCTTTATTTTATAGTGAGAAGAGTGACACTTACTACTGCATGCTTTTTAATGATGAAGTCCACACGTATGAACAAGTTATATACACTCTCCAGAAAGCTGTCAACTGTACACAGAAAGAGGCCATTGGATTTGCAACAACAGTAGACAGAGATGTAAGTAACTTCCTTGCTGGAACTTGAATTAAAAGTAAGGTCAGGGTGAACATATATGACTAAACTTAGTGCTTTTTACCTTTAAAGTGGTTGTGAGTCTTCCCAGTATTCTTTCTCTCCTTTCACCCCTTGGCAGATAAAAGGCTTTCAGAGGGGATAGAGAAGAGCTGGCAGTTTCACAGCAGCTGGAGAGAGCAGGGAGTTTAGCACCGAGTTGACTTTACCTTAAGGGGCCCACTGATCTCCTCAAGATCACCCTCCTAGCTCTGCACATCCCACAGCTGATTGTGTGTGTTTGAGGATGGAATTCTTTTCTTCCAGGATACATTTGTGCCTCATTTCTACATCAAACCATTGGCCATCTCCTTCAGGGAAGGCACTTCCTCAATGTCCTTCTTTCAGACTGTTCTTTGCTGATGCGAAGTGAGAGAGTCAGTTTGGGGCCTCAAAATGTCTAAAGTTAAACATGACTTTTTTCAGTTATTCTCCCTGTCCCAGATAATATTTTTGTAAATCATTGGTTAGGCATCATATAACTTAAAAGGGACACTCCTCTGGTTAGGCATAAAAAGTGCCGGACTTTTCCCATATTGTATGTCCACAATGCAAGCTTTTTTTTTTTTTTTTTAAACAACTGAACCTTGCTGCATGGTAAGAGACTGACACCTGAATTGATGTTTTGAAAGCAAACCAGTTCATATGTACTATAAAACATATACATATGTACATATAAAACATTTTGTGAGCCACTTTGTTTATAATACAACATGAATAAATCAACTGTGCACATTTTTAATAGGCATATTTAACACTAAAGAAAGAATCACTGATTATAAGGTCCCCAAAATATTCAGATAAAGCCAGCACTGCAGGTACTATCAGACTAGTCAGGTGAAACTATAGGCCTAACAAGCTTTACAATATAGCTTCTTTAAAGGTATTAAAATATATCTTATGATATAAAATGTCCTATTTTTAAATTAGCTGGAAAAGTACCTTCATACGAATACTATAAAATATACTTTAATAGGAATTAGTGTTAAATTTTTGAATAAGAAGGTCACTGTCAGATTCTTAGGATCATATTAAGCTTTTTCTAGAAAGCAACTGCAAATGTGATTAATATAAATGGTGACTTATTGCCTATGATTTACTGTTCTTATTTACATTAAGACATAGAGTTGAAGCTTATTCTTGTGTTTCAACAAGCTGCTTATTATCATCTTGTTTTTATAAATTTAAAGGGACGTAGATCAGTCCGATATGGAGACTTCCAGTATTGTGATCAAGCAAAATCAGTAATAGTGGTGAGTGATTTTACATACTTAATCTGTTCTTCTTAGATTCCCATAAAATGCTTAGTACAGCACAGTTTTGAAATACCATGTACTATTTTGATATTTTAATGTGCAAAATATTAATTTTAACTAATAACTCTGTGGTGGAGGTTGAGGATGGCAATACAATGCCAGTCTATACTTTCTCGCATCTTTCTGTGGCCTAATCCTCATACCAGTGCACTTCTGGAAACAAGAATCTCAGGTCTAGGGCAGTTTTGACACATCATATTTCCATCTCTGTAATTCTCAATACTTAATCAGCATTTGGAATAATGTTTTTATTTCACTCTTAAAGAGCAGAAAATATCTCATGGAAATTTTTGTATTTACAAATTTCTCCTTTTCTTGATGGTTTTTTTTTCCTTCAGTTTCTTGTTTTTTAGGTACGCTTGCATGAAAGGAGAATTTTTGTTACTTAGTTCATCTACTCTTAATTATTCCTTGCTTGAAATACTAATATTCTGTGATCACATTCAACTAGCTGTTGTCAGAGGGGATGACTTCAGGTTAAGCCTCAGAAGCAGATATTCATAAGCAGCAAAGAACCCTGGGTTTTTTATGCAAGTGTCATGAATAATAAAGGTTTATGTCTTCTACATTTGTGCTTGTCCTTTTTTAAGCTTTAGAATCAGAAATGCATAATATTTACCCAAGATTCTTTTAGTATATAAATTCTAGAAATTTTTAAATTTTAGACTAAACTGAATACAAGTTTGCAAATTCTACTTTACAGTAACGTTAACAAATATTGCTTTCTAAAGAAAAGAGAAAATATATTTCCAATCTCTCAGATTATGCGTGTTACACAAATGTCTTTTTGTAGTTGATTTAATGAACTGGGAAAATCATTTTCATGCTTCCAGATTGGAGCACAGTTCTTACTGTGGAAATATTTTACATCACTTTTTAAAGCAGCGCTTTCCAGTGAAGTTGTGGGGCATTCTCGTTAAAATACATGGTATATGTCACAGTAGTTTTGAGACTACACATCAGATCATAGAAGTAAAAGTAACTTATAAAATGCTTAAGCTATCCTAGAATCTTATACTTTATCAGTTAACACCAATAAAGTCAAGTAACTGAATTTGTTGTGTGTGTTACTTTGGTAAAAAATTGTTCATTTTTTTTTTCAGTGAAAGCATAAGTCACTGAAATAGTTAAACTGTTAAAACTTAAATTGTAAAACTGAAAATGTACTTAAGCTACAAAGATAAAAGTTGAATAATGTAAGGAAAATGAGTGAATTTATTCATAGGGACATCTGTTTACCATCAGAGCTTTTCAAGTGAATTACCTGTGTGAAACAATTTATTGTATGTATAGTATTAGACTATTTGGTTTTCATTCAGTTTTACGAACTGAAGTGACTATCTTCAAGTATTGAAGTATTTTGGAAAAAACGTAATTTCATATCTCTGTGAAGAGGCTTTCATGCTGCATGCTTGTTTAGGTTCCAGAAACACATAATTACGTTTCAAAATTTGGCATTTTATTTAGTTGAAGGGACACCATCAACTTGAAAATTGCATTTCCATATCAGTTATCTTTACCTATTGTTATTACAAGTAATCCCAAAGATGAGTAGCACAGTAAGAGATCAAAGGGGAAATATATTTCTTTAATTTCAGTGTATTTACTTTGTGGATGGTTAGTTTCACTATTTGATTTTGCTAATCAGCTGCTATGTCACTCTTATGCATTGCTCTGGAGGAAGCTTGCTTTCATACTTTCTGCCTGAGGTTTTTCAAAAGGGTGTGTGTCAGTAAGAGGCAGGTGTTAGATGTGTGCCCAGGAGGAGAGGAAAGGTGATGGGGAGGGGCAGCTAAGCATGCTGGGTGTTAGTTTTTGACGTGGCCAAAAGATCCTTCAAAACATCTTATTTTTTTATTGGAAGTTTTTATAACAAACTGTTATACTGTTTCAGTGCTCAGTCAGAAAATTATACAGTGCGCTCCTGTTTATGTGAAGGGCCTGGGGAATAGTTGAAATGTCTGGTTAACTGGGGTTCTGTTGATCAGAAGTGCTATTAACTAATGTAGGCCTACCTTGGGTGGGGGAAGGGAGAAAATACTATGGATATCAATAAAGGGAATTCAGAAAACTGGAATTATACTGGATTTTTTTTCCCCAGCTAAAAATTTTAAGAATAGAATTGACAGTTTTCCTTGTTTATGTACTGTTGGAAATAATCCTATGCTGGAAGAACTGTGATAGATTGCCTATTAATAGGTCTCCATTTCAATTTGTGTGATAAAATGTTTTAATTTAGTGTGCTGTGTGTTTCTCTACAACAAAACTTGTCTTTCCTGATATTCACTTTTAACTAAGCTTCCCCCTCCTCTTTTCTTTTTTAAGAGAAATACCAGTCGCCAGACAAAGCCACTGAAGGTTCAGGTTATGCATTCATCTATTGTTGCCCATCAGAGTTTTGGTTTGAAGCTCCTGACTTGGCTTGGCAACGTTATTGGATATTCAGGTAGGCAAATTCAAACACTTCTGCTATAGACTAGAGGATAATTTAGAGGCTAACTTAATGCTAAAAATAATAATAAAAATATTTTATATTAAAACAGCTTACCTCAAATACGTAACATGTTAGACAAACCCATTAATAACTTTTGACACACTTCATCCTATTGTCTGCGCATTGATTTGTGCTCCCCGAATCCTGACTCCCATATGAAAGTGCTTTATGTATTCACCATGCTAAAATTGCTAGTGTTGAGCAGAAACAGTTTGAGAATTGCTGTTGAGTGGTGTGTGCTAACAGCATACCTCTCTGCCCTTGATCACTTTTAAATGAATGAAATAAATTAAAACAAGGGCATCCTGAATAGATGTTAATAATACTCCTTTTTTTATTTAATGAGAACTGGTTGTTTCATATATGTCACAGTGTAACTAGAACAGCAAAAATGTACTTAATGTTCTCAAATTCAAGGAGTGTGAGGGAGGAAGTGAGCCAGTGAAGCACTGAACAGAAGTTCAGAAGGAGATTCCCTCTGTAGAAGGAGGGAATCAAGGTATGCAGTCTCATTTCATGGGGAGTATCTTGTGAATTCTGCCTGAAGGGCTCTCTTCCCTCTCATACAACAGCATTCTTATGGTTGTGGCTAGGGAAATGAAAGTAGGGAAATATAGCTTATTAATGAACTATGGGCCTAACTTTTGATTTGGTTCCATCTGTGGCATTTACATGGCACCATGGTCCTGTTTAAAGAGGACTCTGTTAATGTGAACTAGGTACCTTTAATTTCATGCCTGCAATGGCCACCCTAGGAAGTTACAGTGCAACTTGCTAGCATGTGCTGCAGTTCACATCCCCGTAGTCTGAATTGTGGGGTCATGTAGACGTAACCTATGTCTTAGCCAACTAAAGGGACAGAAGTGAATTAAGAGGGAAGGGCTTTGGCATGGTTATCAAAATATAGATGTAACCCCACTAAAAATATTGTTTTGGCTATGTATGTTCAAAAATCTTCTAGAGTTATTAGTATAGTGTTTATGCCATCACCTGCAACATCATAGAATCATAGGACTGGAAGGGACCTCGAGAGGTCATCTAGTCCAGTCCCTTGCACTCATGGCATGGCTAAGTATTATCTACACCATCCTTGACAGGTGTTTGTCTAGCCTGCTCTTAAAAACCTCCAATGATGGAGAGTCCACAATCTCCGTAGGCAATTTTATTCCAGGGTTTAACCACCCTGACAGGACGTTTTTTCTGATGTTCAACCTAAATCTCCCTTTCTGCAATTTAAGCCCATTGCTTCTTGTCCTGTCCTCAGCGATTAAGAAGTAGAATTTTTCTCCATCCTCCTTGTAACAACCTTTTATGTACTTGAAAACTCACCTCAGCCTTCTCTTTTCCAGACTAAACAAACCGAATATTTTCAACCTTCCCTCATAGGTCATAATTTTTGTTGCTCTTCTCTGGGGTTTCTCTAATTTGTCCACATCTCTCCTAAAATATGGCATTCAGAACTGGACACAATACTCCAGTTGAGGCCTAATCAGCAAGGAGTAGAGCGGAAGAATTACTTCTCATGTCTTGCTAAGAACACTCCTGCTAATACATCCCAGAATGGTGTTTGCTTTTTTTGCAACAGTGTTACACTGACAACTCACATTTAGCTTGTGGTCCACTATAACCCCCAGATCCCTTTCCGCAGTACTCCTTGGCAGTCATTTCCCATTTTGTATGTGTGCAACAGATTTTTCCTTCCTAAGTGGAATACTTCGCATTTGCCCGTATTCAATTTCATCCTATTAGCTTCAGCCCATTTCTCCAGTTTGTCCAGATCATTTTGAATTCTAATCCTATCATCCAAAGTACTTGCAACCCCTTGCAGCTTGGTATCATGTATACATTGCCATATCTAACTATGCATTAGTTTGAATGATTGGACATGTAGTTCTTTTCATATAATTTAATATATAAAGTAACATAAATCAGAAATTTCTGACTGGGTAGTGATAGTGCATGTGTTCGGTAATATACTGCACACGCTATATATCTGGGTTAGTTGTGAGTATGAACTAACGGAGAGACGAATGGGATATACAGTTTTGAGGAATGCTTACTCTGATTTTCAGGCAAAACTTTCAACCTGGCATTATCTGTATTTCATTTTTTGTGAGCTCAATTTTGTGGTACAATTAGTTGTGCTAGTCACTTTCATAGATTCATAGATATTAAGGTCAGAAGCGACCATTATGATCATCTAGTCTGACCTCCTGCACAATGCAGGCCACAGAACCTCACCCACCCACTCCTGCAATAAACCTCTCACCTATGTCTGAGCTATTGAAGTCCTCAAATCGTGGTTTAAAGACTTCAAGGTGCAGAGAATCCTCCAGCAAGTGACCCATGTCCCATGCTACAGAGGAAGGCGAAAAACCCCAGGACCTCTTCCAATCTGCCCTGGAGGAAAATTCCTTCCCGACCCCAAATATGGCGATCAGCTGAACCCTGAACATGTGGGCAAGATTCACCAGCCAGATACTACAGAGAAGTCTTTCCTAGGAAACTCAGATCCCACCCCATCTAACATCCCATCACAGGCCATTGGACCTATTTACCATGAATAGTTAAAGATCAATTAATTGCCAAAATCATGTTATCCCATCATACCATCTCCTCCATAAACTTATCGAGTTTAATCTTGAAGCCAGATATGTCTTTTGCCCCCACTGGTTCCCTTGGAAGGCTGTTCCAGAACTTCACTCCTCTGATGGTTAGCAACCTTCATCTAATTTCAAGTCTAAACTTCCCAATGGCCAGTTTATATCCATTTGTTCTTGTGTCCACATTGGTACTGAGCTTAAATAATTCCTCTCCCTCCCTGGTATTTATCCCTCTGATATATTTACAGAGAGCAATCATATCTCCCCTTAGCCTTCTTTTTGTTAGGCTAAACAAGCCAAGCTCCTTGAGTCTCCTTTCATAAGACAGGTTTTCTATTCCTCGGATCATCCTAGTAGCCCTTCTCTGAACCTGTTCCAGTTTGAATTCATCCTTCTTAAACATGGGAGACCAGAACTGCACACAGTATTCCAGATGAGGTCTCACCAGTGCCTTGTATAACGGTACTAACACCTCCTTATCTCTACTGGAAATATCTCGTCTGATGCATCCCAAGACCGCATTAGCTTTTTTCACGGTCATATCACATTGGCGGCTCATAGTCATCCTGTGGTCAAGTACCAGATTGCACCTGCATATAAGTGACTTAAACATATGAGTGAAAGTGAGGGTCAATACAGTTTTGTGCCCACAACTGACTAAATTAAACCTTTTTATGATTCAAAAGGAAAAAAAATTCTATATTTGCTGGTGAGAATAATATGCTTACATCCTAATTTCTGAACTCTATATATTGGTAGGAAATAAGACATGGGTCTCTTGTAGTTACTTTGCTGAATGATTTAAGCATCTCGGAAATGCAATATTGTACTCTCTAAGGTGTCATCTTATGAAATGGGATTTAGAAATTTAAAAATGGTCTTCTTTGGCCTTTTGTACTCTTGCTCCCAGCCCATCCAGATTCTGCCCACCAATTTGTGCAAGCCTCAGATCTGCTGAGTACCTTTCACAGGGTCTGAAGGAAGGAGGGGAGAAATGTGCTGCAGAGGTGATTGAGCCCCAATTCTGCATGGGCAGAAGGAGAGCCACATATGAAAGGTCTACTCTGGCCACCCACCTAGGAGTAATGATCTGGGCCTTCATATTTTATGAAATGAATGTCAAGCCTTTGCCAGCGCATGAAGCGGAAAGCTTATTCTGGTATTTGCATAATAGGATGCAAACTCCTGAGTAAACCAACAATAAACTAGCAAACATATAGTTCTCATCCTTTCGGAAATAAACTGTCTATTCACCTTTTATTGGATAGTGTGGTGGATTTCTTATTCCCCATCTTTCCCAATATAAAAATAAACAAACTGAATGCTAGGAGTTTAGTGTGCATCCGCAGTGGGGGGATTGTTATAGCTGCATGTGAAATGAAAATGTCACTTCCCTCCCATTATCAGAGTGCTGAACAACCTGTTGTAATCAGACTCCTTCAATAGGGCATAGAAAGGCAGAAGTGTAATCCGTCAGCATTATTCCTTTTAGTTGGATGTTTTATGATGGTCAACCTGCTGTAAAATTTTAAAAAGGAATTTGAAGCAAATCATGTAGTGCAGCAGTCTCCTGAGACACACATTAACCTTATATAGGACAGGAAAGTCCTTATTACAAAATGTGTGTAGTTATAGAAGCATAACTGGAACAGCATATTGAATAGCAAATGGGGAGATTGCCCTAAAGATTCTACTATCTATGTAGGTTTCATATTTCTGAAATGTTCCTATGGGCCCACCACTCTGATAATCTCTAACCCTTGATGGCCACTTTATCCCTTCGATGTCTCTGATGCCATCCTCAGCTGCTCAACATGACTTGGGCAATAAAATAGTTCCATTAAAAATATACCACGATTTAATCCCTGTCCTTTCTAAAAAAACTATTTTTAATATAGTTGCAGAAAGCATGTTTGTGATTTAATAATAATTATTGTGAATGGACTTTACTGCAGAGTTTTAGTTTGTATCTTTCTGCCACCCTTGTCTTTTCCCCCCCCAATTACATAGACTTTTTTTTACTTTGAAGTACATTTCATATGATACTTAAAGAAGAAATATCTAGGAAACTTTTTTTTTTTAAGGAGTCAGTTGTTGCTTTTTAAATGCAGGAATATTTGAGATTTGTTTCTGATGAACTCCCTCTAGCAATCTAAGATGATAGAGAAGAGTTCTGACTTTTTTACAACTGTTCGCCAGGTTTGAACAGCAAGGTACAGTCTCCTTTTCAAATCCAAACCCAAACTGTTTGCCCTAGATATGAAAAAATGTAACATTGGAAAAAATCTCTGTAGGGAGAGGAAAAAATAAAACTCAAAGGGTACCGGCAAGGGCCCCAAACCTCTATTTGCATCTGTTAGGAGCTGTGCACAGGTCAGCACTATTAAATTAACAGGGTTCTGCACATCCACTGGGTTCCATGCTTAGAGCCCTCCGTAGATACAAAATTTGTATCCACATCAGATCCGCAAGCTGCAAAAATGGTCCACAGGTATAAAATAGATATCTGCAGATTTACCGGGCTCTAGATACAAAATTTGTATCCCCATCCGATCCGCAATCCACAAATTTTTTTCTGTGGATAGCTGAGGATTTGCTGGGCTCTGTCGATGCTCACTGATCCAGTAGGACTAGGGCTTAGAATTCTGCTTTGGGAAAGTACATGCATAATGATTATTGCTATCAGTGTGATCAATTCACAAACGGAAATGTAAACTTCAACCTTGGAACTTCTTATTTTAGGATGATAGAGTTTATCAGTTTATTTTGTTTGGAAACAGTATTAAACTGTCGTTTTTTGAGTAGATTGTAAGCAACAGCATACATTGTATGACATAATTACCATCCTTCATTCTTTCCAAAGACCTGCAGAAGAGGAGGATTAGGAGCTAATCTTTTTGGAAATAAATCATGTGATTCTTTTGTTGGCAAATATCCATTGCAGCGTTCTTCCCATAAGAGATTAATTGAATGCTAAAATTGTCCATGCATTGATTATTAGATTTTTTTTCCAGGAAAATCCATTATTAGAAAACATCTTTTGGAGAACGGGGTTTTGTTTATATTCTGTACATTCACATACAGAGAAGAACTTTCTGTTTTATAGTTCAGCCAATTATAAGAAAATGGCTTTTGGGGATATACTTCTAAAGCTTTCTACTCAAAACCCCCACCTGTGGGCTAAGACTGGTTGCATGGGATTGGTACAGATACCAGTATTTGGATGTATATAGTATTATAAAAAGGGGAAGGACATAAAATTAATGGGATTAAATGGAGAGTTTTCTTTATATTAAGTTCTCCAATAGTGAGAGATGTTAATCTGTGAAATAAACTCTCAACAGAATAAGTGGAAGCTATTTGTAAATTTATAGTGAATGGTCCTGTATTGTGACAAAGATAAACTAGATGACTTAATAGGTTTGTCCATCTCCAGGTTTTGAAACATTGGAAGCATGTAGTCTTCATGAATTATTTCTAACGTGTATTTATTCATCAGCTGCTGGGTGTGGTGCATTGTATAAAAACACATGAAGTGAAAAAGTTTGTTTAAAATGGTATAGGTAGCCATTTTTGTAATGTTCTTCATCCATTAAACTGAAAAGGGACTTAGTTTCCTTTTGAATCTTCCTTTTTATCACTTCAGATGGTCTTTCATGATAAAACACAACCATTTCCAGACCTGGGTGTTTAAAATTGGGCTCCCAGAACTACATTTATGCAGCTAAATCAAGATGGACTGATTTTTTCAAAAGGTGCTGAGCCCTTGATTTCACTGGGATTTGAGAATGCTCAGAGCTTCTGAAAATGAACAATTTAGCTGTCTAAATGGCTTAAGGTACCCAATTTTAGACACCTGAGTTGAAAAATTTTCAGCTCATAACTTTTCATTATAACAGTTTATATGCAAACAGTTCTTGAAACAATTTGCTTTTGCTAGTTAACTTCCTCAAGAGAGGGAAAATGTACGCTCATTAAACCTGGGATAAGGAGTCAGGAGATCTAGTCAGGTCTCTGCTCAGATACAGATTTATTATCTTGGTATCCAGGGGCAGAAGTACATGAATTTAGGGTGGGATTTTTTTAAAAGTGCAATTTATGCACATTTGAAAAATCCCACCCTCAGTTTGGTAGTCTTTCAGTGTAACTGGATATTTTTATTAGAGGGAAAAATAATTGTCCCTCTTAATTTCCTGTGCAGCCATCTGTAGGCAGAAATGCAACACTTTTGCTGCATGGGAGGCCAGACATTGGAGTGTTCTGCTCATTCTGCTGAAAGCACACTAACCACGGTGCACAGGAGTGGAGAAATAGAATTATGGCTGGACCAGGAGAACAGGGAGGATATGGTCAATTGTTTCCTGTAGATGAGGAAGCCACTGACTAAAACATATGGGAAGTAGGAACCAGTTTTTATGTCCACTGCTCCACCAGGCCTTTAATCCTCTGCCTTATTCACTTTGAGCGTGCCCATGAGCAGTTTATAATTGATATGTGCCTGCCCTGGCTCTCCCCTTCCCCCAGAATTAGCTTTTATTTCCTTTCTTATTATGAAAGGACAGTTCAAAAGCAAAAGAAAGTGGAAGATATATTTCAGACCTTGATTATTTTTGCTTGGTGAGCTTAAAAATAAATATTGTGTGCGTGCGCGTGCGCACACCCACACCCACCCACACCACACCCACACACACCGATGCACACTCAGTATATTATGTAAACTTCCATTATGCTACATACACATTTAACATAACTTTTTAATGTTAAATAACTTTTGTATATTTATTCCATGATTTGTTTTTGTTAAGATGGCCTTCGTCGAATATTGTGTCAGGTTGGTTTACAGGAGGGACCAGATGGTGAAAATTCTTCTCTTGTAGATAAACTAATGCTGTCTGATTCTAAACTGTGGAAAGGTGAGTTGTCCCCCACTATTTTTAAGAAAATGACTTTGTATGTGCTAATAGAAAGCACTCTGACCATTTTATTTTGTCTTATCTGTTCATGTTTTAAGCAATTTTTATTGCCATCCATTATAGATGCAATTGCCTGTTTACAGATATACTGTGTTTTACCTCTTCACAAATTGGGATTATGCTGAATTGTGAAAGAATGGGATGGCCCTTTTAGCACTATAGTGAAGGTGGAGTAGAGCTTTCTGTTTAGAACAGACTTTTCAAAGGGCTGTAAAGTTTACATGTGTATACATATTGACCTGAAAATTGCTAGGCCAGTTGAAGGCCCAGGGTAAAGACAGCAGCACAAATATGCCGTCCTTTGGGGTTCCTGAGACAGAGGCACATTCCTCCAAAATGGTCTTATTTTAAAATTTGCTGGTTCTGTATAAGGACAGAAAGATGCAGAGCTATTTTTTCAGGATGTATTCAAACCCATTGAGCCGAGAACACCCTATGGAAATGACTGCAGCAGTTCACACACCTGTAAGTCTCCTGTGCTGCTATTCCAAAGTGCTTTAAAATCCACTGGCTTAATATGATTGGCCTTAAAATTGTCAGTCCAGGGAGTGTGGTAGAGTCTGATATAAATTTTGAGTCCTTTGTTCTAGGGCATCCTGAGATACATCCTCCCCCCCTCCAAAATGACCTGTTTTTAAAATGACATTTAAAACAAACATTAGAAAACCAGGGAATACATAGTTTGCCCCTGTGGCAGTGAATGGAAATATAACAGAATTTTTCCAATCACAAACACATGCCACTTTCTCGATACCTCCACAACTCCAGATCTGTGTGCTACTGATGTGTTTCCAGGAACCCTCACTGTGCTCTGTGCACAACGTTGGTCTGAGGAGTAATAGAAGGGATTGGCAGACATATCTCCATAGGCACTAATTGTATGTTTACACTGCAGTTAAAAACCCATGGTTGGCCTGTCCCAGCTGACTCAGGCTAAGGGGCTCAGACTAAGGGGCTGCCTAATTGCAAGGTAGACAGTTGGTAGACAATTGGTGCTTGGGCAGGAGCCCAGGCTCTAGACACTGTGAGGTGGGAGGGTCCAGATACTCAGACTGCAGCCCCTTTCCAAATATCTACGCCACAATTAAATGGCCTCTTAGCCTGAGCCAGAGCTAACTGGCACAGGTCAGCTGCGGGTGTCTAATTGTAGTGTCGACCTATCCTAAGGCTATGTGTATGCTGCCCCTCAGTTCAGACTGTGCGGGTATGCATAGCAGTGTGCACTAACGTGCAGCACTGTAACTCTCCCATGTGGGGGGCTCGGCAGGCGTGAACTAAAATGGTTCCTAGCCAGAACTTCTGGGTTCTAATTCCAGTTCTGCCATTGACTCCTTGGGTGTCCTTGGTAAAGTGGCTTTGCCCTTCTTTGCCTCAGTTTCCCCACCTGCAAAATGGAGATAATGACACTGATCCACCGCACAGAGGAAATCAGGCTGATGATTATTATACATTAATGTGAACTAGGAACCTTTTAGATTGTGTCCACAGCACTCACATGGGGGAATTACAGTGAAGTGCTTTGTGCACTGTTCACACCTCTGCAGAGCAGTATAGACAAGCCCTTCAACTAAATGAAGGATAATGTGATGCAGTCTCTGTGTAAGGGACTCATTAGAGCAGGGATTTAAGTACACTTTAAAGTTTCTCCCATACTGCTTTCTTTCCTCCTTCCTGCTGACCTCCAAGTGTCTTGAGGAAATGTATAGTGCTGTAAACTGATTCCCATTCTAATGGTTCCAGTAGGCAAATGGGAAGAGTTAAGGTTGCATGTAGCAGGGGAAGAATGACCCTACCTGTACTTTTCCTGATTTTCTAACGCTTTTATTTTGTGTGGTTGAGTATTTTCCTTGTCTTCAGAATTTTCTGTTTTTGACTGCAAACTTCAGTGTTCTTGAAAGTTATGAGGCACTGATAATTGACCATCCCTTCCCTTTTACCAAAGTTTTTGTTGTTGCAGAATCTCACATGTAAACAGGAAGTAGAATGAAAGTTCAGATTTCTATTGTAACTTTTGGAACTATTTGCCAATTTTCAGGGGGAACAAATATCTGTAATCATTCCACATTAAACAATTTAAAGTGTTTAATTATTGGTATTTGACTTAAAACTGATCTATAAAGATTTTGTTTTTAAAAACTATGTTAACAACATAGTGACGGAATTTATGTGGAGAATTAGTAAAAATAACACACAAACATATTTTAAAACAAAATAGTTCTGAACTAGTTCCTTCTTATCTGACAAATCCTGAGTGCACTGTTTTTTGTATTTCCTTGCAACAGTTGACTATGTCCTCAATGGTGCAGAAAAACATAGGGAAGAAGAAATAACCCTACAGGAAAAGTACTTTTTGGGGGAACCTGAAGCTTTTTCTCTCCATTTTCTATCAACTGCCAAATGTTATCAAAACACTCTTCCCTCTAGATTGGAGGGCAAAATTTCTTCTTTCTTTACGAGGCTACCATTACAATTACTTCCATAATAATCTGACAGTCAATAATGGCAAAATAACATGTAAATTTTCTTAACAGGAGCTAGAAGCGTGTACCATCAGTTATTCATGAGCAGTCTACTTATGGATTTGAAATACAAGAAACTTTTTGCTATCCGGTTCGCAAGAGTAAGTAACTCTTATGATGAATGGAAAATGCTTCAAAATATAGCCTAGAAAACAGTTTCAAGTAGAACATACAAAACTAATGATACTCTGTTGTTTGGAATATTGGTTGGGATTGTTTGTTGTTTTTTTTAACAGGTGAAACTCTTTAAATTAGAACCTCTCTTGATTTGCTTCTGTGTTCAAAAACTTAGTTATCATAGTACCTTACCACCCGGAAAGAAAATAGATCTTTTGGGTTCCCAATCTAATGCAGTTGTTAGATCATCTCTAACACAGAATGCATCACCTCTGATGTTTTATCCTTCCCAACCAACCATCCAGGATCCCATTACTTGAGAATCAGTCATTAACCATTGTTGGTAGTGCTATCCTGAAGTGACCTCTGAAAGTCAACTATATTTAATATTATTACTTGCAACAACTCATTTTTGAGATGCTTTCTGACATTCTGCTCACTTTCTTGCCTCAAACAAATAACTTTTTTTAAATTAGTAAATAAAATATTAGTAGTCTTCATAGTGGTAATTAGAATGGGTGAGTTGATTTTATGCATGTGTAACGCCGACAGACTGTTAGCTAAGGCTGTAGAGCAGACTCATAATCTCTTTTTCTCTCTAAGTGGTTTCAGTGCCATTCGATGGGACAGAATACCACACCCAGAAGGTGTGTGGGTTATATACTTCCCCTAGCTGAGGAAGCACATCCAGAGCTTCAGAGACTTCCCAGTTGAAATCCCGGATGAGCCCCCACTTGTAACACCGACGGACCCTGGTTGTCGGTGGGCAAGATTGAACCTGGGACCTATGGAGCTTAGTGCATGAGCCTCTACCACATGAGCTAAAAGCCAGCTGGCTGTTAGCTAAGGCTGTAGAGCAGACTTATAATCTCTGTCTGTCTCTCTCTAAGTGGTCTCAGTGCCACTAGATGGGACAGAACACCACACCCAGAAGGTGTGTGGGTTACACATGGGCTGGAAAATTGTCATCCCACTGTGCAAGGTTTCCTTTTAATGATGGATCAGTACCACTGTCTATCATAGTGTTGAATTTCCCCAGTGCAGACATTGAATTTAAAGCAAACGTCAGGTCGGTGTGGATTAGAGGTGAATTTCCCCCTTGTTGTTTAGAATTACCGGCAGTTGCAGAGAGATTTTATGGAGGATGATCACGAGCGGGCAGTGTCGGTGACTGCTCTATCTGTCCAACTCTTCACTGTACCTACTCTGGTGAGTAGTGCTTGCCTTTTTTAAAAACTGATAGTTGGCACTCCTTGCCTTTTTTTGCCTCCTTCTTAATAGAACTATGAGCGATTGCAGAGTGATTATGTGAAAGATGACCACGACAGAGAGTTCTCAATTGCTGACCTCTCGGTACAGATATTCACAGTGCCTTCACTTGTAAGTACTAAAAACTTAAAAAAAGAAACTCTTTTTTTGTTAGGAGCTGCACTAAGAACTTGAGCTTATAGACCACTAGATCTCTCTGAACATTTGTAGTACTACTGTGCAAATCAGTGTGCTGCTGACTTATGAAAACTAATTAGTAGTTTGTAAATATAGGTACAATTTACTAAGTGGAGCTGGACCTATGCTGCTAAATTTTGAATCTGTATCAGAATGTCCCAGAGTAAATGGGACCTATTCCTTTATTTTGGACACATCTCTTAATTTTTTTCCATTAATGAATATATAGAGAGAGATTACCACTTAATAAATAGTTTTAACTTCTGACTATGCCAAATATCCATGGTAGGTGTTGTAGGGGGTGGTTACAGAGCACACCATCCCATGGTGTGGCACTGCACCTACCATACCTGAATTCCCTTCTTGATTCTCCATTCCACCCATATGCAGCCAGGAGTGTTCACATAAGGTTCCCTGTCTTGGGATCTGATTTATTAAATCCTTACAGAATAAATCTGCAGTTCCTTTGGCCCTTCTAGGTTCAAATTCTTCTTTCCTTGGGGCTTCCAATTTATTCTTCCTTCAGGCTATATTTCTCTCCGCTCCCCAGCTCTCTCTCTGCCTGAGGACATCAGACAATCGCACTCCATCATCTGGGCTTCTCTGGGAAGACCTGGGCTTAAACTTTTTCTTCTCTTAGGGCAGGGTCTCCACAGCATCTTTGGTCTGTGATTTAATCCTGATAGGTTTCCCCAGTCCACCACCATCCTGGTTCTACCACAGGAGACCCTCCTTGCAGGTCTCTGTTGACTCTTGGTTTCCTTTGAACGTGAACTGAGAACACTCCTTTTTAATTTAAATGGACAGACCAACCTGTTACAATAAGGTTTCTATTAAAAATCAACTACTGCCTTTTGCAGGATTTTGAAAACTTTTTTCTAACAGAAATCATGTCTGTCTGTATATCATAAATTATTTTTTAAAGTGAAGAATACTTAAAAAGAGTAGATGAACTCAACAGAGATTCTATCTTCATGAAGACATCTTTGGAAATTAAATAAAATGAGGAAAGAAAATCTGACTTACATAGAATATTTCTAAAAAGAATGCTGTTGGAAGTTTTCCAAGTGGAATCAACTTAAAGGTAGATTTAAATTTCTGAGACACTGGAAATCGTGGCAGTCAGGTAGGTGTTTTAGGAACTGATTTTAGGATAACTGTTCTAAATTGTGATTTGTTTTTAACAGTTTGCTAGGTGCTGCAGATGTCAGCTGGTAGCATATTCTTACCTCTTGATTCAGGAAGTCAGGGTTCTCTTCCTAGCTCTGTCACTGACTTGCCCTGTGTGCTAGTGCACACCACTTAAACTCAGTTTGCTCTTCAGTAAAATGATATCACCACCACTTGCGCTGGTGTTGTGGGGCTTATCTAGGTAATGTTAGTAAAATACTTAGTATCACTTAAAAACAAATTATGTTTTAAAGCATATTCCCAAAATGTTTTTTTAAAAAGTTTTAAGTGTTATCAGAGAGAGAAAAGCCAAAAAGGAAGTGTGAAAGAGGTCAGAGTTGTAGCCATAAGGATTGAGACAAAGAAAATATTTTTTGAAGTATAAAGGTAATATTTTAAAAAATAAGATCAATTAGATTAATCAAAAGCCTCAGTCTCATTTCCAGGTTCTTTGCTAGCATATTTCCCCAATTAAAGCCATTATGTATTGGCTTAATTTAATTAATCCTCTTAATCTTATTAAAAATTGCTCTTGTACAACACAATCACTTGGTTGTACATGGGATATAATCATGTACTTTGTATGTCCTTGATCCAGCAAGGTACTTTATTCATGTGCTTAAAAGTCAGGCACATGCTTATCATTTTGGATTCCATGGGATTGCTCATGTACTTAAAGTTAGACATGTTTCTAATTACCATGCTGAATGAGGAATCAATCCTTCAAGATGACCACACATTTAAATTAGACTGCAGTTTTGGTTTAAGTTTTTATCACTTAGTGCTTTCTTTGTGTATAGTGTAGTAAATTATCAGGGTACTTAAAAACATGTTTAAACTGGTGAATTAAATTAAAGAATGGAAAGTCCTCAAAAAAGGTAGTGGGCAAAATTTTCAAAGGGCCTCTGTGATGTAGGAGCCTAAGTTCCAGTGTAAGTCCATGGTACTTAGACCACTTAATCAATGACTAGCTGCTGAAAATTTTACCCAGTAAACAACTGTGAAGAGGAAGCAGGAATATCTTTCTGGTCTTTTGTTTGCAGCCTCAGCATTTATTCCCAAATACATGAATTGTTTTTCTTCGGCAATATTGCAGAAAATCTTTTGGGGTATTTATTTTCTTACCATAGTCACTAGACGACCCAATTCTGCACCAGTACTCCATTGTGCCTGATGCTTACAAACCCAGAAGAACAAAGATGACCCTTACCCCATCACATCTTGCCTCTTGTCTTTTACTTAGATTGTAACAGGTGGATTCAGACAAATGGGGGAGGACAAAGAAATGCGACAGTATTGGTTAGCATGATAGACATGGGGGTAGGCAATAGATAGCTTTACAGATGAATTTTTATTTTCCCCTATGAACACCGTTTTAAAGTAATGTTAAAATATAGAGGAACACCAGCAATATAAATGGTTTGACTGAAAAGGCATAGATTTTACTGGTAAAAATGCAATATTAATTTAGCCTCTTTCTCCTGTCAGCGATGTCTGTTGATTACAACAAACTTTAATGTACTTTCGCATAGGCTCGAATGCTGATAACAGAAGAAAATCTTATGACCACGATCATCAAAACTTTTATGGACCACTTAAGGCACCGTGACATCCAAGGCAGGTTTCAGTTTGAACGATATACTGCCCTTCAAGCTTTCAAATTCAGGCGGGTTCAGAGCCTTATTTTGGATCTCAAGTAAGTATCTCAATACTAATCAAATTATTGAGTACTTTAAAAAATGATTAAAACTAACTCACAGATTTGTTTCTTCTGTATTCAGGTATGTGTTGATAAGCAAGCCAGCTGACTGGACAAATGACCTGAGGCAAAAGTTTTTAGAGGGTTTTGATGCCTTCTTAGAGTTACTAAAGTGTATGCAGGTATGTGAATCTGTGAATTTTAAAATAAGCACCATAAATTTTCTGTCTTAGTAAAATGAGTATTGTCAGATGTAGAACACGTTTTTTTTTTTATTAGTAAAATTGTTACTTCAAAGTACTGGTCATCTTCAGGAAATTAAGTTATTTGAGCATTACCAAGTGTACTCAGCTCTGTACAAACATACTGAGAAACAAAGTCCTTGTCCCAAGGAACTTTATGAATTTATAGCCTTGATGGTATCCTTTACTGTAATGTTTTTTGATTCCTTAATACAGTGGTCTCCTACGTTTCTTGTGGGAATAGCATATTGCTATTCCCAGAAAACTATGGCGGGCGCCAGACACCCCGCTGCTGAAATGCTGCCGAGAAGCGGCAGTGGCAAGAAGCAGCGCTGCCGAAATGCCTCTGAGAAACGGCAACGCTTCTTGGTGGCATTTTGGCAGGTGGTTCTTCGGTGGCGGCATTTCAGCGATGGGGTGTCCTGCGGGCGCACAAAAGTGCCCTGGTGGGTGCTATGACACTTGCGGGCACTGCGTTGGGGACCACTGCTTTAATATATTACATGTTGTTCTAAATTTTTTAAGTATTTTGAGACTAATGATGCTTTTATAAGGACAAACTACTACTAGGGCAAAAAGGCCTGACCGAACAACACTCAGTCTTCTCAGTGCTCAGTGACTGGACAGTATGCTTTTCCCAGAAAATGTTAGCTTTTGTTCATCCTTTTAATACATTTATTTTTGCTGGGGGCATTCCGTCATAATCAGACCATGCTTGAATGTCTTTTTGGGTTTTAAATTATTCAGATCCACAAACTAATAAAAAATAAATCCCCAGAAACATCTTTAACAAACTGAATTTGGTATTTAGAGGTTTTTCCTTTTTAAGGTTTTGCCTCTTGATTAAAAACTTATGTAGAGAGAATTAATGACTCTGTCTTCAATTTGAGATGCTTCCTAAATCAAAAATAGGATTTGCCTTACCAGATCAGACCAGTGACCTGTCTAATCCAGTATTCTTTTATTTCCTCTGCATCCTGAATTGTTTAATACCATTTTTTCATCTTTGTTTTTAAATTTGGCTCTTTGATTTCTCTCAAGATTTTTTCTATACTTCTGTGATATGAGCAGAATGTTGAAACTGTATCAGTAATTACTCACTTAGTCTTATGGTAGCACCAGTAGGGGTTTTTAATAACAGTTAATCTTTATGATTCTTTGTGGTTTTTAGGGTATGGATCCAATAACTCGTCAAATAGGACAGCATATCGAAATGGAACCAGAATGGGAAGCAGCATTTACATTACAGATGAAATTAACGCATGTTATTTCAATGATGCAGGACTGGTGTGCTTTAGATGTAAGCTGCTTCTGCTTTTATATATGAAGGGAGATGTAGGTAGATGCATATCTAATTAATAGTAATAGAACAAACATACATACCTGCACAGATTTATTTTGCCCAGAAGCAGTATTTTTAATCTGTGATGGATTAAATCTACATAGGGTTTCAATTAACAAAAAATCTGTGTATGTTTCTTGGAATGGACATAGGAGATCACTCTGAACATTTTGGAGTTCAGCTAAGTATCCAAAAGTTTGTATTGACACAGTGCCTGAAGAGTAGATTTACTGGAGAAGAAAGAGGGGAATAATTTTGTAATAGAGGAGTTATCAGGTCCCAGGCCCTCTTGATGCCATCCAGAGAGGAAAACAGATTGCTGAACTCTAACAGGATGATCTGCAATCTCTCTGATGACAATTTCCTCCTTAAATGGACCTGCTGAATAGGACTTCATATGTGGTGAGTTCTCCTTTTAGAACATATGAGCCCAGAATAGTCAAATATTAAATTTGACTTTAAACTGTAAATATTCACCATAATCATGAACATTGTCAGCAGGCTCATATAGTGACAGGTACACGGTAAACTGTGATACATACTCCTATTTAATCGGACTTAGCTTGGTGATTTGTGTCCTCTTTAATGAGTGAACAGCACTTGGGAAAGAGAGGAACCATTGACCTTCTGTGCTAATAAGGAAATCTTCAATTTTAAAATAGTAAGATTATATTAAGAAAAGTAAAAGAAACTTTGCATTGAGAAAAAAGTATTTTTGCATTTAGTATGTTATAGACTGTACATCATTTCAAAGGGCTCTGTTTTCTTCGTGATGTTTATAAACCACAATCTTTTTTTGTAGGAAAAAGTACTTATTGAAGCTTATAAGAAATGCTTGACTGTGCTGATGCAGTGTCACAGTGGCTTTACTGATGGTGAACAGCCTATCGTTCTCAGTATATGTGGTCATTCTGTTGAGACCATCAGATACTGTGTTTCTCAGGAAAAAGTTAGCATTCATCTCCCAGTTTCTCGTTTACTTGCAGGTAGGAATGAACCTGGTTTTAAAAACGTTTCAGAAAATTGAAGTAACACAAATATGCATCTTGCATGCTCACAGATATGCGATTATATGCCATCTGAGGATAGCCAGAATACAGTGTACTCTTGCCATCTCCCCAAGACCTCTCCATGCCAGGGGCTGTGGGAAGAGAGGTGTAGGGGATGGCTATGCTGGCACTGTGCCTGCTTGGGACCCCTTTATGCCCTGGGAATCCCCAACAGGGGGTTTGCAGGTGGTTTCTGCTCCTTCTGTGTCACCTCAGTGGAACAAAGGGGAGTAGACAGGGCAGAGGATCTGCCCCAATGTATGGATTATGGTTCCATGCTGTTTTTGAAATATGTTCAGCCCTCAGGCTGAAAAGATTGGACACCACTGTATTAGAGAAATGGTTGCAAAATATTATCTATGCATTACAACCAGCATTGTTCATCAGGAATTTAGGTAGTGATTGCATTTTTCCCCTTACATTTTGGTTCAGTAATTGAGCAATTCTATTGGAAATAGATGAAGGCTATCTCTACATTAAGAGCGTTTTACTGGTATAGGAATACTGGTATACTTAGCCTACTGGCAAGGTGCTTCTAGCATGAGCACAGCTGTACCAGCAAAGCTGCACTTTTCCTGGTATAGTAAAACTGCCCCCCTTGAATAAAACAGGCCATACTGGTAAGAGCACAGTTTTGTCAATAGAACTGTCTGCATTAAGGGGTTGGACAGAGCCGTGCCATCAGGTCAGGAATTCACACATCTGACTGACATAGCTACGCTGGCAGAAGTCTGTAATGTTGACCTGGCCTTTGACTGAACTTTAGCTCAAGTGGAATCAGTAAGTCATTTAGTAGCAAGAGTGACTGGCATGCTGACAGTTAAATTTTGGAAATTAAGTGGGCATTTGATATTGCAAGTTCAGTCGGTCAGGGTCAAATTATTTTGAATCTTCACAAGCAGCAGAAGTGTTGCAATTAAGAAAAACTTGTCATGTTTAATAGCTCTTAAAATTAAAGTCTGAAGACTGAAAGAAGGGGAAAGTGAGTTTGTCATTGGTAACTTGCTCTTATAGGTAAAGGATGGTAATTGGGGAATATTTCTCTTTTATGAAAAGAGCCGGTATTTATGAAACATGTATCCTTTGTTGCTGAATAGTATTTCCAAGACAAGGGAAAGAGCTTTACTTCTTGTACTATGTATCTTTGTATGTGTGTGCACGTGTGTGTGTGTGTGCTGTTCTATATACACTGCAAAGCTGATCATCTGCAAAACTGAGAGGGCATGCCTTAGGAAAGGTCGGATACCATGGTGATGAACGCAGTATAAAAATCTGAAAAGAATAAAATTGTTTAAATGAGGTGATCTTTTTGTACCTATTGAAATACTATATTAACTGAATTTCATTCATTATATTAGCTGCCAGTTATGGCCTCTGTTTGATTGAGACAGGGGTATAACTTTAGTATTTTGGTTAAAAAAGGATCTATACAATAGGAACAGACTTCATCCAAAAGTTAATCTTTGACATGCTCATACGTAATTTCATAGGTGTCTTGATGAGATGTATGAAAATTTGATTGTGTGTACATTCTGCATGGCTTGGGGACTTTGTCTGGATATACTGATGTGTCTTAAAACAGTGTGGAAAGCTTAAACTATGCAGATTGTGGCAAGAAATGTATTTTTTTAGGCTAATATGAAGTATGTATTAAAATGTATACTTTTATTTTGGATATCCATACAGGTTTGCATGTGTTGCTAAGCAAAAGTGAAGTGGCATACAAGTTTCCAGAGCTGTTACCACTGGTACTGTGAAATTTAATTAATGTTTATAATACATTTTGAAGATGAAAAATGCCATATAAGTGTTTAGAATTTAGGGGTAACAAAATAACTTTTTTGTTATATACTTTATTTAGGAAGACAATCTGTTTCAAATATTGGTAGTTCTTTAAGAGTCAATCCACAATCAGTGTTTTATTAAAACTGTTTAAAGATTTTATATTAAAATCTCATTTTTGTTTCTCATACCCTATCTCCACTTCATGTTTCAAGTTGAGTTTTGGGACTGTTACCAGAAATTAACTCCTTCTGTTGGCAGTGACAGCTTTAGCATATCCTGATCCAATACTCTCCTATTCTCCACGTGTCTCTTTTGGGGCACCTCATGCAATCGTTTTAAATATAAATATGGACATTGCTTAAATTTTAAGTGTGGAGGAGAGGGAGGTGGGATGTTATAAGAAAAGGGCTAAATGGAAAGAACATATAAAAAAGAAAGGAGGAGGGGGTTGAATTGGCGGAAAAGATGACACTGACTTGTAAAAGAAGAAATAGTTAACTTTTGAATGAATAAGGGATACACAGAGTAAGAGATCAAACAAAAGGAAGAGGAAGAAAATGATAGAGAGTTAAGAGGAAAAATAGTGATCTATGATTAACTTTCCAAAAATATTAAATAGTATGATAGTATTGATGCATTTTTTTTTCACATTCAGGAGAAGCTTAAAGTATAAAAACAGCTAAGGGTTTTAAGAGTAGGATATTGATCTTGGCCAGTACAATACCAAACAAAGGTAAAATGTGGGATAAGTTAACAGGAAGGGTTGATTAACTCATTTTAATCTATTTAATTTAAACACTTACAATATGTTTGTGTTGTGTTTCCTTTTTCTGTTCCTAAAAGTCTTCAATGGTTTTATGTCATCTTAGATTAATTACATTTTTGGTAATTAAACTAAGGTTTTGCTATTTTATATTTTATTTTCTGTAGAGTGAACTTAGCCCACCTTTGTTAATAGAACACACGCTACGATGTCTAGTTTTGTGTGCCCAAGTGCATGCAGGCATGTGGAGAAGAAATGGGTTCTCCCTTGTTAATCAAGTAAGTGGTTTGATAGCTGTGATGTATATGTTTATGCTAGTTTGTTGTAATGATCCTTGTGCCATTGTTGGAAATGGCTAGAATATACTCTCTTTCTATTAAAAACAAAAAACCCTCTAATCTAACTTTAAAAAGTCACTGAGTGTATGTCTACAATGCAAAAAAAAGAAAAAAGAAAAAAAAAAGACCCATAACTGTGAGTCTCAGAGCCTGGGTCAGCTGACTCATGTCTGTGCTACAGGGATAAAAATATCTGTGTAGACATTTGGGCTCGGGCTGGAGCCTGGCCCCCTTGCTGGGTTTAAGAGCCTGGATTCCAGCCAGAGCCCAAACAACCGTGCAGCTATATTTATCCCTGTAGAATGATCCCCACAAGCCAGAGCTGGTTGACCTGGGCACTGAGACTCTGCCACAGATCTTGTTTTTGCAGTATAGATGAGAGTTTAGGAGCCTAAATCCAGCTGAAAGTTTTTGGGACCTACACTTCTAAATCATGTAGTAGATGTGTTTTTTGAAAATTTTAATCAGTCTTTAATTACATGCTCACATAAGGTTTGTTTCCACAGGACCCCTGCCTCATTGAGTGAACAGGCCAGGTAGTGCTGAATAAATGAGGCAGCTGCTAAAGGTTTTTATTCTCTTCATTCAGTTAATGGCCCCAGACTTATTTATTGCACACTATTCAAAGCATGCAAGAAATACAGAATTAAGTATTTCCTCATGCCCTTTTTGTAGGGTGCTCATCGCTGTAGTATTGAAGTGTCTCACAAATGCTAATTTATTTGCATGCCTCCACTGTGAGATCAGAGAGCAGTGTTATCCTCATTTTACAGATGAGGAAATGGAGACAAAGAGACTAGCCTGAGGCTGCACAGTAAGTGGCAGAACCAGGATTAGAACTGAATCTCATAATTTCTAACCTTGTGCTCATGCCTCCAGATCACATTTTGGAGTTGCTGAGCATGCACAGCTCCCATTGACTTCAGTTGCAGGTGTGAGTTCTGTGTTTCCGCAGATCAGGCCCCATGTGTGTCAAGTTGAGCAGTCAGTAAACAAGGAATACACAGCTAGTGGCTACCTGCCAAAGTGATTTGCTCAGGATAACATAGACTATGGCAGAAACAGGAAAAGAGCTCAGTTCTTGTTTGTGGTGTTCACTTCACTTAACCACAAAACCAGCCTTTCTCTCCCTTTAGTCCCCCACCACATTCACTACACACTTTCCAACTTCTGCAACAAATGAGGCAGGAATCCTACAAACAGCCTCATTCGCTACTCAATCCTAATTCATCCTTTGAACACCATCCATTCTGTGCACTGAATAAGATGGGTCCTGTGGAAAAAATTGTATGTGATCATATAATTAAATATGGTGTTGTAGTTCAGCCTCCTTGGGTACATGCATTAAGGTTGTGTGGTATAGGGTTGAAAGGTGTAGTTTTAAATTCTTGGAGGCCAAGTAATTTAATTTTAAAAATGACTACAAATATTTATTTTAGAGAAACAATAGTAGGCCAGCTCTTAGTAATTGTTTCTCTTACTCTTGGGGTGTGGCTCTCATGGCTTAGTCATATTGGGGTTCTTTTAGGTACCTTAGGGGATACCCTGATTACGACCAAGCAGAATACTCACAATTATTAACCATGGCTATTTTATTATTAAAGAAGGGACGGGAACACTGAACACAAATGATAAACTGGTTACTTTTGTTAGTCTCTTTGTACATCTCTCTGTGGGGAGCTTTTAAGAGAGATTACACCTCTAGGGCTCCTTTTCTCCTGAAACAAAATTATTTTACCTAAGGACATACTGTGGAATGGATTCGCAATCATATTAGTCTTAACTTATTACTCAAGACTAATATGATTGCAAATCCATTCCATTGTATGTCCTTAGATAACTAAAAATGTTTATAGAGGGCCAAAACAATTTTGTTTCATGGTATATTGACCTGTTGGCTATTAATAAATAAGCAACCAAGTTTGTTGTTGTTGTTAAAGTAAGCAGTCTTAAGTACATCCTATGAAATTGAAAAAAATATTTAAACCAGTTATTTAGAAGAAACCACTTAAGGAGCTGTCTTGAGACAGGCCAGTTAAGCAATATTAAGAATGTTCGCAAAAAGAAAAGGAGGACTTGTGGCACCTTAGAGACTAACCAATTTATTTGAGCATGAGCTTTCGTGAGCTACAGCTCACTTCATCGGATGCATACCGTGGAAACTGCAGCAGACTTTATATACACACAGAGAATATGAAACAATACCTCCTCCCACCCCACTGTCCTGCTGGTAATAGCTTATCTAAAGTGATCATCAAGTTGGGCCATTTCCAGCACAAATCCAGGTTTTCTCACCCTCCACCCCCCCACACAAATTCACTCTCCTGCTGGTGATAGCCCATCCAAAGTGACAACTCTCTACACAATGTGCATGATAATCAAGTTGGGCCATTTCCTGCACAAATCCAGGTTCTCTCACCCCCTCACCCCCCTCCCAAAAACCACACACACAAACTCACTATCCTGCTGGTAATAGCTCATCCAAAGTGACCACTCTCCCTACAATGTGCATGATAATCAAGGTGGGCCATTTCCAGCACAAATCCAGGTTCTCTCACCCCCCCCCACCCCCATACACACACAAACTCATTCTCCTGCTGGTAATAGCTCATCCAAACTGACCACTCTCCAAGTTTAAATCCAAGTTAAACGAGAACATCTGGGGGGATTTAACTTGGATTTAAACTGGGGTGGGAGGAGGTATTGTTTCATATTCTCTGTGTGTATATAAAGTCTGCTGCAGTTTCCACGGTATGCATCCGATGAAGTGAGCTGTAGCTCACGAAAGCTCATGCTCAAATAAATTGGTTAGTCTCTAAGGTGCCACAAGTACTCCTTTTCTTTTTGCGAATACAGACTAACACGGCTGTTACTCTGAAACCTGTCATTAAGAACGTTAAATCCCCCTATTTCTCTGCTTACTGAAGTTTATCCCCTGTCTTCTCTCCAGGAGTACACATACTAACAACTTGGTGATTAACAAGAGAAACTATTAGTCCTTTAAGTTACAATAGCATTTCAGTACCCATAAGTTTTAAATATAGTGTCTGAATTAACTTCCTCTCGCCAATCCATGTTGAAGTTGTGGAAGGGTTTTCCTTGGTTGGTTTCCTCCTGAGTTTTCTCTCTTTCTTATCTGCCTGTGGCAGCTTGCTTGTGGAGATGGAAAGCATGAGTTGTGGTGTACTTGCTGTCTAAAAAGAGTAGCTGGAAGTGCGTGGATGATGTGCCCACTTAAGATCTTTTATATCCTTTCTCCTATTTTCATGATATTATAGGAAAACACTCCTTTTTCAGGCTTGTTTAGATTCAAGTTCAGTGCTGTCACTCTTTTCACTGGCTCCATGCCTTTGTGGATGGTCCTCGTTCTTATGAATATGTAGTTTATTTATGAGTATGCAACATTTCTTTAATTGCATTTTTTTTCTTGTGGCAGGAAAACATCAGACAACTTTCAAAGCTAGTTATAACTTTTTTCTTTTTTATTCATTCCATTTTCTGAGAGATTATTTAACTTTTATTAGAATTTGACAGGAAATGAAAATCTGTTTTCAAAAACTCCCAAACACTCCGGTTCTTTGTATTGGAAATTTTCAGTTCTCAAAACAATCTTTTAAAATTAAGTAACTCTTAAAAGTCTGTTTAAATTGTGTCTTCTGTATGACAATTTTTGGATTAATGATTTTGCTCATCTTCCTGAGTAGATTGAGTTGTTTGAACCTAATGCCAGTAACTAACTAATTTCCAACCATATCCATATTCTGTACTTAAATTACTTCTTATATTAGTAACCAGTTATAGCATCAAATTACCTTTCTGTATTTGTACATAAAACAAGTTACTATTTATATAATAATATCAGACAGTTGTTACATGAACATTTCATTTAGATACCAAATATACATTTCAAAATAAGTTTGCCATCTTAAGCATTTGAACACTTAAAATACTTCCAGCCATACATGTTTTTCTTAGCGGCTTATCCGAATGAAGTTTTCAGAGTAATTATAAAATTAATTTCAATTAGATTATTTCTAGAATTCCATGTGTGGCTTTAACTGAGGTTTTCTTTGCACAGATCAGGCTAATAGACCTGCTCGTATGCCTTCGTTTATTGCTCTAACTCATCCTACTGATTAACAGTCCCTACTACTGATAATACACCTTAACATACCCTCTACTTCAAACATATATGTTTTGCATTTTCTGCCTTCTTGAGGTATGCTTCTCCTTGGGAGACAGAAGCAGAAACTTTCTGAAATTCCTTTGGTTAACTTTAGATATACAAGGTAGATGAGAGAGTGCCTTTTATTGGACCAACTTCTGTTGGTAAAAGGGAGATGTTGCAGAAATTTAACGTTTTGTAACATAAGTAGCTAAATATACCTATTGTTATATTTCCAAGATCCTGGCTATAACAGTATTGTAGCTATCTCTCAACATTCAGAAAAGGTGCAAATAAGTTTGTAACTACTTTAAAATAGTAAGTTATAATTTTATTAATATAGTTTTTGCATCAATATTGAGGTCTCTTCTCCACAAGGGGCAGCCTAAGTTCTGGCTGTTCCTAACTTTCATGTGCTTGACTTTGCAGTGTTCTTTTAGCATATGGCTTTTGGAATGTATTTTTTTTTATTTATTTTTTTTAAGGAAAAAGGTAAAAGCAAATTCTGTTATGTGCAACTATAACAACTGGTCCACTGTGCATCATCACTAGGGTTTGAACCCTGAATCTTCAGCATTGCAGCACAGCTTGAGCTAGTTATCTGGAGGAGAAGGCTGTTTTCCTGGAGATTTGGGGTAGAAATGGACATCTGAGTGGGAAGGGGGTTCAGGGAGAGCCTCATCCAGATCTCTTCCCCCCCCCCCGGAGTTGAGGGAGGTCCTTCCCCATGTGATGTCCCTAGAGAGAGGGGGGTCCGCTGGAGCCATGTAGTGAGTTCTGGGGTTGCTGGGGGGAACCTGGTAAGTCTGTGACGCTGGCCCACCCCCCAAAAGTTCCTGGAGAGGGTGTCTGTTCCTTGGGTTTCCTGTACATTGTGTTTGGTGCTGCTGCTTTGGGCGTATTGTGAGGCAGACTTAAATTAAAATATTTGTGTTAAATTGTTTGGGCATGCTGTTAAATTGTTTGGGCATGCACTCAGTAGAAGCGAAATGGCAGTTCTCAAAAGTGTCTGTCAACCAACCTGAACTGAATGTCATGGGAGAAAGAAAAGACACTTTTTTGGCCACAGGACTTTCTCACTGGTGAATTTCAAACAATGGCAAACAAATGAGGGTGTTAAAATTTTTCAAAAGAGATCAGGAGTCTTTCCTAATGGAAAATATTAGGCAACCTAGATATATGGGTTGTTCCAGTTCCCTCTTTAACTATCTTCAGGTATATTACCTCACAGTGAGTCAAAGGTACGTAGGTATCCAGTGTGCATTTGATTTTTCAGGAATTCCTCTAATCCATTGGCTAATTCATCCCTTTTTCTCTAATCCTCTATCATGAGACAGAGTTAGTTTCTCCATTGACTAAAGAAAGCATTTTCAGAGCAGGAGGAGAATTTATTAATAAAATGCATTATTTTTCAGATCTATTACTATCATAATGTGAAATGCAGACGGGAGATGTTTGATAAAGATATAATAATGCTTCAGGTAATCGCTTCTTTGTGTTATATGTTATATATGTATATTGATAGAGAAACCTTAATATTGTATGTCCTGAATTTTTAACTTCTTCACATTTTTTTATTGGGGTTTCAGTTCTCCTTTTGTGTTTAAATTGTCTTTTTCAAGGGAGGAACATCTCATTTAGGGGGAACTGTGAAACTGACTATTCTGTAGAGCTGTCAGATGAACTAAGTAAACAAACTGAAAGACTGGGGAGAAAACATTTCAGTCTGGCTTCTTTCAATTATCAGTGTTACCAACTCTTGCAATTTTCATGAGTCTCATAATATCTGGTGTTTTTTCTTAAACCCTGATCCTGATTATTTAAATCTCAGCATCATTTTAAAAAATTAAAAATAAAAAATCTCACCCTCATGATTAAAAAGAGAAGCTTGAATAATAAAAGCTCAAAAACCAGAATGCAACCCCAAATTTATTTCTAAAATCTCATTTTTAAGACCATTCCATGATTTTTTTGGCTCTGACTCATGATTTTTGAACATTTGGGGTTGGCAACTCTGTTATCATAATCATTTGTTACTTGTAAGTATAGAAAGTACAAAATTTTCAGACACATGATTTGCAAGATGGTATCTCCTTAATGCGGTATTTTAATCATAGAGATGCATATACATAAATCAATTCTATAAGTAAAATTTTATTTGGAAGTCTTGGATTTTGGTTTTGTCCTCTATCACAACGGTAAACACAACAGGCCTGACCCGACAAGATATTGAGCTGCTCATCACTTCAGAAGATAAGGCCCTAATTTTGTCATCTAGATTAACATTAAGATGAATATTCAAGAGCAGCTCTATTTTTGATCCCCACTTCAGGTTAGAGGCAAGTGTTAAGGCCTGTATTTGCCCAATGTTAATCTAATTTAAAATATTCTCTTTGCAAGAATTTAAGAGTGTTTAGGGTCCCCAAAAATCCCTGATCCTAAGCTCTGCCCTTAAAGCTGCCTTCTGGCAGCAGTAGAGCCAGGGTCCCTATAGTTAGTGGAAGGTGTGTGGTAGTGACTGCACCCCTAAACCCTGAATTGATAGAGCCAAGCACGATAAGAATCAATGGACGCCTTCCATCCTTTCCTAAGGTATTTAGCTGGATGATAGGCAAGGTGGAGAACAAACATCCATACCAGAGATGTCCCTCTACTCTTTAATGCCCCAGCCTCTCTATGAATTGGGAAACAAGCATCTTCCTCTTCCTCCTCCTCCTCCTCCTCCCCCACAAGTCCCCTGAATGGGGAGAAGGACTGAGATGGGGGTTTGTGTCGAGGATAACACAGCCTGTTGTTCCTCTGTCCTTTGTGTTGCATTAAAGGGAGCTCTGAGAGCAAGGAGAAGCCAGTGTGGCTCTTCTTGTACCAGGGCTGTTGGAGCTCAGGTGGCTGGTTTGGCCATGGCTCTCCCTGCTCTTCTTTCTCCCTGTGTATTGATGTAGATATGGAAACCATAGCCATAGTATGTTAAACACACAGGCCGAAACTGTATTTAAAACTACTACCCAATTGAGGTAACCATTCCAAACTACCCAGTGGAGTGGTTGCAGTGCAGACCTCAATTAGTACCAGTGATCCCAGGTACTACAGACCTGAGGGTAGGCTTTGTATGCTGTCAGGCCTGCCCAGGGACCCTAACTGGAAGCTGGAGTCCTGCCTTTCTGTCATCCTCTCTGCTACGGATAGGAGAGATGGGTGGAGCCACATGCTGTATGACAAACTGGGGCATACTACCTCACCATGCCCAACTGTGCCCATGACCAATGCCCAGGCAACCCACAGAATTAGAGACCTCAGATTAAACATTTTCTGAACCATCTCCATGGAACCTGTCCAAATTGTGGTGATTGATTGTAATTCTAAATCCTAAAATTCAGCTTCCAAGATCCTGAATGGAAGGTGATAACCCATGCAGCAGTTTCCCACTTTTGCCATATGGTAAAAATCCCTTCCGTATCCCAAACTGGTGATCAGCCCCCAGGATCGAAGGAGATCCATCATACTAGCTTAATGGTGGGAAAGGTGGGGCTGACAGGCAGCGTGAAATGGCTGCTCACTTGTTCAGCAAACTGTAGTGATTTATCTTCTGCTCCAGCTCTTCTTGGCTGGAGTGAATCACCAGGTCCCATTAAATCTCCACCACTCAATGCAGCAATGGCATGAGGGACAGGCTCTGTTGCCTGGATGCAGCATTCAGTATCTTTCACCCCTCCCTGCAGCACAAGGAAGATGGGGAAGGTGAAAGAGAAGCATGAACCCCACAAGTGTGCTGAAGACAAATGACGGGGGAAGCAGAGGGAGCATGTGGATCATTGCCCTCACTACTTCTTCTGGTAGAGATTTCATTTCTTTCTGACTCTTGCTGTTTCCATCCCTGTTAAAGCCACACCCTCGCACAGATCCAGAGGGCAAGTGTGCTTCCAATCTTTATAATTGTTGTGGGAGCATTCCCCTTCTGTGCTAGGCTACTACAAGACTGGTCCCTCTGGCTCCAGCACGGCTGTTTCTTCATGTGGTTCCTTCAGCAAGCCCAAAAGGACAAACTGGAATGAGCAACAGGGGATGGATCACTTGATGATTACCTATTCTGTTCATTCCCTCTGGGGCACCTGGCACTGGCCACTGTCAGAAGACAGGATACTGGGCTAGATGGACCTTTGGTCTGACCCACTAGGGCCATTCTTATGTTCTTATGGAGTCTTTACCCTTTTGGGAGCTATGTGACTTGCAGATGTTTGCAGTGACACAAGGCAGTCTTTTCAAAACAAGACCGCTTTTATTAGTCAACTGGAATACCATTTTTAGGGTCCTTAGGTTGGGATGGAAAAAAAAGCTTACGTGTGTTTATGTTGGCAGCAATACCTGCCTCTTTGGCCCCCAATATCCAGGATTTCATCTCTTCTCCGATACTGAGCAGCAAAGTTCTTATCACAGTGTGCTCTGACTTCCAGTCACTCTGTTTTGCCTTCCCGTCACTAGAAGTTAATGCCCTTTGTTGATCTTTTATTGTATCTCCAATTTAAATCCATTTACATATTGACAGTTCTTGATCACATAGGCATGTTTGAATTGGAATGAATGAATGATCAACACCCATCTCTTATTCCCCTGTCTCAGAGAAGGATTTAACCCCATAAGTCCTAGTAGGTCACAATACATAAGTGAGTGGGGAAACGGAGTCGTGCGTATTTTTTATAAAAATGCAGACATGTTACACATTCTCCACTTCTCACTCCCTCCCTTCAAGAAGAAACTGAGGGGGATCACTTGTCCAGTGGTCTAGAGATGTTTGTGCTATTGTGCACTACTTTCAGGACAAAGCATCTGCTATTGCATTTGTGCTCCTCTTAAAATGAGTTACTTCCATGTCATAATCTTGGCGGTGTAGACTCCATTTTAACAACTTGGTGTTAAAAAACTCTCATTTGATACAGCTCAGCCAGGCGTGGTGGTTTCTCATTCGTGATTAGCATGATAGTGTATATGTAAGTATTTTTAAAAGGGGCTTTTCAAGGACCTAAATCTTTCTATCATTAAACTAAAAGCCAAGAGAAGATTTGCTCATCTGTCATAGGTAAAGCCAAATAGCTAGCATGAATTATGAACAGTTCAGGAAAGATGGGTTTCTGAGCTAGGTTCGTTTGCTGCTGATCAGTAAAAATTGGAGCTGATGGCTATGCTGCGCTTACTTGTCCCGAGGCATGATGAAGCAGCTGTTCCAAATGGGGGACCAGAAAAGGTCCCCTGTTCTCCTGAAGGAAACCAAGCAAGGTGAGCAGTTGTAACATTACAGAGTTTTGAGTTATCCACAGTCCTTTTCAGTGAACATCAGCAGAGGGATATGGCATATTCCTGGGTTGAGGACAGGAGTTCTCAGGGGTTCTAACACAATCATTCACCCATAGATTATTTTATTTTTTTAAATAGGTCCAGGTTATTCAAATAGATAATGTTAGGCAATTATGGATCCTGGTCCTCATTTTTTCTTAAACTGTAGATTGATGGGGAAAGGAATGTTACCACATTTTAAACCAGTATTCTTTTTTTTATAATATTATTTTCTGATCAGGGAAAGCTTGGAAAGTCTTCATTTACCAAGTTTTTTGGGGAGGAATTATTTTTAAATAAGTAAAAACTTCATTTATATAGGCATATTCAATGATCCACAGTACTTCTTAGTTTCACAAATTGGGGTGGCAGAAACAAAAAGATAGTGATGAGATAAGCCTAAGAACTGAAAATTTAGCTTGTATGGATTTTATTTATAACACGTTCGCGAAAGATCTTAAGTTGTAACTTTTTTGGGGTAGGGACTGAGTCTCTGTTTTTAAAGCACCAAGTCCTATGGGGTCCTGTCCACGATTAGGGCCTCACGAAGTTAATTCAAATCTTGCATTTCAACTGTCTGGTAAAAACCAAAAGGAAAACAGCCCTGGTCTTGCAAGAGACTCTGTTCAGGCAAACCTGTACACCTCTCTGGCATCACTTGCAGGATTGGTGCCTATATGAGTAATTTAAGTTTGTATGGAGAAAAATAAATTCCATAAGGAATATACTATGAACAAATATAGTACTTTGTGCATAATATCCATCCACCCCATAATTCCACCTGTTCACTTTTGTACATGTGTAATAAACTTTCTGTTTTTCCCTTGAACTTTTTTTTAAATAGACAGGTGTGTCCATGATGGATCCAAACCATTTCCTGATGATAATGCTGAGTCGCTTTGAACTTTATCAGATATTTAGCACTCCAGACTATGGCAAAAGATTTAATACTGAAAATACCAATAAGGTACTCTTTTTTTTTAAAAAAAAATATTTTTGTCATAATTTTTTAAATGGAAAAACTGCTAAAAAAAAAGTTTTTTTTAAACTCTTAATGGTAAACAGATGACTACAAAAAAAACCTACAATTTAATAGTCTAGGGCCTTGTCTACCCTGGCACTTTTGTCATTAAAATGTCTGTCACTCAGGGGTGTGAAAAAAACCCCCACTGCCCCTGGTGATGGAGCTACTGCCCTTCATTGGAGGTGGTTTTATTTTGTCGCCAAGAGAGCTCTCTCCTGGCTACAAAGAGAGGCTATATGGTGCACCTTACAATGGTGTGGCTGCAGTGGCACAGCTGTGCCGTTGTAAGTTGCGAAGTGTAGAAATAGCCTTAGAATGACAAAGTAACGGCATTGAAAGGAGTGTGGAAGTTTTGATTCCTGGGCCATGTAGCACTAAAGCAGAAATTTCCCCATATAAGGAGCTCTTGGGTGGTTTTAAAATGTAGATTTAAAATGTCATACCACTATTGTTGTCTCACTCTGGCTAATCAGGTTCTGATGTTCTGCGAAGACATTACACTGGACTCTTGGTGAAGAGACAGTTTCTCATGTCGTTCAACAGCAGTCTGGTTAGAGAAAAGTGATGATGTTGGATTCCAGAGGGAGAATCTGGCAGAAACAGTGGTTATTACTCAAAATAATACCATGGCAGAAATAGTGTCCCTAGCCTCTGTTTGCCAGAAGCTGGGAATGAGCGACAGGGGATGGATCACTTGATGATTACCTGTTCTGTTCATTCCCTCTGGGGCACCAGGCACTGGCCACTGTTGGAAGACAAGATACTGGGCTAGATGGATCCTTGGTCTGACCCAGTAGGGCCATTCTTATGTTCATATCTGACGTGCGTTAACACAAGTGAACTCGGGAAACAAGAGAAGCTGTTTTGAAAGTGCTAAACTTTGTAAATTAAGTTATGATGCATTAATTAGAAAATCCATTAAATAAACACCTTCAAAGTTGATATGCACAAACTTTTACCTAGTTTCTAAAAAACAAAATGAGAAACAAACAGAACCAGTCCTCCATACAGATGTTTGAATTGTTGAAGAATCTTCAACAAAACCAAGATTCTCGGTTTGCATGTGGCGAAAAACTTGCATGTTGTGATGTTCCTTGCCTCATACACTTGCATCTGGGTATTGAAATGCACACAAAAAAAATCACACTCAAAACTTGCTATGGGTGCAGTTTTGTGTAAATAAACTGGAATTTTAAAGTAACACCACAAATTAATAATGGATCATACGTTTAGCATTTAAGAAGAGTATAAAGAATTATTACTGCATCTCAATAAATGACTAGCACTGATAGGTTTAAGGGTGAGCATGGGCAACAGACCTTAAGCTGCAGTTTGAAATCCTAGAAAATCTATTTTCAAAAAATATTTTAAAATATGTTGTTAACTGAAAAATGTTTATTCATTTTTTCTCCATTTATTTTCATTCAGGATGTAGTTCAACAGAATAATACTCTTATAGAAGAAATGCTATATCTAATTATAATGATTGTTGGTAAGTTAAGATGTGTTTAATCAATTCATTTCAAGTTGGATCATCTTGGTAGCATTTTACATAGCCATGTGGACCACTTGAGTTTGTTTCTGTTCTCTCATTTCTTGCACCTCATGATCCTTTCCTAGGAGAAAGGAAAGACCCTTCTTTGTTCAGCAGTGGCCCTTCTGACATAAGAGTCACATTTACCAGTCCCTAAAAGTGTTCACTCCAGTCATTCTTCTCTAGACGTATACTCCTAAAGATACAGGGCCTCAAGACTAGGTTGGCTTAATTTGTGTCTTGGGAAGGGTGGTGGGTGAGCCAGAGTTCATGAAAGCCCCTTTCCCTGAGGCTATGCGGGGAAAGAGAATAAGAATACTTATTTTAAACTAGTTTTTCAGTGAGTAATTATGAATTTGTTCATTATTGTGTTCATAATTATGTTAATTAATTGTTTTTATTTTTACAGGAGAGAGATTTAGTCCTGGAGTAGGACAGGTAAATGCTACAGATGAAATCAAGCGAGAAATTATCCATCAGTTGAGCATCAGACCCATGGCCCACAGTGAATTAGTAAAAGCATTACCAGAAGATGTAAGTAATTTAAAAAAAAATATGTACAAAGTAACCTGTATCCAAACCTTATGTGTCTGAATCTTCTGAAACAGGCTTGTGTCCCATACCTTAAGCTGGGAATGTGTTCCTCTGTAAGATAAGGGTATGGGCAAGTTCAGATAAATGCTACTCAAACAGTTGGTGGAGAGTTGTGTGGTGGAAGAAGGAAATTCTATAGAAGAGGAAGGAGTGGAGCATCAGGAACTCCTCAGCCATCTGCCTTCAGACTGTCCATAATTGGGAGACCTGGTGATGTGCATTTGCTCACCATCTGAGTACCTTTCCCAGACCTGAAGAAGAGATCTGTGTGGTTTCAAAGCTTGTCTATATCACCAACAGAAGTTGATCCAACAAAAGATATTACTTCACTCACCCTTGTCTCTTGGAATGTATAGTCAGTAGAGGATCCTAACTGCAGGTTTAAAACCTACTGAGCAGCTCTTGCAACAATATAAACTTTCAGTTAGCTTAGGTGTATTCAGCATCCCCAAAGTTCTTGGCTAATTGAGACTGCATGGTATTATGCCCAATATAGCGTACTGTAAAATGGAACGCTGTACTTGGATAAGAAGAAACACTGATTATTGTAAATCTTGGATAAATACTTGTATAAGATAGCAAAAAGAGAATTCTTCCAATGTTTTTAAAATGTGGCTTTAAAAAAAATTTAAAACTGAAAACTCCGGAAGAATTGTGACCTACTTTCAAGTTGTGTAATAAATTTTCATTGATTAAAAAAGAAACTTTTTTATGAAGATGATTCCAATCTCTGTGAATCACTTGAGAAAGTAAAAGTAGATTAAAACCTGGAATTTAAAATGAGTTACATTTGTGATTCTTGAGTAGTTAAATAAGGTAGTATTTACTGATCCAGAGAGAATGTCTGAATGTCTGGTTTGGTTTTTGTAACACATCTTAAAGGGGGGATGCTTGCATGCAACTTGAAATCTAATCAGTTTTTAAAAATGCTTTAAGTACTTCACTAACCATGAGTTGTCCTGCCGGGTGTGTTGTTTTTTTTGTTTTTGTTTTGGTGGGGGAGTTTGAAAGGGGGATTGCAAGCACATTTTACTATTTTTTACTTTGCTCACTTGTATTTGTATAAAAGGCTCTTAGAAACAGAAGAAACTGACAATACATAGGACGCTGTCAAATGCATAAAATAACAAAAGAAAATAGTTCTGTTTTTTAATCTTTCAGTTCCAGTAATTTTAGGTGTAACTTGTACAATAGTAGCTTTAAAAAAAAAAATACTGAAGTGTAACTCTAAAATTGGCATGGTCTCTTTTAAGATAAAACTGTAAAAACCATTGAATTTGTTTAAGACTGCTAAAAAAGACATACGTAGAAAGTGCCAGAAGAATGACTTAGTACTGCATATATTTTGCATCATGTGCCTGGTGCTGTATTTGATATGGCAGGAAAGAAGTTAATCAGATAACTAATGTGGTTATACATAATTTCTTTTTTTTTTTTCAACTCCATGCAGGAGAACAAAGAGACTGGAATGGAAAGTGTAATTGAAGCCGTTGCCTGTTTCAAGTATGTTTTACTTTTTATTCTGATATCTCATTTTAAAATATTGAATGCGAGTTATTTATGTAAGGGAGCAAAACCATAGGCTAGAGCCGAAGCATTTCCCCACACAGCTCTGCTCAGGTGCCTCATTCATAACCTGTATCGCCTCTGCTGTTTTATTCCTAGGATGTTTCATGAGCAGCAATTTTTAATCATGCCAATTTAGTATTAAGTTGCTCATATCAATGGTTTAACTAACGTATGTTCTTTCTTTATAGAAAACCTGGATTAACAGGCAGAGGATTGTATGAACTAAAACCAGAATGTACCAAGGATTTCAATCTCTATTTCTATCACTTTTCAAGGGCAGAGCAATCTAAGGTAACTAACAAAAACCAAGAGACTTATCACTTCTTACATTGTCTTCTGTGTACTTGGCTTCTAAAGCTGTATTCTTCTTTTAAGGGCTAATATGAGCCAATATTTTACAAAAAGCTTTACTCTTCTAGAGCATGTTTAGAGAATTTGACTCTGATTCTACAGGAAACCCTATGCCACTGAAAAGAACAGGAGTACTTGTGGCACCTTAGAGGCTAACAAATTTATTTGAGCATAAACTTTCGTGGGCTACAGCTCACTTCACCACGGTGCAGAGATCCACTGAAATCAGTGAAGCTTCATGTAGGTGTAGGAGTCTGCCTGCACAGAACTCATTGCTTGGTTAGGGTCTTAATGTACCAAAAATACTTTGATGTCATAAGTTTCCATTCAGTTTTATGGAGTTCACCCACTTCAGTGGTTCCAATTTATAAAAGTTCTGATTTGTCTCAAAATTGTTGTGTTAAAATAAATCCAGATTGAATCAAAATACAAGAAAAACTTAGAGCAACACTAACAGTGAAATAATCAAATACAAATGTAACTTAAAGTAAAATATAAAGCAAGAAAGTAATAAATGTAATTTCCAGTGAGTTTTGCTAGTGTCTTTAATGTAAAGATTATGGGGTAGAAGGAAAAATTGAAAGGACACAACCAGGAAAGTAGAGGGTGTGTGTGTGTGTAGTCACTTTGTGTCTTTGTACAGATTTGGAATAATCTTAGCACCATTCCTTTTGTCAGGCAGAGGAAGCACAAAGAAAGCTGAAAAGACAAAACAGAGAAGATACAGGTATTACTTCTTGGGGAAGTAGAGGGGAGGGGAAGTATGGTATATGTATTCCCATGGATGCCCCCATTTTCTCTTATTTTCACACTCAAAGGCTATGCATTAGAATAACACCACCTTGTAGAGTAGCCAAAAAGCAATCTTTTTCTCCAACCCAGTAAGCAAGGATTTGAATTTAAATCTGTCTTGGAGCCAGCCTTCTGAACTCCTTATCCCCCCAGCATAGTTGCTTTTCTAACTCAGAGTAATTCTTGTTAAACAAAGGTGTCCTATTTTCAGAAAAAAAAATTGGTCTAATATCTGTAATGCCTACTCTTAGTGTTTTATATATTAATGCTTTTACTTCATTTCATTACCCCAATAATGTAAGGCAAAACGTTTGTGCAGAAATTAATGCTTTCCTTTGTTCCATGTCTCTGTTTAATGCTTTTTTATAATTCAGTTAAGTAGTTTTTAGGTTTATGAAGTACTTTACCTAATAATACAACTTATCAAGCAATTACATAGTACAGTATATTGGTTTAGATTCTACTAAATTGTTAAGAGAAGTTCTAAATTGTATAGGTATTGGGAACGTTTCAAAAGCTTTAATGTTTAGCAAATGAATTTCTGTTTCAGCACTTCCACCTCCTGTTCTGCCTCCTCTCTCTCCTCTTTTTGCAAGCCTGATTAATATTCTCCAGTCCGATGTCATGTTGTGCATTTTGGGAACAATACTCCAGTGGGCAGTAGAACATAACAGCTATGCCTGGTCTGAGTCCATGCTGCAGAGGGTATGTATAGACATTTAAGTCTGTGCACGTGTTAGAGTAGAAATATCCATTTTAGTGTATTGATATTTACATCTATGTATAGATCCTGGTAACTTTAATGGCATCAGGAATATCTTAACAGCCAAATGAGCTAAGCTGAAAAATGTAGAAGATCAAATGTAAATTGAGGATTTTTTTTCTAGCTTACTGTTAGTTAGAAAAATAACACATAGTGTCTTCACCTAGTTAATTAGTATTAGTTTTGAATTGCATGCAGCAAATCATCTTTGAGTATGAAAGCACAGGTAGGGGAAGCAGGTTCTAGAGCTCTTGGTACATTTTTAACAGGTGGCCTCAATTTCAAATATATTTGTATATGTAGGAGGAAAGAATTCTGTTTGGACTAGTTAGAATAATTAATTTTATGGTAGGGAAAGCATTTGCCTTCTCTTGCAACCTTGTATTTTCAAGATTCTGTAACTTTCAAAAAACAGTACATTTGGGGGTTGAAATATCGAAAGCTTGTTCTCTACTCAAAGGTAAATCTTTTTTGAAAAATGTGATTTTTAAAACAACAAAAAAAACCAAAAAAAAACCCAAACGGAATGAAATTTTGAGACACACAAACAAAACTAAAAAGCAATTTTCTCCAGTTACGGGACTTTTGAGATTCTCTGTCAATTTATAATTGCCTTTTTTTTAATAAAAACACATTTTCAAGCTTGGCATAGACTTAATTCCCCCATGAGGGCCCTTGTCTTTGATGTATGAAAAAAAATTAGTTTACAAATAAAAATTTAATCTTAACTGGCAAAAATAAGGATTACTCATTTATTTAAAGACTGTAGGATTGGGCTCAAAATTCTAACCATTTGAAAATGTTTTTGATTCTGAGATCATACATGTCTTTATTGGAATGTTGAGACTGAATTTCCCAACTGTGCTTTTAAAATTTACTCTGTTTTGATGCTTTGCACTCAAAATATGCAGTGTATAAATTTGAACTGAATTGAATATCACATAAAAAGAAAAGGAGTACTTGTGGCACCTTAGAGACTAACCAGTTTATTTGAGCATGAGCTTTCGTGAGCTACAGCTACAGCATCCGATGAAGTGAGCTGTAGCTCACGAAAGCTTATGCTCAAATAAATTGGTTAGTCTCTAAGGTGCCACAAGTACTCCTTTTCTTTTTGTGGATACAGACTAACACAGCTGCTACTCTGAGACCTGAATATCACACCATAATATTGTACAAAATAATAACTATGTGCTAGAGGGACAAGATGTAGTTGCTGTGGGAACCATAACATTGAAATCTTAACAACGTAAGAGTCAGGAAGTTTAATCATAATTAAGGCTACAATTTAGTCAAGGAGGTCACGGCAGTCACGGATTCCGTGAATATACCGGACCTATGTGACTTCTTCCGCTTCAGCTGTGCTGAAGCCAGGGCTGGAGGCGGGACTGTGTGCCCCTGCCCTGCTGCAACTGGGGCTGGATGGCTAGAATCAGGATCCTGCAGCTCCTGCCCCACGGTTTGTGGAGGGACTGCAGCAGAGTCTACACGTCCCTGCTCCATGGCTGTGGCCAGCTCCAGAACTGCAGCTGCACCTTCCCCCACTGTACCCCCCCTTCCTGTGGCTACTGCCGGGGGCTGTGCTGCAGTCGGGGCTGTGCACCTCAGCCTCGTGGCTTCTGCCAGGAGCTACAGCTGCGGCCACGTGCCCCTACCCGGCAGCAGCAGCTGGCTGCGGCCAGCTCCAGAGCTGGGGCTGCACCTCCCCTGCTGTGCCCCAGCCAGCCCTGTGGCTTCTGCTGGGCATTGTGCTGCAGCTGGGGCTGTGTGCCCCTGCCTGGGGGCTGCGGCCAGCTCTGGAGCTGGGGGCTGCTGGAGCTGGGGGTGTCCCCTGCAATGGTGGGCGTCTTGGCCTGTCAGTCTCCCCCTTCCCCCATGAGACTCCTTTCATCCTCCCTATTTAGCCCTGCCCCCACTTATTTTTAATAGTCACCGATAGTTCACGGGCGCCATGAATTTATGTTTATTGCCTGTCACCTGTCCATGACTTCTACTTAAAATAACCGTGACAAAATCTTAGCCTTAATCATAATTCAATAACACATTTTTCATATGTTTAATAGTCAGTATTTGAATATGTGAGCCTAATTCTACTCTATTTGCATATTAGTCCCATTGAAGTGAATGGAAGTTGAATGCATGTATTGGAGAGCAGAATTTTGCCCAAACAGTGACAGACTGCATCATATTGACAATTACCCATCATATTGACAATTACCCATCATATTGACAATTACCCATCATATTGACAATTATCAGATAGTTTGGCTTGAATTAATAGTTTTCCAGTTAATTCATTTTAGTTCCTTGGTTATGTTGGAGGATCCCAGGGCTTTGCACTTTCGCTTTATTATCTTCAGCAGTGTTACACTCAGGATTAGTGACTGTTTGTCTAATAAATGGCCCAAGGTGGTTACAATTTACTAGGTTGCTCTTGTTGTTAATTCCTGGAATTGAATGCTCCAGGACATGTGGAAGAACTTTCTCTGACTTTTCTGGAACTTAATCTATGTTAGCCAGAGACAGTGTGTTTGACAAGCTTCAGAGCTCACTAATAGGTTTATCTATTTTAAACTCTTGATTTCGGCCATTTTATGGCCAGTTGGGGCAGTCTGTATTTTCAGTTTAATGCGGCACCATTTATAAATTGGTAAATAGCTGGATAATTATGGGTGCTTCACCTTAGGATGTATGTGCTCCCACGCATTCTTGATCACAGACTTTTAGTTAGCAGGGCCTGCACCTGCATGCGATACACCATTGTGCTCTGATCAAGGATATGTAGGGAGGGCAAACCTGCCACTGCCACTCCAGTTCCTTCACAGATGTCTTTGGCTCAAGATGGAGCATTGTAGTGTCCATGTTAGCTTCACAGCTACTGCCTTTATTCTTTATTTTTTTCTTAGTGTTTTATTTAATTTTGTTCTTTGTTTCTCATTTGGTTTAAGCACAGGCTTATGCTTTTGGGGGGTCCTCCCCTCAGTCCCCAGCCAGTTTTTTTTTTGTGGTTAGGGCCTTCTTCACCTTTGGTGTTCGTCTGCATTCTCCCTGGTTAGATTATGCCAAAGATCCTGGGTTTCCAACCCTGCAAGACCTGCCATGCTTCTTTCCCTTCAGTGATGGGCATTCCAGGTGCCTCAGATAGAGTCCCATGTCCCATCTAAGTGCAAGGTCTGTTCCAGATTAAGAGCAGATCTAGGAAACTGAGGAAAGATAGATAGAAGCTCCTCTTAATGGCGTATTCTTGAGAGGTGTGGGGGGGTCCTACTTCCTCTCTGTACATTGGCCTCAGCTGCTCAGACTGTTCCGGTGTCTTCAACCTTGGTAAACAGAGACCATGGGCCAGCTTTGGAAATGAAACATTCTAAAAGGAAGAAACCACATTCCCTAGAGAGACTCCAGAAGAAGGGAAAAGTCACCTTTGAGGCCAGGGAACTAGGAGACTTCGCATCCTGATATGAGTACTGCTAAGTCTTTTACAGGCCCCTGGACCAAGATGCCAATAGACCAAGACGACTTCTGGTACACCACTCATCGAGAAGTCTTCTAGCAAACTGCATCAAAGAGCACTGTCATCGTTGGTACCAGAGGCGGAGACCTCTCGACCAAAGGACTCCTTGCGGAGCAAGGACTTCTCTAAGAAGCCTTCTTCAACTCCAGTACCATCCTTGGGTCACTGTGTGACCCAGGGAGTCACTCAGTGCCAAGTGGCAGAGGACACGCCATCCTGTAACTTGCATCAGGTCAGACACACTCGTTGCTCCATCATTGCCTTCCCATCTGCTGCAGAGTCTTTTGGGGTTTTTGGTTGAGAAGGAATGGAGTGGTGGCAGGTCTGCCCCTCCTTATGTACCCTTGCACTGGAGCATGAGGGCATAGGTGCAGACCTCTGGACCCATGGCTACTGCTAACTAAAAGTCTCCAAGAACGGACTGTAGCATGCACATCCTAAGGTGGAGCATCGACAGGGACAACACCTCCAAGAACTCCAGTTACTGTACAGATAAGTAACCTTTTCTTCACAGTTGCTACACAGGAATACAAAACCTTGGAAACACACATGTAGTATACAGTACTTTTTGTGACTTGGATACAGTAATAAAAACTTAGTTTTCAGAATTAAGACAGATATGCCAAAGACAATCTTAGAGAGAGAGGGTGGGTGAGGTAATATCTTTTATTGGACCAACTTCTGTTAGTGAGAGAGACAAGTTTTCGAGCCACACAGAGCTTTTCCTCATTTCTCTGTGTGGCTTGAAAGTTTCTATCACCAACAGAAGTTGGTCCAATAAATTATCTCACCCACTTTGTCTCTTTCTAATATGCTGGGATTGACACAGGTACAACTACGTTGCAAAGACAATGTAGGTAGTTACTAAATGAAGTTCACTTTCTTGTAATTTTGCTTTTTACTCAATTGTTTTTCTCTCAATATAGTGTTTTTAGTTCCTTATAGACATTAGGGGATTGTATAAAATGATTTTTGATACAATGTCTGAAATTAGTGATTTTTATATAGGTTTTGCACTTGATTGGAATGGCACTACAAGAAGAAAAACAACACCTAGAGAATCTCAATGAAGAGAATGTTGTAACATTTACCTTCACTCAGAAGATCTCAAGTATGTCCATTCCTCAAATGTTTAGCAAATTCAAAATCAGGAATATTAATCTCTAATATTTTGTATATAAAACTCTTCTGCCCTTCTGAATTGAGATGCATTAAAAGGCCACTTTAAAAGATGCTTTTTTAATTCACTTTAATGCTGTATGTATATAATTCAATGCATAAAACCCCCAGAAGTGTAGAATTCTACAAAAATAATCCGTTGTAGAAAATGTGCATGTACATAAGTGTTTAGGTTCTGAAATATCTAATAATAGGGGTAGTGTCTGATAAGCTTAATATTTATCCTCTTGTGTTTTAAATATTATCTTTTTCTAATATTACATTTTTCTAAAATGTCCCACTGATAAGCTTTTTTGTTGTTTGTTTTACTACAAATTGACTAAATTAATATTGCAACAATCTTAAATCCTGCTCCTTAACTTAATGACCAAACACTGGGTATTTTGGGCTGATAGCTGTATATTTGATATAAGTATCTTGTTATCCCTCCCATGCATCTTCCAGCTAGTTCCTGTGATCTGATAAAGTCACTAAATTGACAAGATTCTTGCTTTGAAGTGAGCAGAAAGTTTCTCTCTATCATTCCCTTGCGCCAGTTCCAAGCTAGCACAGAGGGCAAGTGGACAATGTGTATGGTCTTGAAAACCCGGTCAAAATTATATCTCTTAATCTATAGGATTTAGAGATGGCTTATGAAGTTATTTTGAAACATAACATGTTTAGTCCAGTATAAACAGGTCAAATACACTAAATATAGCTGTCTATATCTTTGCTCTAGGACCTGGAGAGGCACCCAGTAATTCCCCTAGTATATTAGCTATGCTAGAAACTTTGCAAAATGCACCTCATCTGGAAGTGCACAAAGACATGATCAGATGGATACTGAAGGTAAATCAGAGTTTTATTTCCAGGATTTTTCATGAATGATATAAAATGTTCATAATACATAGCTAATTAAATTGGGCTGGTTTTAGAAATGCATTATTAGAAAAAGTGACTGTTTCCTTATGCTTTCCTCCACCAGTTTGTTTGTTGCATCCTCTCATCTTACAGCATCCAGCACAGTGGTGTTCTGGTCCATGAATGGGAACCTTATACACTATCATAATACAAATAATAATTGTATGTTAGTTAAATGCCATAAATTAACTAATTTTTCTTGTTGCAGACTTTTAATGCCATTAAGAAACTAAGAGAGAGCTCTTCTACGAGTCCTGTGCCTGAAACTGAAGGAAATATTATAGAAGAGGTAAAAATAAGCTACAACAGGTTGTTGTTAGTTGTACTAAAACAGATACAGGTCATGAACTGCAATGGACTACATTTTTAATTAGTGACCTAAAATCAGGGTAGAATCTGCAGATGTCTTTTAAAAATATAGTTCACATTCTGGCACACAAGCTGTAGTTTAGTCAGCCTAGGTACAGAGATGTTAGTTCAGTCTGTGGGGAGGGGTTCTTACTATATAACTTCATCAGTGAGTTTGCATTTTTCCTGCCTGAGGCCTCCCTAGCTGGTAAGCAGGGCCTGGAGACTCTACTCTTTTTCCATTATTTCTGACTATTTTGGAGGCTGCTCAGAGACATTTAAGAGAGAAATATTGTTTCTCCTGTTCTGTAGGTCATTCCATGTGAAAGGGTATTAGATCACCCTACCTATTTAGGTCTAGACTGTGCTCATTAGGCATGGCTTGGAGTAAAGGGTATTGGGAAGCACAACTTATATGGAGGGGAAAGCAGTGCCATGGCCCCACCTCCTTCACAGGAGAAGAAATGAAGCAACTTCTGCACTTCTGGGACTCACACATGGTCTGCAATTCTGCCTGTCTCTTACATGAGCCAGACAGATGAGAGGACTGCATAAGAGCCAAACAGAATCATTTTATTTATTTAGATTGTATAATCTTTTGTGACTTATAAATAACTGAGGAATTTAAAAGTAAATATGTTAAAAATTGGAAATGTAACATTAAGTTCTTGGAGTGCTTGCACATGTTCATTCCAGTGTAGGTGTGTGCGTGCCCCGAGCACAGTTGCTGGCATTTTTTCCCTTAGTGGTATACATTTGGTTGGTTCTAGTGCTCCCTGGCATTGCGGGCTCATAGCGTTTGTATAAAGGTCCCTACCGACTCCGCTCCCCTTCAGTTCCTTCTTACTGTCCATGACGGTTGCTGGAACTTTCATTGCCTAGGCAATACTTCTCTTAGTGGATTTTCTCTCAGTTTTAGTGTACATAGTTATTGTAGTTTTAGAAGTTAGTGTAGTTTTAGTAAAAAGAAAAGGAGTACTAGTGGCACCTTAGAGACTAACCAGTTTATTTGAGCATAAGCTTTCGTGAGCTACAGCTCCCGAAAGCTTATGCTCAAATAAATTGGTTAGTCTCTAAAGTGCCACAAGTACTCCTTTTCTTTTTGCGAATACAGACTAACACGGCTGCTACTCTGAAACCTGTAGTTTTTAGTAGTTTCTAGATTGCTTGGGCTCCTCCACTTTTAGATAATGGAGTTGTCCACTGTCCCGGTGCCGAGGCATGCTTCGGTCACCAGGGTTCAAGCCTTGCACTTTGTGCAGTAAGTCTATGCCTTTGAGAAACCCGCACTTGAGCTGCCTCAAGTGTTTAGGGCATGCTCATAGGAAAGACTGCTGTCAAATTTGCAAGGAGCTTAAGCCCTGGATTCAGAAGGACCGAGCTGCTCGATTGAAGATCCTACTCATGGGGTAGCCCTAAGGCCAGCCCCAGAGCCACGCTCAGACTCAGCACCAAGTGCCTCGGTGCAGAGCGCTCCTCCATCAACCGGGTCTCCTGGCACTGATCATCTTCCCTGGTGTACAAGAAGAAACACTGCAAGCACCAAGAGAAGAGGAGTATCTTTGGTGCCAAAAGACTAGGGAGAGAGCAAGACCCATGCCAGGCTGCTCTTTGTCCCTGATACGTCACCGTCAGGAACCCGCAGCCACGGCACCACAGTGCCCTCTAACGATGACTCAGAGTTGCTGACAGCGGCAAGATCTCTTCAGCGACCCTCTTCGGCACTGAGTGGCATGGCACCGCCCTGGTCTCCACAGTGCAGCTCATAGTCATCAGACTTGGAATTGGGACTGTAGTCCCGCACATCGGTGCAGCCGACCCCACCGCTCCCCAGGCGTTCTTACCCCACCTCAGCACCGAGTTCTTTGGTACCCCTGGGCACCTGGCTGTCATATCTGTGGGGTCTGACTACCATGCAGTGGCCTTTCTGGAACCCTTGGGGGTTTTTCCCCACCTCATGGACTTCTTTGAGAAGCCAGGGCACCACCGGTACTGTGCAGGGATACCCCAGAATCGGACTCTGGTACCGAACACAGCACCAAGCCCCAGGACAAAGCACTGCAGGCTCCTGTGGGTGCTGAGGAACCAACCAAGGTGCCTGGTCCAACATTAGCCCCCTCTTCCTCCTCCCTGGACAAGGCCATGGTGGTACCAGCGACGTCCCCATCTCCAGATAACAATAAGGCTTACCATGATCTGTTGAAACAGGTAACCTCAAACCTAGGGGTCCAAGCGAGGATGGTCAAGGAGGTGACACATGGCCTCCTGGACATACTTTCGCCAGCGGGCCCCTCTAGAGTGGCTCTACTGCTGCATGATGCTCTCATGGAACTGCTTAAGGCCCTGTGGCAAACCTCTACCTCCCTCTCAACGGTGGCAAAGCTCACAGAGCGGAAATACTTTGTCCCCGCCAAGGGATACGAATTTCTTTTTTCACCCCCCCCCACCCCCCCCGGGGTCATTGGTGGTCGCAGCAGCCAATGAGCTAGGTCACCCAGGACAGCCAGGTTCTACGCCCAAAGCAAAGGACCCTAATAAGTTGGACCTATTGGGGCAGAACGCAAACTTGTCAGGGGCCTTCAGCTTTGTATAGTTAACCAGCAAGCCCTGCTGGGGCGCTATGACTTTAATATGTGGGAATCAATGGCAAAATTTGGGGAGCTATTTCCCCAGGAACCCAGGCAGGGGTTTTCCTCCCTAAAATGAGGAAGGCAAGACCATGGCTCGAGCGTCTCTGCAGGTTGCCCCGGATGCTGCTGACTCTGTAGCCAGGTCAGTGGCAACTGCGGTTTCAATGCATAGGAGCTCTTGGTTGCAGTTCTGGGGGCTTCCCCAGGAAGTGCAACAGACCATCCCAGATCTCCCATTCAAGGGCTTCTCGCTTTTCTTGGAGAAGACAGACGATAGACTGCACAGCTTTAAGGGTTCCCAGACAACCTTGAAATCCCTGAGACTTTATGTACCCAGCAAGTTCAAGGAAGCGGTATAGGCCTCGGCAGATGAGCCATTACTTCATGCAGACTGCCAGGCAGGATCAACAGAGGAGGAGGAACAGGAGATATAGGCTCAGACCCCTTCCCCAATCTTCCTCGATAGGCCCTGCACATTCGTTTCCCAGACAACCTGCATTGTCCAAACGCCTGTTTTGATGAGACACTTGAGGTCAACATCACAATCCAATATGTACTGGATCTAACTACCCCCAGTTCTCCAACCTCCTTTCCTATTTCCTGGATGCCTGGGCCCATATCACCTCAGACCGCAGGGTTCTCAGCATGATCCAATTCCTTTCTACTCTCCTGCCCTTCCCTCTTCAGGGACCCTTTTCACAAGCTTCTGTTGGAACAAGAAAGCCAATCCCCCCTTCAGGTGGGAGCTGTCAGAAGGTTCCTATTCACTTGAGAGGAAAGGGGTTCTGTTCCCGCTATTTCCTAATTCTGAAAGCCAAAGGTGGTCTCAGACCTATTCTAGACTTGTGACATCTCAACTGATATCTCAAGAACCTGAGGTTCTTCATGGTCTCCTTGACTTCCATCATTTCGTCACTGGATCCCATGGATTAGTATGCTGTCCTCGATCTAAAGGATGCCTACTTCCACATTTCAGTTTTTCCTGGTCACAGGCATTTGGTAATGTCTGTAGTGAACTGAAACCACTACCAGTTTGTGGTGCTCCCTTTTAGCCTGTCGACCGCCCTGCAGGTTTTCACAAAGTGCATGGTGGTAGTAGCAGCCTTCCTCAGAAAGAAGGGAATCCCCATGTTCCTATACCTTGACAACTGGCTGGTCAAGGGCCAGTCCAGAGCTCAAATGGAGGCCGCCATCTGTCTCATCCAGTTGATCTTCAAAGCATTAGGCCTTCTGTTAAATGTCCAGAAGTCCACCTTGATCCTGGTTTAGAGAATAGAGTTGATTGGAGCACTACTTGACTCTGTGCAAGCAAAGGCTCTACTTCCGGATGACAGGATCCTCTCAATTATGTCCCTAATAATATCTCTTCAAGGTCATCGGATCACAACCGTGCGAAACTGCCTGAGCATCCTGGGTCACGTGGTGTCATGCATACATATAGTACAACACTAGACTGACTCAGACATCTACAAGCCTGGCTAGCCACAGATTACTCCCCCTCTTGCCATCACTTGGACTCAGTGCTCACGATTCTGGTACATGTCCTCAGCTTGCTAATATGGTGGCTAGATTGTATGTGCAGGGGTACCCTTCTAAAATACCCAGTCATCCTTGTCTCTGGTATGCGATGCGTTGGCTCTCTGCCAGGGAGCCCACCTGAGGTCCCTCAGAACCCAAGATCTTTGTACTCAAGAAGAGCTTTCCCTGCACATCAGTGTCAGGGAACTTAGGGCAGTGGGTCTAGCCTGTCAATGTTTCTACCTCACCTGACTGGCAGATCCATTTCAGTCCTCATGGACAATACGATTGCTATGTTCTACATAAACAGGCAGGGCCGGGTGTTTTCTTTCCCCCTGTGCCAGGAAGCAATCCACCTGTGGGAGTTCTATATATCAATCACTCCATCAGTCAGAGGCATCTTATGTTCCTGGGACTCAGCAGATCTTTCTCCTCTCACTGTGAGAGGCCTTTTTGTCCAGACATTGTGAGGGACATCCCCTAATGATGGGGGACACCCCTTATAGATCAGTTTGGCACCTGAACCAACAGGAAGTGCCACCAGTTTTCCCTGTGAGGTCACAGCCCAGGCTTTCTTGCAGATGCATTCTGGTTAGTGTACAAGGCACCTGTGCTATACATTTCCTCCTATCCCACTGATTCACAAGGTTTTGATGAAGATCAAGTGGGACTGAGCATGGGTCATCCTCCTAGCCCCGGCAATATTGGTTCTCCATCCTTCTAGCCATGCAAATGGATATACCACTGCAGCTTCTGCTGAACCCAAACTTGATATCCTGGGGTCATAGCCAGCTGTAGCATTTGAACCTCGCATCCTTTCATCTGGTGGCCTGGGAGGTCCATGGCTGAATCCAGAGGAGCTAGTTTGCTTAGAGCAAGTCCATGAGGTCCTCATGGGCAGTAGAAAACCATTCACCAGAGCCACATACCTGGCAAAATGGAAGTGATCCTCCATCTGGTGTTCTTGACATCAAGTCCTGTCCTTGCAGTCATCCCTCCAACTTACTCTAGATTACCTGCTTCTGCTCGGACAACAAAGTCTAGCCATTTTATCAGTCAAGGGCCATTTAGTGGCTAGCTTGGCCTTCCATCCCAAGATTGACAACTGCTGTCTTTTCACAGTCTGTCTTTTCATGGTCATCTGGTTTCTCAAAGGCCTGGAGAGAGTATACCTACAGGTTAGGGATCCCACCCCCACGTGGGACCTAAACTTTGTGCTGTCAAAGCTCACAGGACCCCCATTTGAACCCTCTGGCAACATGCTCGCTGTTACAGCTCTCCTGGAAAGTAGGCTTTCTGGTGGCCATCACTTTGGCCAGGCGAGTTTCGGAGATCCAAGCCTTCACCCCAGAGACCCCATATACCGTCTTTTTCAAGGACAAAGTTCAGTTGAGACCACACCTGAGATTCCTTCCGAAAGAGGTCTCGCAATTCCATTGCAATCAAGCAGTTTTTCTGTCAGTGTTCTGCTGTAAGCCACATGCAAATAGAGAAGAATAGTGCCTCCGCTGGTTGGACATTCGGTGTGCCCTGTCTGTTTTACATACAAAGAAGCAAACCATTCCACAGATCCACTCAGTTCATTATAATAGCAGAAAGAATGAAAGGTCTCCCCATTTCTGTACAGAGAATCTCATCATGGATTACTTTGTGTCTCAGAGCATGTTACGAGCTCGCAGATATTCTGCCCCGGCCTAACCTACAGTGCGTTCTACAAGGTCCCAAACCTACTCCGCCGCTTTTTTGGCACAAGTTCCAATTCAGGACATCTGCAGGGTGGCAACTTGGTTGTCAGTTTACACGTTCATGACTCCATACGCCATTACAGAACAGATCAGAGAGCATGTCAGCTTCAACTGGGGTGTGTTCCAGTCAGCCTGTCCTTAATCTCCAAACCCACCTCCAGTGCAACTGCTTGCAAGTCACCTACATTGGAATGGACATGTGCAAACACTTGAAAAAGAAAAAATGGTTATTAGCCTTTCTGTAATGGTGGTCCTTTGACATATGTTGCACATGTCCATTCCAAAATCTACCCTCCATCCCCTCTCTGAGGCAGTTGGCAAGTAGAAACTGAAGGGGAGCGGGGTTGGCAGGGTCCTTTTTACTGACGCTATGAGCACACTACTCCAGGGGGAACTAGAGCTGATCCAACTGATACAACTAAGGGGAAAAAATCCAGCAACTCTGCTGGGGACGTGCACACACTTCCATTGAAATGGACATGTGCAACACATCTCAAAGAACAACAGTTATAGAAATGTTAGTAACTGTTTTTGGTCCATTGTAATATCTGTTTTAAAAATTATTAACTGAACAATAAAATTGCAGGGTTCACGAGATAAAGACAAAGCTGAGAGGAAGCGAAAAGCTGAGATTGCCAGGCTGCGCAGAGAGAAGATCATGGCTCAGATGTCTGAGATGCAGCGGCACTTCATTGATGAGAACAAAGAACTCTTTCAGCAGACTTTAGACGAACTAGCTACTTCAACCTCCAGAGTACTCGATAATAGGTGAAGGGAAAACATTTTAAGTAAAACTTTGAGAGAGTTGATAAATCTCTTTTGTTAATTTCAAATCAAATATTTTCTGGTTTTTCTATTTGAACTCAAAAGCTAAATTTTCCTTTTCTCAGCTGACAACTGTCCAGCTCTTTCAGACCATTTGTTGCTTTTTCAGACCACTTTTTCCCTGCACACTGCTAAAATTATTGCTGAATTTGCACTAAATATCCATGACTGATTCAGAAAATTAAACAGACAAAAAAAACCTGCCTGACTTATAAAATCTTGGTTAGGAAGTGTGGCCAGCATGATTAATTGTTAATTATACTAGGGAAAGTTGTTTTGGACATAGGGAAGTGGGAGTAACTTGTATCTGTTTGTGGGGAAAAATTATTTGTAACCAGCTGAAGATCTAAATTAAGGTGTATTTTGTGGGGGATTGGCAGATGGAAACCATGTGGTATTTGGTCTGTGAAGCAGTTGGGGGCAGCTGGGAAAAGTACAAGCTTGGCCTATATTTATATATTTCTGTTTTATCTGCTCTGAATAAAGATTTATAAAACTCTATGGTAGTACTTATGAAATCCTGAAAGTAGTATTCCAAACCTAACAATAGACCATTAACATTAAAAAACCTACATTAAAAGAGAGTTAAAATGCCATCTTAAACTAACAAAACCAATCTGTTAAGAAGTTGTTGGGTAAAAACCAAAGCCTCCAGTATTTGAGTTTGGATGCTATCTTTAATGATGATCCCTGTCTACTAGGTATAATTGGATATTAAATTATTGTCCCCCTCCTTGTAAACTTTAAAAAACAAACCAAACTAAAGACTACGATTTGCATACACCTCTCTAGCTTTTACTTTCAAGCTTAATGGTAACGATTTAATTGCAATTTTAATCTGGAAACAGTTAAAATATGATTTCAAGAAAACAAAATATTTTCATGTTGTCAACATCTGGAGGACATAAGGTCTCTCTGAAATGTATAGTTATACAGTGGTTTTTGGGGACATGTGCATGGATGTATATACAGTAACTCCTCACTTAACGTCCTAGTTATGTTCTTGAAAAATGCAACTTTAAGCGAAATGATGTTAAGTGAATCCAATTTCCCCATAAGAACTAACTCCCCCCCACCCCATTTATATTATGTTGCAGGGAAATTTTTTCACCGGACAAGAGATTATATACATATACAGTATAAGTTTTAAATAATTTTAAACAAACAAATTAATAGAGTACTCACCAGTGATGATTGCGAAGCTTGGTTGAGGCAGGGACATAGCAGGGTTGGGGCACCAGGGCTTGCCCTGCTCCACCTGCCAGACACTCCAGCCGGGGAGCGGGCAAGCCCCCGTGCCTGGATCCTGCTACCAGGCTGGAGCACCGGGCTCGGGGGTGCCAAACAACGTTATAAGAGAACATTGAAGAACTTCAAAGGAGTATGTTCTCTAATAGGTCAGCAACCTAATAACAAAACAACGTTAACCGGAACAACGTTAAGTGAGGAGTTAATATATGACAAATGTTTGCTTATTTACAAAATGAAAATGAATGAACATAAAACTACACCAATAAACTAATAAAAACTTAAAGCATGATCTAATTTAAATAATTGTCAAATAGTGTACTCACTGGTATAATTTGATTCCAGTCCTACAGTTTCAGATACAAAGCTTACAGCTTTGGGACCAAAGCAAACTAGAGTGACTGAACGGAGACAGGTTGTTACCTGTATATTGTGTCAAGAAGAGCAGGAGGTTAAAGTGGACAGCAGGGCTATGGTCTTGGCAGCATTTGTTCAGAGATCTACTGTATTGTCTAAAAACCGGAACAAAGTTATTCAGGATCCTGGTAAGTTGTGTTCATATTTTGACTATAACATTCAGAAAGAATCATCTGTATCTGCCCTGATTCTTATTCTGAAGTAGAGGTGTTCCACTGTGCCCCTTCTTATTAGTTATATATTTGTGAGCAAGTTCAGATATTGTAGTCAGTGGCAAAACGCTCACTGACTTTGTTAGCGACATGCCTCATAAGTAGTAGCTAGGAAACACAGGCAATATAATATCTAAAACGCTTCCTCTAGTCACAGTTATAAATTCAGTTATTGAAAACTGAGGTGTATTAGGTGAAGGTACTATATATTTTCGTGGGTAGAGTAACGGGAATGAGAGAGGGTCAATATGGATGTATTGGAGCTGATATACCAGTCATTATTAAAAGGCTTGGGCATGTGAAGCCATTAAATGTTTTCCAGTTACTTGAGTTTAACGCCAAGCCATTCCTCAGTGGCTTTCAGATGTTAGTCCCACGTTTTTCTTTATTCCATCCCAATTATTGGTTTCAGAGTAGCAGCCGTGTTAGTCTGTATTCGCAAAAAGAAAAGGAGTACTTGTGGCACCTTAGAGACTAACCAATTTATTTGAGCATAAGCTTTCATGAGCTACAGCTCACTTCATCGGATGCATAAAGTGGAAAGTACAGTGAGGAGATTTTATATATACACACAGACCACGAAAAAATATACATTGTAAGGAGAGTGATGACTTAAGATGAGCTATTACCAGCAGGAGAGTGGGGTGAGAGAAAACCTTTTGAAGTGATAATCAAGGTGGGCCATTTCCAGCACATTTCCAGGAGTTAACAAGACCGTCTGAGGAACAGTGGGAGTGGGGAAGGAATAAACAAGGGGAAATAGTTTCACTTAGTATAATGAGTCAACCACTCCCAGTCTCTATTCAAGCCTAAGTTAATTGTATGCAATTTGCAAATTAATTCCAATTCAGCAGTCTCTCGTTGGAGTCTGTTTTTGAAGTTTTTTTGTTGAAGGATAGTCACTTTGAGGTCAGAAATCGTGTGACCAGAGAGATTGAAGTGTTCTCCGACTGGTTTATGAATGTTATAATTCTTGACATCTGATTTGTGTCCATTTATTCTTTTACGTAGAGACTATCCAGTTTGCCCAATGTACATGGCAGAGGGACATTGCTGGCACATGATGGCATATATCACATTGGTGGATGTGCAGGTGAACGAGCCTCTGATAGTGTGGCCGATGTGATTAGGCCCTATGATGGTGTCCCCTGAATAGATATGTGGGCACAGTTGGCAGCGGGCTTTGTTGCAAGGATAGGTTCCTGGGTTAGTGGTTCTGTTGTGTGGTGTGTGGTTGCTGGTGAGTATTTGCTTCAGGTTGGGGGGCTGTCTGTAGGCAAGGACTGGCCTGTCTCCCAAGATTTGTGAGAGTGATGGGTCGTCCTTCAGGATAGGTTGTAGATCCTTGATAATACGTTGGAGGGGTTTTAGATGGGGGCTGAAGGTGACGGCTAGTGGCGTTCTGTTATTTTCTTTGTTGGGCCTGTCCTGTAGTAGGTGACTTCTGGGTACTCTTCTGGCTCTGTCAGTCTGTTTCTATAGGACAGGCCCAACAAAGAAAATAACAGAACACCACTAGCAGTCACCTTCAGCCCCCAGCTAAAATCTCTCCAACGCATTATCAAGGATCTACAACCTATCCTCACTGTACTTTCCACTTTATGCATCCAATGAAGTGAGCTGTAGCTCACGAAAGCTTATGCTCAAATACCTTGGTTAGTCTCTAAGGTGCCACAAGTACTCCTCTTCTTTTTGCCAATTATTGGTGTAACTTGAAGCCTGATAGTGCAAGATCTAGCAAAAATACCCCACATTCTGGTAGGCAAAATAAATAAATGAATGAAATAAAATATGCTATAATAAATTAAGAGGCAGTGCTGATATCTAGCTACAGTGGCAAATGGAGCTGCCTGCCCCAGTGTTTCAAATAGACCTTTCGCTATGCATGAGGAGGCTTGTTAGGAGCAGAATTACCAGCTCAGCTTCACAGTTGCCTCAGCCAATGAAACTCCTATAGTTTTCTGCTTGAGGATGTCTGCAGTGCAGGTGGGAGCGAGTTGCACAGCCTGCCTATACAGACTCATTAGCAGGGTCCAGGCTAGCATGCTAAAAGTATAAATGTGAATGTTCCTGCTTTGGCCTTCAAACTCACTTTATACTCTAGGCTTGAGAGCTTGAACTGGAATGTCCCACGTTGATGTTTTTAGTGTGCTAATGCTAGCTCCCACCTGCAGCATAGACATACCATCAGAGTCTCCCAATTCTCCCCCATTTATGCCCTCCTCAGAAATCACTCTGGGCCATAATCTCTCACTACACTGAGGATATGTTTTTAGTACATATATCAGTTCTATACCTGGATTTATGTTAAACATTTGGCAGCAGTCAGTTCATTTAATGTGCATAGGTGACACATGCCTTAATAATCTGTGTAAAATATTTCTCAGTACAGGGTTTTTTTTTCCTTGTTAGATTCTTTTTGGTAGAGAAACTCAGAAAAAACACTTTGGTTTCAAGACTTTTCTGGAACAGCTAATTTTTGGTTGGTTGGGATTGCTTCATCCTAAATATTCTCTGTTTATATTACGTGTATACAAATACACAACATTTTTCTGTACTATACCTCTCTATTCCACTTACAGAAGATGAATAATGTTCTGTAGGCCTGATTCCCCTCCCCTCCCCCCCAGGGGTCCTGAGCACCCAAAATTCCAGTTAAACTGAATGGGTGCTGCTGGTGTTCAGTGCCTCTGAAATTCAGGGCCTGTTTGATGATTTCATCTTTAATAACTAATTATTATGTATTTATAACTGAGCCTTTAAACTGTGTTTCAAATGACCTAGCTAAAAAGTATATTTGTAGGGATTGGTAGTATGCTTTAAATTGACTTTCTCAAAGGACTAGTAAAAAGGTGATTTTTTTAATAACATTTAATAAAGCATGTAAATGACAAATGTAAATATTTTAATGTCAGAAATAAATATCTGTTTATTATAGAAAGATTTAAATGCAAAATTGTTTGTTTTTACGCAGAAAAATATGACCCATTATTCATGCATCCAGAGCTGTCATGTGGAACACACACGGGTAGCTGTGGACATATTATGCACGCTCACTGTTGGCAAAGGTAATTGCCATGTTTAGAGTTAATAGAAGTGAACTTTATTTTAAACTAGACATAAATGATCCAATCCTTCTCCCACTAATACCAGTTGGAGTCTTAACGTTTACTTCAGTGGAAGGATTAGATGTCAAATACATAATTTAAAATAAAGGCTGTTATAGACCAGTAAAGATATCTAAGATACAAAAGAGAGAACCCATTATAGCTAAATTGCAAACAAGATTTATTAGAAATGATAGTTTAGCATCTGTCATCTTGATATTTTGTCATATAGAGGAGGAATTTATGTGCATGTTGTTAATACTAAAAAAAATTAGTTTACAACTTAACGGTTTTTAAATTTGAGTGGATAAAAGTTTAAATAATGTCTGTAGAAGCCAGAAGGGTTTACCTTCATATGTAAATAGTACTTGTATAATGCTAGGATATTCCCATAATATTAAATATGCATCCTGAAATGATCAATTCTTTACAGCCATTGCTAAATTTTAATGTTTAAAAAAATGTTTGAATTCTTGCTTAATCTGGAGTTGAGCAAATAATTTGCAGAGAATAACTTATTTGTTCAATATAGCCTTTTCTTCTGCTTGTAGGATGTCCGTATTTCCTTGAATTTGTTCTTTAATTTGCTAGACTGCTATTTTAGCTGGTACGTCTTAATGCAAGTATTCAGTAGTTGAGCTTCATTAATTTGTTGATTAGTCACAAGTCTTTAAGGCATTGCTTCTGCTTCCTGATTAGAACACAGTTTATGATCAGGAAAAGAGCTTGTAGAATAGTGGAAGTTGGCAGTATGTAAGGGCTTGTCTACACTTGGAAATTTAGTAAAAGAGCTATTCTGGAATATTTATTTCACTATAAGCTCCCATATGGACACAGTCTCTTATTTTGGAATAAGTTCCCGTTTCTCATTTAGCTTAATCTACTTCCCAAGTGGCTTAACATCAATATTTGTTTCTTCTTCTCTGAGCAAGCAGACTCCCACCCTGCACTCAGGATTGAGTTCTATGTTTGGAATTTTGATTCTTTAGTTCTGGAACACTTATTACTGCATAAAACTTTGTCTTGGTACTTTGGTTTCCCTGGCAATGGCCAACAAAACTGGGAACAGAGAACAAATTTTCATAAAGAGAAGGAAGAGGCACTATTCATTGCTAAAAATTTTTTTTTTTCTGAATAAACCTGAAGCCAAGGATTCTCCCCAAAGCCGCCTTCTTACAGTCTATTTCAAACTTACTTAAAAAAAAAAATCTAGAAAATCCTGATTTTTAAACCTGAAAAGAATCTTACTTTATGTGATTTGAGGTCCATTGCACTAATATTTTTGGTTGAAAAATTAGCTAGAGCTAGCAATTCATAATATTTGATCAACAAGAATGTAATTTTCATATCCAATATTTGTATTTTAGATAATGTTCTTACATGAGCATGAAAAAAATGTCAGTACATATTGATTCATACATTAAAATACTATTTTACTGACAAACATTAAATTAATATATTGTTTTCTAAAGGTATTTTGATGCTGTTCAAGCAAAGGAGCAACGAAGACAACAGAGATTACGTGTGCATACAAGTTATGATGTAGAAAATGGTGAATTCCTTTGCCCTCTTTGTGAATGTTTAAGCAACACTGTTATTCCTCTGCTTCCTCCACCAAGAGGTTTATTTAACAGGTCAGTTTGCTTTTATAAGCATCCTTGTTAACCATGGAAAAAGCCCCCTCTTAAATCTGTGTAATCTAAAGAATCAGGGCACAATTCTGCACATGCCTGTTATCAGAGCTACACATAAGATGAGATGGTAAATGTTTGCAGAGTTGGGAGGTGCATGTGTACTTCTACCAAATTTTAAAACGCTTTGCTGTCAGTGAAACTGGAATGTGAATTAAACACAGTCAATGGACTACAGAATTGCCAACTCGCTTTGGTATAGAGAGTCTTGTGATATTTTTTTAAAAGTTGCTCATCTCAGGGACAGCAGATTTTGTCATGTGAAAATCCTGAGCTTTTCAAAATTTTCACCATTTCCCATTATTTTAATAATCTGAAACTAGAACGAGGTTGCCCTCAGTCAAGATAGCTGCCTCTTATGCTTTGTGGTTTGGAAATTACAAGAGTATAGAGGGATAGGGAAATGAGGATAATTGTGTGAGGATAGAGGAATGTGTGGAGGGCAGAGAGGAAGATTGGTAGGAATCACGAATATAGAGTGGCAGGAAGGGTGACTGATTGGACTCAGCAGGAGAGGAAAGGGCTGGAAAGAAATTGAAGGACTGTAAAGGGAGAATGGGAAAGGAAGGAAAAATCAGAGAGGAAGGTGAGTGTTGGGGGAAAGGTGGGTGTAGAAAGGAAAGACTAGCTGCTTCTGCACACCAGGGAGTGGAGTTTTCCCTCCAACTACCAGGGAAGGAGATGCTCTCATTACTGTGTGTGTGTATTTTTGTGTACGTGCAAGGTTGAATTTTCCACTTAATATGATCTCACATGCACTAAGGATTTTCCTCAGTCAGAAAGCAGACCTCCAAAACAACTTGAATTTATTCTTGTTAAATCATATGTACCAATTCCATTATTTTGGTGGGTAGGGCATCGTGGCTTCTTGCTTTAATTATTTTGGTAAGAACTTCAAATACCTTTGGACATAGGTGCCCTGTACATAAATTTATTACAAGTTTTAAACATTAAATATTTGTCAACCATGTGGCAGGGCTCACTTGCTCTTGCCTCTGCTCAAGTCCATGAACAGCTCAGAGACCTTTTTGCTGATAAAACACCCGGTGCAGTTTATTTACAATATTAGGTTCCACCATCCTTATACAATATATAGCCTTACCCCTATAGTCAAGGGAGCCCTCTTCTCCTTAGGCAAGCAGAGGAGAGTGATCCTCCACTTGCTTCTCCACTTCCATCTTGTGCCTCTTGTATCATCTGTGTAATGGCTTAATTAGCCTCTTAGTTCTCCTCAACCCATCAATTAGGCACAGCTCTTCTTAATAAGATCTCTTCTAGAGTAATTAATTAGAGTTGCAGTGACCAGAGTGCTGGCTCACCTGTTGGTGCCCAGCACCCTGTCACAAACCTACAATTCTTAAGGTCTTTGTAGATAGTACAGAAACTTTGTGGTCTGCTAAGTTGTTATAAGTTACTAATAATAGTAACTGACGGCATCAATGTGCCTCTGTATGATAAAACTAAATCTTGCATTAGTGCTGTGGAAGAACATAAGAATGGCCATACTGGGTCAGACCAAAGGTCCATCCAGCCCAGGATCCTGTCTACCGACCATGGCCAATGCCAGGTGCCCCAGAGGGAGTGAACCTAACAGGTAATGATCAAGTGATCTCTCACCTGCCATCCATCTCCACCCTCTGACAAACAGAAGCTAGGGACACCGTTCCTTACCCATCCTGGCTAACAGCCATTAATGGACTTAACCTCCATGAATTTATTCAGTTCTCTTTTAAACCCTGTTATAGTCCTAGCCTTCTTCACAACCTCTCCAGGCAAGACGTTCCACAGGTTGACTGTGTGCTGAGTGAAGAAGAACTTCCTTTTATTTGTTTTAAACTTGCTACCCATTAATTTCATTTGGTGGCCCCTAGTTCTTATGGGAACAAGTAAATAACTTTTCCTTATTCACTTTCTCCACACCACTCATGATTTTATATACCTCTATTATATCCCTCCTTAGTCTCCTCTTTTCCAAGCTGAAAAGTCCTAACCTCTTTAATCTCTCCTCATCTGGGACCCGTTTCAAACCCCTAATCATTTTAGTTGCCAGTATATCTTTTCTGAGATGAGGGGACCACATCTGTACGCAGTATTCAAGATATTGGCGTACCATGGATTTATATAAGGGCAATAAGATATTCTCCATCTTATTCTCTATCCCTTTTTTAATGATTCTTAACATCCCGTTTGCTTTTTTGACTGCCATTGCACATTGCATTGACGTCTTCGGAGAACTATCCACGATGACTCCAAGATCTTTCTCCTGATTAGTTGCAGCTAAATTAACCCCTATCATATTGTATGTATAGTTGGGGTTATTTTTTACATTTATCCACATTAAATTTCATTTGCCATTTTGTTGCCAGTCACTTATTTTTGTGAGATCTTTTTGAAGTTCTTCACAGTCTGCTTTGGTCTTAACTATTTTGACCAGATCTTAGCTATCAGTGGAACACATGAATACAGTTTTCTTCAGTATGTCTGTTTCTGTTGTAGTGTACTGTCTCCACGTAACAATGAATTGTCTAGTTTCTCCAGGTCGAATATTGTCAAAGCAGATAAAACTAAAAAGATTAAGGGTGACTTTTTTGTAGATTACAGTACTGCTTATCTGTTAGCCTTTGTAATAGTTTTGTGACCATGGGAAAAAAAAATATTTACATACAGTCACTTTTATTCAAAGACACTTCATAAAGCAAGTTCTCTTTGTGAAATCCATAAATATTTTATTGTTTTGGTCATTATCTATTGAAAATTTCTATTGCCTGCATAGACGCACATATAAATTCAAAACTCTCTTCAGTAACCCAAGTTCTGGAATATAATAAACATTTTTAATGGTATCCTGATAAATTTTAGATTGGGTTTATAGGAAAAATATCTAATGTAAAAGATCTGTGTAGCACAGTGGCACATGGCAGAACCTGTAGTTGAGTAAACATCAATCATTATCAGATTAAGAGGTCAGAGCTGCATTAAAGAGATTTGCACTGCAAGAGTAGAATCCACCACACACAAACTGTCATGTGGATTAGTTGTCGTCCGTCCCCCTCCTTGAATGCTGTCTTATTTCTCATGGCAAGTACATTTTACAGGGGCAGTGACAAAACTATCTCCACACAACTTGAAACAGAGACTTTTATGGTTAAGTATTTACTAATTGTAACATGGGTCAAAAGTCATATTTGCAACCCAAAAAAATTACCAATAATTCAAACATGAAATTTGATTCTGTTGAAACTAAAATCTTTATGGAGACCTTAAGGCCTCAGGATTTGTGAATTTCTGTTATCCCTGTTGATGATGAATATACAGATAGCTATATCAAACACTTCATTCAAAGTACTATCACAGTGAGTTGGTCTTCTGAATGAGGGGGTAGGAGATTTTAGCAAATGTGTAAGATGCACCACTGTAGAATATAGGAAAAGTAAGAGTAGTACTTTACATGGTAAATCCGAGTAATCTATAAAATATGCACACGTACCAGATATTCTATGGAACAGTGGAGCAGGACTGTGTTTCAGTTTTAAAAAAAAAAAGTCATGATGGCATATTGTGATGGTTTATTGCATTTTGAAGTATAATTATGGTTTACACCCCTCTTCTCCCATAATCTTAATATCTGATTTTTTTTTCTCAAACTTTGTGCTCAACCTTACATAGGAGAAATTATGCAAATTATTTTTTTCAGAAAGAGAACAATAATATATATTCTGAAATAGTTTAATTTTTAAAGAATGTATGTATTCTGTCTTTTGACAGCTTGGATTTTTCAGACCAACCAAATCTAGCTCAATGGATGAGAACAATATCCCAGCAAATCAAAGCATTATATATACTTCGCGATGAAGAAACTGCTCGTAAGTCTGAAGATCTAATATTATATATCCTGAAGTATGGAAATGTTGTTGTCACTGAAAAGAGACTCGGCAAATTGTCACTTAGACATGGAGGTTTTACCTTCTGGTATTTTATTTAAATCCAGATCAGGTTGATAGTCTCTCTGAAAGTTCTCATTGGATAACTGCTCCTATGTGAATTGACTTTGTTGGTCTCCAGTTAGTTCTTAATGTACCAGTTCCATATGTCACAACTGATCTAGCTGGCGACCATGTTTGCAGTCTCAGTACTGAAGCCAAGAATTGCATGGCAATGAGGGTTGAATTAACACTTTCCATACAGCTGGTCTTTCCGTAGTGCAGCTGAGATGATGCTGGCAAAAAAATGTGGTGAAGTTACATCGCCACTGCCCATGTTATAATTATTCTGAGGAATTCTGAACTTTAGTTTCCAATGTTGTCAGTCTGCAACTTTCATGAGCAGTAAAATTCACAAATAGATAAAATAATATAATTACAGAGTTTATTGGACTTTTTTTATACAGATAATTCTTGTGGTAACTCAGAAAAAATGGATGAGCTACAACTACCTAAAGGATTTAGGCCAGACTTCCAACCAAAGTATGTATTTCATCTTTAAAAATTATTCATACCTTTATGTTATAGCAGGGATATAGGCAGAGGTGCAAGTAAGCCGGTACGCCCCGGTACAGCGTACCGGCATGAGCTGGTGCACCGTACTGAGGCAGCCCAGCTTCCCCGGGGGCAATTTAAAGGGCCTGGGGCTCCCAGCAGTGGCTGGAGCCCCAGGCCCTTTAAATTGCCTCCAGAGCCCTGCTGCTGGAGCCCTGGGGTAGCGGCTGCAGGGCTCCAGCGGCTATTTAAAGGGCCCGGAGCTCCCCTGCTTCTACCACCCCAGCCCTTTAAATAGCCACCAGAGCCCTGCCGCTGCTACTCCAGGGCTCCGGGGCCATTTAAAGGGCCGAGGCAGTAGAAGAGGGGAGCCCTGGGCCCTTTAAATAGCCCCCGGAACTCTGGGCTGCTGCAGCTACTCTGGGGGAGGGGCGTGCACTTACCTTTCAGGGTGGGCTGGGGCTGGCTCTGACCCCTTCCGCCCTAGACCCAGCCCCTTCCGGGGGCCAGACCTGGCCCCAGCGTACCAGTAAGTCACCCCTGGATATAGGTCTAAAACTGGGGTATATTTGTGTGCTATAGTGCTTCAGCTGAATAAGCTAAAGAACTCTGAATCACACTTCCATTAGAGGAGCTGAGCTTATGTTGAGAATTTGGCCATTGTACACCACTACTTTTGCACAACAGTCAATCCTCGATTTACATGGTAGTTATGTTACCGAAAAAAACACTGTGCAAATAAAATCGCATTAAAAAAATACCGAGTGTCTATGGGACATAAGGGTTTTGGTTCCAGGCTCACAAGATGACCTCTCTAATTTATACACTACAGTACTACAGGTTTTATTAAATATTTTTAATGAAATTTAAACTTATTACAGTACAGATACTAACCTTTACTGATGTGGAAGATGAACTTGATACAGTATCAGCATCATGTTGTTGAAGTCAGAAGTCTGAGTTTTTTGTTTATCTGGGGTGTCTGGGGCGGCTGGGGAGTGTGGAGCAGTGGGGTGGGCCTTGACTTTGAGTGGGTGGGCAATGATGAGGGCGGTGGAGGGGAGGCAGGAGGGATGGGGCAGGAAGGGTGGGGCTGCCTCCACTCACCTCCTCCAGCTGGCCTTGTGGGGGTCCATAGACATTCTGGCAAGGGGCCCCCCAGGCACGCACCTGGGATAGGGGGTTGGAGTGTGGCAGCTTGCACTGCTACGCCTACCCGCCTGGAGCTCCTGCCAGAGCATGGGGTCAGGGGCTTGCCCTGCTCCGGCCGCCCAGCGCTTCTGCTGGAGAACAGGATCAGGGACTTGCCCCCTCCACCAGCCTGTCGCTCCTGCCAGAGAACGGGGTCAGGAGCTTGGCTCACCTGGTGCTCCTGCTGGAGAGCGGGGTTGGGGGCACACCCTGCTTGGGCTGCCCGGCGCTCCTGCCGGGGAGTGGGGTCAGGGGCACGCTCCGTTCAGGCCACCTGGCACTCCTGCTTGGGAGCAGGGTCGGGAACATGCCCTGCTCCGCCCGGCTGGAATGCCAGGCAGGTGGAGTGGGGTAAGCCCCCCTGTCCCGACCCTTTTTTAATGGGAAAGTAAATTAAAAATTCTGCCCTCAAATTGGCACATATTACTCCCATTAGAGTCTTAAAGATATTCTACCCAGTTGTGTTGAGGGCAAAGTCTGGGTAGTGCCGTACAAATATGTAAAATTCCAGTCTAATCCAGACAACCAAAAAATTGATTACTGCATTGCATGGCACAAACTGTTTAAAATAGCATAAAATGCCAAGTCTTCCAGTATTCACACAAATGCCACTGTTTAGTTAGTAGACTACTTTGCTTGAGTCAGGTAAGCAGGACATGGTCCAAAAGATCTGTCAACTTTGTATAAATCAGAGCATTCAGATATTATGCTTCCACTTGATGTTTAATTTGCCTATTTTCAGAATAGACTTTTAATGCCAATCAACCAATATCTCTCATCTCAGGAGTCTTTATTCTGAAAGCATTAAAGAGATGCTGACAACATTTGGTACTGCAACATATAAAGTGGGACTGAAGGTGCATCCCAATGAACAAGATCTGCGTGTACCCATAATGTGCTGGGGTAGCTGTGCTTACACAATACAGACTATAGGTAACATTTTGTTTGTAGTAACAACTACTGTGTGTTGGCAAGAGGCTTTTTATTTATTTAACTTTATTTATTTTTTATTTAAATTTACAGCTCTGAAACTTTTTTTTTTTGCCTTCTGCAGAAAGAATTTTAGCTGATGAAGATAAACCATTATTTGGTCATTTACCTTGCCGACAGGTAGGATCAAATAGCAGCCTCCGTTCTGAATCACTGGGTTGTCTTTTTTTTAATCCAGAGTGCCAAAATTGTAGCCTGAAATTATTGGAGAGTTTCATTTTAACTTGGGTTACACCCTTTTCTCTACTGATATCTGATATATTAACTTGAAACAAATGTAAAATATAATTAAGTTGTTTTTCTTCATGAATGCTAAGTATAATGGGCTTGGGTTTGTCTCGTCATAATGACAGTCAAAGCAGGGAGCTTTGAGATTGTAACTGTGTTCTGTAAATCTGTTTACACGTGCGCACACACACACTGATATCTTTATTACATTGAATTTTTGGCATAATCTATATCTCTCAAAATTATGTGGTAAAGACTAGCTACCTATCTAGAGTAATGTACTATATAGATTATAAAGGCATCATTTTATTCCATCTTGAAGACCTTAATTGTGGTGATTAGTTTGGGGTTGTGTGGTTTTTTTTGTTTTTTTTTAGGATGACTGCCTTACTTCATTAACAAGATTTGCAGCAGCACATTGGACAGTTTCATCTCTTTCGGCAGTACAGGGTCACTTTTGTAGGCTCTTTGCATGTAAGTTCAATTCATTATACTAATTATTTTTGCATAATCAGTACAGCCACTGGTAAAGCTGACAAAAATTAGCTTACAGCAAGCAATATGATTATTTGAGAAACTATATAAGAAGATAAAACCCTGAAGAAACTTTAAAAGCTGTGAGACTTGCAAACGTGCTTTTTTATCTAAAATTTACATGATTTAACATTAATTTGATAAGAACATTTATTTCTGGCATACTTATTGTTACTGTGAATGCACGAATCAAGTTTCAAAAATACACTACAGGAAAGTAAATTTACAGAATCCCTATTGTGGAATGGACTGATGGCGGTTTTTCTTTGTGACCCAGATTTTTTTAACTATTGTTAACAATATTTTAAGTAATTTGGATCAATAATGTTGAGATTTCTCAGTATTAGAACTCGGGGGTGTTTTAGTTTGAGTAGCTGGAAAGCATAGCTTTTGATACTGGCTGAAAAAAAAATCTAATGTAATTACATTGTGTTAACTTGAAAACTATTTGAATTAAAATATCATAAAGCCCTAAGCTTGAAATGTTTGTGGAAATAGATGAGCAGTCTTAGACATCCCAACACTTGAGATCTAAGTCATCTGAAATAGAATATAATAAATAAGATATATTAGCCTGATTATTAGAGATTGTGCTGCTCAGCACCTTTGAAAATCAAGCCAATATCTATACCTTTGTATAAATACATGTATGCTATAAACAGTATATTTCTTGATGAAAAGAACAACACTGTCAAGAATTAAGTAATGTCAATGTCAATAGAACCCCAATGTAAAATTTAAAGCTGTATTAGTTTAACTTACCTTTTTTTTTTCTTCAAGTTACTTAAGTCCTTGTAAGATGAGATAAGTGACAGTAATAATAATCATCAGTAAAGCAACAATTACTTTAACACAAGGTTATTAGATGGGATGGCTTGTAGGGTCTGCACTATACAAAAAGTGCTGTTTTCAGACAATGTTGAGATTCATATATACTCTGAAGCTATTAATAGAATCAATAGAAGTGGATCAGTTGCTGACATCTGCAGTACTAAAGCCAACAGTGAACACTTGCAGTACTAAATCTCTGATAGAAACTGGGGGAAAAAAATTATCATAGGTGTTTATGAGTTTGTTGAATTTACCAAAACACTAGCACTTGTAATCTGAAGGTATTGGAATCATCACAGTAGTAAATTGTTCTCAAATAACAATAGCTGTTTAAATTTGCCTAAGCATTCTTCAGTTATTAAGGGAAGATTAAGTGCTCTGGAAACAGTAAATCACCTCTTCACTTGGAGTATTTGCAGTTGTCAACATAAAAATATTCTCAGGTGTGGTGGCTTACATTACTGTACAGTTTGTGACTAAGATTTTTATTATGCTCTTCATCTGGATTTTTCTATCTGGGGTAACGATGTTCAGAGGGAATGCTTTGTGATATTTTTCTTTGGATGTTGCTTTAAATAGTAGATGGTTGTATCTTCAAGGAGGTTGGTTTTTTGTTTTGGTTTTAAATGGAGGTACTCTCCATGCAAAATGGGTCATCTATTATTGCGTGGAGTGCTTGATTTATGTTTACTGTATGCTTGCTATTCTAAGTTTACATTTGCACATGGTACACTAAAAAAAAACCAAACGTACTGTTTTGTTAGTTGCATTATTATTCCACTGGTTACATTTATTTAAAGTAAAATTTAAAACTATGGGAAGCACTAGTGTCAAATCAAAGCAGGGGTTTAAACCAAGGCTCATATTAAGCTGACTCTCAGCCATGTACATATCAACTGCTATCCTATTTTCCAAAATCAAAGCTTTGTCTTTGCTACAGACTCACTCAAAAAAAAAAAATCTCAAAAATGTGATCTCAGCTGGAACAATAGCTCTGAGAGGTGTCACTTTCCCCATTCATCTCAGTGAGGTGTTGTCATCACTGGGCTTCTGAGTTGATTTAAATTTTAGCATGGTAATTAATTTGTCTTATAAAATAGGAGAGAAGATTCACAGATCTACACAATTTCTGTGAGTAAGGTCTCATTTTTGGTGCCATAAGTGGAGATAACACCACTTATTTATTTTTCCCTCATTAAGAAGGAGCCAACCCCAAAGAGCACTGCAGAGATTATGGACATATTGAAGCCCGGAGAGGGGAACCAGGCTCAAGTAGCCCAGCAGAGTTCAGAGAGCTGCATAATATCATATTTTAAATGTCTGCATAATCTACAGTGAGCAGTGTCTCATTTTGGTAACTCGCATGGGCAGAGCTTGGGAGAGTACCACCACTTTTTCTATTGCAGTCCCAGTTGTAACCAAAAGAAAAATCAGAACAGAATGTACTATACAGTTTTATACAAATTATTTTGTTCTTATCTCATTTTGGTGAAATATAAAGTTTGGAAACTAGAATAGAACCTGCTCCAGCAGTGTGCATAAGTTCTTGAATTAATTTATTCCTAGCCAAAACCGGAAAGAACTTGTGAGTAGACACTTAAAACATTTAACACACAATTAAGATTGCTATAGTCTATTCTGTAGCAAAAATCAGTGCCAATTCTCTTTGTTGTGTAATTAATACATTTTTTGTTTTTTATATATTCAGCACTGGTGCCTAATGAAAAAAATGGAAATCTTCCATGCATACTTGATATTGACATGTTTCATTTATTGGTAAGTTTTTCATAATGAATACACCTACACCTTTGGTCCTATAGATTACATCTACACTGCAAAAAAACATGGGGCAGTGAGTCTCAAAACCTGGGTCAAATGGGAGCGTGTGAGCCCCATGATTCTATGGGGCTAAAAATTGCAGCGTAGACATTCCTGCTCAGGCTGGAATCCAGCTCTGAGATCCTCACCGGGTTTCAGAGTCCAGGCTCCAGCCCAAGCAGGAACATCTACACTGCTACTTTTAGCCCTGTACTCTAAGCCTGAGTCAGTTGACCCAGGCTCTGAGACTCGCACTGCTGGGCTTTTTGCAGTGTAGATGTACCCTTAAGCATCTTTTATATATCAAAGCTGCAGTTATATATTTTCTGCATAACCACAAGAGTTTCGAGGAAAATGTATGGCAAGTTACGATTCTTTCTCACAGATGTTTAAACTTAATATTTTTTGCTATATTACAGTTTATTCTCTGACTTGGGAAAAAGGGCAGGGAACCCTGCATTATTTGACAGTTATCCCTATGACACATGAAGGAATGGGATAACTGGCATTAAAATTAGTCCCATCGAGTGTCCTGCAGCACAAAGGATGACATCAAGAAAAAACTTACTTATTCTTGAGGCTGTGGCAGAGAAGGGGAAGATATTCATTCTCTTATACTTTCTATTTTTTTCTATTACAGGTAAGCTTGGTGCTCTCTTTTCCTGCCATATACTGTCAGGATTTTTCAGGGGTTAGTCTTGGCACTGGAGATCTTCACATCTTCCATCTTGTCACAATGGCACACATAGTGCAAATTTTACTTACTTCATCAACAGGTAATGCCTCCGTTTTTGTTTCACTATACATTTTTCTTTTAATGAACACTAAGGCCGGGTCTACACTTGAAAGTATAGCTATGTTGCTATTTCATACAAGCAAAGAACCCTTAGTGCTAATTAAAAGCATACTCTATCAGTCACAAATCATACACCCCCATCAGCATAACTGTGCTGGCAAAAGATTACGGCGCAGGCTGGGTTTAAACTTTTGTTTCCCAAAGAAAATAATCTGTGCTTACTAAAGAAAGGAATTAATGCATCCTGCTTTTAGTACTCATGTAACAAGAGGGTCTGGATATGGTATATTGTGCAAAAAAGATCTGTTCTGTGTGACATTGGCAGCCATTCCTGATCCCTGGGAGGAGACAAAACAATCTTTTCCTTGTTTTCTAATGGGGTATTTCTCTTGTTTGTTCTTGGCCTTCTTGTCAACATTTGGTTTGTCATTATTTTAAATGTTTGATACCGATGATAATATAGCCAGGTCTTTAATGCTTCATTTATAAACATCTGTAGTATTCAGAGCTTCACCTCCTCTCTCACCTATTTCTAAAAAAGATTTGTCCATTAAAAATTAAGTGATTTCTAGGTTTAGAATTGTACCTGATTTATTTTTTCTTTGATCTTCAGAAGAAAATGGCATGGACCAAGAAAACCCTAATGGTGAAGAAGAAGTAGCAGTGCTTACTTTGTATAAATTTCTTTGCCAGCATACAGGAAGGTAAAATTATAGTCTCTAATTTACACAACCATTGTTTGGTGGTGGGACCAGCAGAGAATCTGTAACACCATATAAAGGCTGAATTTGATGTACTGATGCTGTTAAGAGAATCATATTTTAAATTAAAAAGTTCTTACTCCTTGTGTGCTACCAATTAATCCTGGTTCATGATTAACTGAAAAAAGTCACATGACAAATCAGAAAATGTCTGTAATTTACCTCTTTAGAGTTCAGTAATATTGGACTATAGAATAGAATAATTTTGATCAGCCATTTGGCATACATAAATAAATCTTGATAGGTTGCAGATGAGTTCCAAGAACTTATTTACTTCTTAGCCACTCAGCCTCTCCCAAATTTTTGATTCCTTATTGTGTTATCTATTGAAATTTAGAGATTCATAAAAAATATTTATCTTCCCATTAGTGTTAGCTTCAAAGTAAACACTCTTTACCTGACATTTGTTTTAGCCAAAGTCAAAAACTGCTCAATATGAAGTATGGCCTAACTTTTATTAAACATATTGTTGTTTAGCTCAGCAGCTTTGTATTAGCTCTATTTTTTACTTACACACACACTCTCTCTCTCTCTCACTAATTTTATTCATTCTGTTTTAAGTGCCTTGAAAGAAATGTCCTCAGGCTGGCATCTGTGCAGGAGTATAAAAGCTGGAATTATGCCTTTCCTGAGATGCTCTGCTTTGTTTTTCCATTATTTAAATGGAGTCCCAGCACCATCAGAAATTCAAGGTAATGTCCATTTATTGCTAGATGTACAGGGACAGCTTTGTAAATGGCATGGAAAAAAATGATTTAAATGCCAATGAAAATAAACCACATTAAACTGTCCTTTCTGTAGTAGGTGAAATTAATACTTATTAATAATTAATATTATAAAAGTATAATTAATGCTAATTAATAATGCTGACTTATTACTGATTCAGGACTGTATCTGCACAAAACTGCAAAGCAACAGAAAAGGTTTTTTAGTTTTTGAAAAGTCACTTTTTAATTAAAAATAGGCAAAAACCAAACAATTTTGCACTGTTGTATCTTTGTGTTTCAAAATAATATAGGACACGAAATTGATATTCTAGCAGTTAAAAGGAAGTAAAGGCTCATTGCTTGTTTGAAATCTCATCTTTATTACCTTGAGCATTCTTCTCGTACGAGACCTGCTCCTGCTCCCTTTGACTTCAGTGAGATTAGCAGCAGGCCCTTAATTTTGAATTAATCTTCAAAAGTGAGAGTGTTACACTATATTTACACTACAGTTGAATTCGTGATAGCAACAACCGTAGCTGAGTTCCAGCTATGGTTCAGATAGGATTTAGATATAAGTCTGGAGGTGTTAGTCATAATCAAAAAGAAAAGGCACATATGAACACATACTACTCTCGGTTCCCCATATTTAAAATTGAATTATTTGATATTTTAGTTCTGAATTAAAATTAAAGTCAGTATTTTTTTTCATATAGGCTATTATCAAGACTAGCTCTTGCTGTGTAACATTTCCTTGAGTTATGGCCCCTCAACAAAATGTTGAAACGAGTAAAGGATACTTTTATTGGACTGTATGCAAGACTTTGCGTGAAAAACACTCCCTTCTTCCCTGAACTTCTGTTTTACATAGCTGGGCTTTCCAGTTTTTTCACAGTCTGGACCACATCTTAACTGGGAGCTCATTTCATGAGCCATAACTGGCACTAACTTGCAACCTTATTTGCACTGCCATTGCTTGTGCTATATCTGTTCTGTGAATAAACAGAGAACTTCAGACTCCAGGACTTTCAATCTGGCACCTCTGACCAGCCTTAAATTCACAACACATCTTAACGTGGAGTGTGTGGGGGGAAAAGTCACCCTTTTACATTATAATTAAGGCTATAAGTATGTCACGGAGCTTGCGGAAGTCAGAGAATCTGTGACTTCCAGAGACCACTGCAACACTGGGGCCCCGGAGTTCCCCAGCTGCCACCACCAGTGGGGGATTCTCCCTCCGCCCCCCAGCTCCCAACCCTGCAGGGTGGTGGGGGATCCCCCGGAGATCCCCAGCCACCCCCTCCCCGGGGGTGGGGGGTCCCTCCGGAGCATCTTTGGGGGTGGGGGATCCCTCCCAGCCACTGGGCAGGGGTGGAGGGCTGCAGCTCCCTGCTGCTGCATGCAGTGGGGCATGGTGCTGGACCCTCCTCCCTCTCCCTTTTTTCAGGGATGTTTTTAGTAAAAGTCAGGGACAGGTCATGGCTTCCATGAATTTTTGTTTATTGCCTGTGACCTGTCCAAGACTTTTACTAAAATTATCCATGACAAAATTATAGGCTTAATTATAATCCCCAATTAGGGTTGTGTTTTATTTGCTGTTGGTGATATCTTCCAAATGCAACTATTTATTGTCTGTCTTTTTCTGCATTTACAGTAACTGGGGCAAGCCAGTTTGAACATTTATGTAGCTATCTTTCCTTGCCAAACAACCTCATTTGCCTTTTTCAAGAAAATAGCAAAATTATGAACACATTAGTAGAAAGGTATGAAACTTTATTCTTTAATTCTAACATAAAGTATGCTGCCCCAGAAATTTAGTGTAAATATTTTCCCAGTAATGCATATATTTGGAAATGAAAGATGAATGTATTTTAAAAATTACCTGTAAAATACAGAAGTTTTTGGAAGAAGTCTTTTGGGATGGAAAGTATATTAAATAGATCTATATTTTTTACTTGTTAGTAGTTGTTCCTCTATAATATTGTTTAATGAAGACTAAATGGCATCTTTTTTTCTCTTGAAGTTGGTGTAGTAACAATGAAGTAAAAAGGTACCTGGAAGGCAAAAGACAAGCCATAAGGTGAGTATGGAGGGATTTTAGGATGGGGGAGAAAAGTTTTGGGTTTTTTTGTTGTTTTTTTTCCCCCTCTGTAACTAAATGTAGCAATTTTTCCTGTACTTGGTCTGTCAATAAAGTAACTTACAAAAATACAGCTTCAAAATGCAATTGAAAAGCATAGCTAGAGGAAGAACCGAGATATATTTAATTATCTGTAAGGAGAGTGAAATACTGTTTAAATTCAGAGATTCTGTGAAGCTTATAACGATCTGTTCTGGATATCTCATTTAACCTCCTGCATAACACTCAGGCCATAGAATTTCATTCAGAAGTTTCTGCATCAAGCCCATAACTACTGGTTGAGCTCGAGCATATCAGTTTGAAAGACATTATTAAAACTTACATTGTGTAGAACAGTGGTTCTCAACCTATTTACCTTTGCGGGCTGCATGTGCAGCTCTCTGTGGGCCGCATCCGCACAATATATATACTACAGTAGAAGCTGTGTTATCTGGCACTTTACCAACTGGAAAGCTGTAGAAACCGGCATTTCTGATATCCATTAAAAGTCTGGTTGGTGCAGGGCAAACAGACTCCCCGCGTGGCTCCATGTGGCTCCCCGGAAGCGGTGACATGTCCCTGCTACTCCTAGGTGGAGGAACAGCTATGCGGGCTCTGTGCGCTGCCCCCGCACCAAGCACTGGCTCCGCAGCTCCCATTGGCCAGGAACCGCAGCCAATGGGAACTGCCAAGGCGGCACCTGTGGGTGGAGGCAGCGCGCAGAGCTGCCTGGCCACGCTTCCACCTAGGAGCAGCAGGGACATGTCACTGCTTGTGGGGAGCCGCCCAAGCTGAGCGCCGCCTGGATCCGGCACCCCAAAACCCCTCCCAAAGCCTGTACCCTGCACCCCATCCCGTGCCCCATCCCCTGAGCCCCATCCGACACCCAGACCCCACCCTCCCACCCCGTTGGTAAGTATAATGCTTAGTTAACTGGAATTTTTGACTTAGCGGCACCCCCCAGGCCCTCACATGCCGGATAACAAAGCTTTTACTGTACCTGTATGGCCCTGAGGATGTCACGTGGGCCACAGCTCTTCGCTGATCAGGCCGCTAGTGGGCCGCAGGTTGAGACCACTGGTGTAGAATCTGAAGGGAAAATATGAAGGTCTTGACATTAATACTCATGATTTCCCAATTACATAAATATTCAGTGTTAGTGTTTGTGTAATGAAAAAAAGAAACACAAATTTACTCCTTGTAGCAGAAGTCTCTTGGATTAGAGAGTGGCTGTTTTCAAAACAATATTAGTTGTATCAGAGACTTGCTTACAATATTCTGATCCTTTAGCAGGAGAAATGTTCATATAATCCTATCGTGTATCAGGTTGAAACACTGTCTAAAGTATGCAAATGAAAGAATATATAATTCTTGGACTTTTCTTGAGCCATACAGGAAAAATAATAAAAATATGACTCCATGCAAACCAAATCTAGTGTGCTTCAGTTATGGGATGTTGGAGTCCTATTTGGTACATCAGTTTATGAGGCTTATCACATCAAGCTGAAAATGTGCTGCTGTTTAACTATTCACATGGGCAGAGAGGAAGAAAACTAAGGCTTGTGAGTAGTGCTATGAAACAGCAAATGGAACAGTATCAAGTAAGGGCTTATTTATGTGGTGAGGTAATACACTCAAGAAGGGTGTGATATCTAAAGTGCACTGACTTGTGCATTAATTGGTCTGTGTAAACCCTGTTGATGCACCCTAGAAGTTCATTAGTGTCCTTTAACATAGCACTGGGATGAATGTGGTTCCAGCATGCCTCCACCAATACTTATTAGGTAATCATATAAATTGTTCTATGATTTAATATAAAATCAGTGTAATATTTAAAGAAATGTGTGTTCACAGTAATTTTTATATCAAATTTCTTACCCCTATATGCCATTTTAATGTATTGTCATAGATACAGAGACTGGTGTAAGATATGGAAGACAAAATTGAGTGACTTACATAAGATTGTTCCTGAGGTAACACTTGGGAAAATATGAGTTTGCAATGATTGTGTCCACTGTTTGTTAAACATTTGATTGTTTGTTTCATTTTAGCTATGCAAGAGAATCTAACAAATTAATAGACCTTCCAGATGATTACAGCTGCCTCATTAATCAAGCATCTAATTTCTCGTAAGTTTTTTATGCAGTTATGATGGTGAGCGTTAAAAGCCACTTGTTGCTTTTGATGAACGGAAAAATCTTCTAGCATGAGAGCCTTGAAAAGATTGTTTAGAAAATCATAAAGTAAATGGCATATGTTCACTGCCATCTTTTCCACTAATGTGCCTTATCTTCATTACTTATTTAAATGAAACATAAACTAAAAGGTTTGGGTGGGGGGAGGTATTAGAATCTGTAACTTCATTTAACTGGGGAAGTTTCCAGAATAAATTTGAATCTATTGATTACCATTTAAAGTACTGAGCTATAACTCCATAGTAAAGATTTAACTGTATTCACCTACCTGTATGGATTTTTTTTGTTTGCTTATGCAAAGGTGTCCAAAATCAGGTGGTGATAAAAGCAGAGCACCAACATTGTGCCTTGTATGTGGGACCATGCTATGTTCTCAGAGTTACTGTTGTCAAACAGAGTTAGAAGGGGAAGATGTTGGAGCCTGTACTGCACATACATATACATGTGGTTCTGGAGTGGGTATATTTCTCAGGTAAGGACTTCATTGTATCTAAATTTTATTAGTAGGGTACATGTTGTACATGAGCATGAAGTGAATATTTCCATAAATGTGACTGTTGTACTGTATGTAAAGACAATTATGTTCATAAAAAATAAGTTAATTAATAGTTGCACAAAAAATAGAGGTTTTTTTATCCTCATTGCACTTCAGAATTTTTAGGAGCTTTTATCTTTGAGGGAATAAGATCTCTTACAAGGTTCAAAGCTGAGCAGAAAAAGGATGTGTTCCATGTATTGTGTAACAGTTCATGGAAATAAATGAAATGATCATGGTAAACGTTCTATTTTTTCAGAAATCATGAAAATAACTTTGGTGTAAAACTTAGCTCTTAATTAATTTCACAGGAATAAAACTGTGGCATCAGATTATAATAATTCTCCCATCTGCTGACACAACAATACATGTGCATTGAAGGATTAGACCACACAACTTGTTTCAGGTTTTTCATAAACATTTGTTAATGAGAAGCCAATTTATTTATTTATTTATTTTTGCAGTGTTAAGTAGCTTCTAAACAGATTAGTTCAGGCATGCTGATATTTATGCTGTAACAGATAAAATGTGGAACAACATTTTGTTTGTACTATTTTATTACGTATATACTATACACATGGCATGGGAGGGATTACAAATATTTTTGAATGGTACTTACATTTTAATTCCACGGTATGTGGAGATTATATAGAATCACAGATACATGTGTGAGTTGCAAGAAGCTAATGTTCGTGAAAATACCAGAAATGTGGTCACATCACAAAGTTCATGACTAAAATGTCCTATGTGTCTCTCTGTGCAGAGTACGAGAATGTCAAGTGCTATTTTTAGCTGGAAAAACAAAGGGCTGCTTTTATGCTCCTCCCTATCTTGATGACTATGGAGAAACAGACCAGGGACTCAGGTACATTTTCTAAAGAATGTTTTAAAATATTCATTGAAACACTTTTTTTTACTCTCAAAAGCAGTTGGTTCATATAATAAGCTTAGTTATGTATTAAATAATTTATAACTAAGCTGCTAAAGTTGGGCAATAATGTAGTTGTGTGCTGCAGTAATGTCTAAAACAAACCTTTAAAAAAATATTTATTTTGTTAGAAACACCTGATGAGAAATAATTTACCTGGTATAAAGAGGTTTCCTGAAGGGTAAAATCTTGAATAATGTCTCCGCATCTCTGAGGTTCCATAGACAATACAACTGACAAATATATGTCCTACTTTTTATGCATAATTTGTTTATTAAATATAGTTAATTATGTATATATGTCTATATCAGATGAAAATCTCCTGTTGCAAGTTGACTTTATGTAGGTCTGCATGCTGGTTTCTGTGCTGAAGCCTTTAATCTTAGGGGGAGGAGGTAGCTTAGACTTCAGTAGCATTTACTCTTACTGGCTTTATAGGCAATGGAACCAGATCCTTCCAAATGGTCAGAATCATAAAGTGTAAGCTGGTGGTGGCATACAAAAATTGTTTAAAGCTCACTTCTATATTGCCCGAATCCTGGTGCTGCTTTGTACTTGCTGTTCCCCCAGCCCAGGAGCTGCTTGTAACTTATGCCAGCATTTAACAGTCACAGGGAACTAGAACAGGCCAAGTTTTGTGTGTCGTGAGGGTGGGTCGTCCCCCCCCCCGACCCTCCCCAATTCTGTATCAGTGTCACCTTTTGTCCACAATGCTGGCAGGAGATGAGCTGAATAGTGTTTTGGCCCATGCATTGTCTAGTACAGTCCTGCAAGGTCATTCTTGCCTGGGTCGGATAAATTAAGCTTGTGCTATACCACTGGTGTTATTTGACCATATAGTGGCACCTGACAATTTGATCCTCTATTTCCACTGGCTTCAGAGGGGAACATGCCTCACCTAAGCAGTTTTCTCAAAGTTTGCCATAATATGTACCTCACCTATAACCAGATAGTCCAAATATAGTGAGGTTGAGAAGCATGCCATGGTTGTCTCTCCTTAACTTCTTCTGCCTTTATAGATTATTTTTTCTCCAATATGCCTCCTACTGTGGGGGAGCATATGGCCCCAAACTAAGTTAGTATCTCTCCTCATCTTGAAGAGATGACATGTATCTACACAAATGTAAAGGGCTGTCATTTTTAATGATGCTCATTACGCAAGATGAAAATTTTGTCTGTAGAGCGTCAAATGAAATACTACAGGATCAAGTTACTTTGGCATCAACTCTCAATGCAATTTTTGCAACAAAATATTATATATACAGTAACATTAAAAGATTATGTAAGTGTTTTGTGTATTATTTGTGAGTACATAAGTGCTCTATAAGACTTCACAGTTGTTAGTTTCCTGATAAATGTATTTTTTTTCAGGCGTGGGAATCCCTTACACCTGTGCAAAGAACGGTTTAAAAAGATTCAAAAACTCTGGCAACAGCACAGTATCACAGAAGAAATTGGACACGCACAAGAAGCAAATCAAACACTAGTTGGCATTGATTGGCAGCATTTATAATTGGTTATCATCTGAGAAGACTGGAACTTTATTTATGATGATTTTTGTAACCCAGTAAATTTTTCAAATAAAAGAGGGATTAGGAAAAATTTTTTGAGGAAAATAAAGACACAATTCCAGTCCTTCTATTTAACCTTTGTTTTCCAGTTTATTTTGTAAAGATCCTGGTTACAATAACCATGTAAACTTTTTTCTATGTAAGCAGGTTTTACTAGTAGTATTATTTGCACTGTGCTTCCTTCACATGAAACCTCTTGGGGTATAGAACCTGGGCAAATGAACTTAAGTTTCTGGGACAAAAGAATGACTCTTCTTGGAAATCTGACTCTGATTTTTCTAATGAACTGCAAGAGGGAAAAAAACTGCTGAAATGGAGACTAGATTAAGCACAATTATTGATTGTGTTTTGCCCTTTGCTAGTAATCTGAGCCGGTTTACTTTATTTATTATTCTGCATTTTAATACTTAAACCGTGTACATGCAATGGAATAAAGTAAGGATGAAAATAATGTAGCAAATGGATGTATCTGTCTGCATCAGTGGATAACTCTTAAACTCGGTGTATTTAAAATTTATTTTTTAATTCGTATTCTTGCAGATTTTTTTGCCTTCCAGTTGATTTTCTTTTTACTAAAAGAACTAACACTAGCTTATAAGTAAAACAATTTAATTTAAAGCTATTTCTGAAGCATTGCACTCCTTACACCTATTGTGTGGTTTGCAATTTGAATATAGTAGGGAAACCCTTTCATTTTTCATGATGATTGTTTTCCCAAATTTAAAGGGTTGACGTGTTTTAGAACATATCTTAAGGCAATTGGCAATATATTAAAAAAAAGTTACATTTTTCTTCATTTTTGACTTCCATCTTTAAAGGAGCAAATACCACCTACATCTTATTGCAGTTTACTAATTTCAGGTCTTCAAATAGAAACTCTCAGACAAAAATGAACCATTTTCCTCTGCATATGAAGGACATCAGTCACAGAGCATTTGTTTACTCCTGTTCATTTCCTTTTAGTTGTACCATCAAGTACATTTACTTTCTGACATAGTAGACACTTGACTAAAGCTCTGTAAAGATGTTTGTCTATAGTATATTTTATAAATATATTCTATATCTGCACAGATTTTGCACTTGGTATGTAGGTGCCTGATGGTATAGTTGTATGTAGTAAATGCAATGTTAGACCCCCCAAGAAATCTCAAAATGACATGTTCTGATAAAAAATCCATAATCTTAATGCCTTCCAAGTTTTTGGTAAATTATTAAAACAATTTATTTACATAGTCCTGAGTTTTAATAATCAAAGTGATTCTTTTACTGAGGCTTGCTTTTGATTTCCTCTTCAGCCCAGACAAGCAATCCTTTAAGTGGCTGCTGTCTTTATTTACAATAGGTTTGATTGGGTTGTTTGTATTTTTACAGATTTAATGTTTCAGAATAATTCTGTATATGTCACAGTGTACAGGACAATTCTCCACAGGCTCAGAAATAGTCTTGAGTTAAGATGTAGACAATACAAAATAGAGAAACTGAACAATTATCAACTCCTATTTCTTAAGGCTGGTATTAGATAAGACATTCTTGTCTGTAACGGCTCTTTGATCTTCATATATACACCTCACTTTTTTATAAGAAAGCTGCAAAATCTGCAGGAAGAAAATCAGCATTAATGTTCCGTCAGTCTACCCTTCCTCTCCTTAGTTATATATCAACTTCTTGCTGTGCATGTCATAAAAGAATTTTCTTCTTCTGCAACACTATTCTTTTTACTGAAAGGCTTCCTGCTTCTGCTTTATTCCTCCTGTCTAGGGAACTTAGTTAAAATTGCATTAAAAAAATCAGTTTTATCATGGGTATATATATTCCAGAAATAACAAAATGGTATCTGCCACAATTCATTACACTGACAGATTTTCTGGGTAAATCAAAATATTGACAGAAGGCATTTTTCTCATTTTTCTGAGATGCAGAGGGTTGAATGGATTGATGGAATTATGGCTGCAAAAAATAGCAAAGTAAACAATTTATCCTGTTTTCTGTAAGATTAGTCATTCTTAACAATCTGGTTTCTTTTCTGATTTGTTTTGCATGTATTTATGTTCACTGTAGAAATATTTATATAACATGGTTTCAGTATCAGGGAAGAAATACCTGTAATAAATTGGCTATAACTTTAATATCTGTGGACTACTTGTAAAATTTGGAATGTATCATATGTAAAAAAAAAAAAAAAAAAAAAAAAAAGTAAAAAAGTTGGAAGTATCAAAATAAATGCTTTCGGTGTTGACATTAAATACTTTTATAATCTTTTATTTATTTTTAGAAAAAGTTTTGCTGAACTTTGGAATTGTTACCTTTGATTACCTTGTTGCTCCATAGTGTTAATCACAGGATAAGAAAAATACCTGGATATGCAACACCTGCAATTCCCTGACTAAAAATTTAAGCTGATTATAATATTAGTGTCAGTTACTTTAGTTCACTAACCCTGTCTTGACCTCTACCAAAAAGTCTGATCATCATTTAGCAGACATACATTTTTTAAAGAGCTGATTAGTAAACACAATTTAAACTCACTCGGAAGTAAATCAAATGGGGCAAACAAAGCCTGCTATTTCTTTCCCCAGGAGGTAGGATGTTGCCTTTTCTGTTGCAAACTACTATGTACGTAATTTTTTTTGTTTTGTTTAGAATTCAGGTCTATCCGTCCTTTGTGCTTCATTCATAGCTGTCCAGAGGTCTGGGTCTCTTCGTCTTGTTCATGTCTGCTAATTACCTGGTAACAGTTGTGCAGCTCAAAAATGTGAGTTATAACCTGTTGCATAACATTTGTAATGAATGAATGTCAGAGTTATTTAAGTTTACAACAACACATCTACTTAGTGAGTGAGACTCTTCTGAAGCCCCAAGCTTGTAGTAGAGAGAGCTTGCACAGAGTTTCCCTCCAAACCTGGTTCAAATTTTCCCACAAGGGCCTTCAGATCAGACCCTACCTTTTTCAGGCAAGATGGCACTTCTTTGCACTGTCCCTAACCTATCATGGGAAGCTGCCTCTTACTTTGGTGCAACAACCATATAGTGCAAGTTGTCTGCTGATGCCGTTGGTCCCCACAAGTCTGCATTAACTAACTTCACTGCTTTCTGTTGCTGGTTTCTGTTGGTGAAGAGTTGCTCATGCTAGCTCCACTGCAATTCTCTTCTGCACTCCCCCTGCCCCGCCCCGAGCTGCCGTGTCGTCCCCCCCCCCCCCCACCACTCATGCATGCTCTTGTATGTCCCTCAGAGGGCTTCCCATACTACCTTCTGCATTGGTTAGTCCAGGATCCTTTCTACAAACGAGCATTGGCAGGGAGATGGATTTGGAGGATCTAATAGGTCTGTAAACACAATACTGATGGGCCTCCATTTTTGATTATTTTCTTTTTGATTTCCTGGTAATTTCAGTGTTCAAAAATTTTAAAAAATTGTGAAAATAGGTAAAAACCAAAAACAGAGGTGGGGAGCTGTATTAATGGGGGCTAAGGGCATGGGGTGCTAGCTATATCACAGTTGAGAGCCTCCTGCTCCCTGCATCATTGGGCAGTCTTGACTGCCAGAACCCTGCTTCCTGCTTTCCGGACTCCCCTACTGCACAGAGGAGGTGAACAGGGCTGTGCTAAATGACTGGGATCAGGAGATGAAAGGGAGGCTAAACCCTGTAAGTACCAGCTCCCCTGAAAGAGAAGAGCCTCTTCCTGGGCCCAGACCTTCAGCACAGCCCCATCTGCTTCCTGTGCACATGCTCTGTCCATCAGAGGAAGCAGATGAGTCTCTGTGCTCTGGGGTTGCGCTGAATGGCTGGGATCAGGAGATGGCTCTGTTCGGCAGGAGTCCAGTACTTATAGAGTGCAGCTTTCCAATCCCTGCGGGCCTGACACTGCAGTGGTCAAGTAATCGTGGCTGCTGGGACCTGGCACCCTGCCTGTCTCCAAAAAATTCTCAGATCCTGAAAAAGCCAAAATTTGGGTGACATTTGGTAAAAAAACAAAAAACAAACTAAATACGAGTTTTAAAAAAGACCAGGAGTTTTACTAAATAAATTGGTAAATACCAAAAACGAAGGACCCTACAACTACACTAATAAACCTCCTTACCTTGGATTGGCTCCTCCTAGAAGGCGAACAGCTGGCTTATTTACAGCCCACTTAGTGGAACAATCTCCGCTCACTAAGGCTCTTCACCTGTGCATTTCCTTCAAGCTGTCTGATGTGGTGAGGACCAAATCTTCAGTCCCACTCCCAACACTTTTCTACATACCAGGAACAACAGCACAGATGTTGTTTTAGTCAAACAGTGACCTAGTATCCTAGTACCCAGGTATGAAAAGGAAGTCTCATTGGATGAAATATAAATGAACCATTACTACTTGTAGTCATTGGAGATCCCATGTAAAATTCTGCAGATAACTGATCTTTCTGTTTGCTGATTGTTCTGAAAAATCAAAGAAAATCATTTATTTTAAATGTTTGAAAAATTGAAAAATTCATTTCTGGTCAAACAAACCTGTTTAGATTTTGAGCTTTTAACATTTTATTTTTTTAAATTGATGATTATTTCAAAATAAAGTCACTTTGAAATGTTTCATTTTGAAAAGAGCAAAAGATTTGCGGGGAGTGTGTTTTGCCAAAACAATTGGGCAAAACTGACATGACTTCACAAAACACTTTGGTTTTGTCAAATCTACGTTTTTTGCTAACAGAGGGAAAAAAATAGGCTAAAAAATTTCACCCAGCACTAGTCCCATAGTACTTTGTGCATAAGCGTTTAGTGTTCTTGCCAAATTCTTACTCTGGTATTTTGATTTTACTAAATTCTTCCTGTCTTCTTGAGCTGGATGTTAATCTTCACTTGTACTGCTAAACAGCTGCCGCAACCCATTTCAGAGGTAAAATACCTACCTACCACTTGGGGTATCAAAGGTGTGATTCAATAACCTAAGTTTAATTAAAGATAAGTGTGTTGTATCTAAAAAATTGCCAAACTATGGTTCTACTCCTGCAACTAAGCAAGTGCCTGGCTGCAGCAGCCCATCCATATATTATCAATTTTGGTATAGGAGCCTAAATATTTACATTTCTGGGCTCAGACTTCCTGTGGAAAGCTTAGAGCACATTTTGCAGCTGATACAAACTTCAAGACAACAGATATTTTTGAATAGTACAAAAGTTATAATAAATTTAAGTATTTTTTCTTAACTAAAATGAGAAGTTCAGACCTAAGGAGAGGTGAGTGAAATTTTAAGGTCTCTTTTTGTTACATTTCATTTTCTGATGACAATATAAATCAGTACCAAATGATCCCAAATTAAACCTATAGTGGCATAACTTCATGGAAAGGGGAAAGAAATTATGCAGGGAATTTGTAGCACCAGTACTGTCTCTGTCCTTGGTTTATTTGGACAATTTTAGAGTAATTGCAAAGCAAATTAAGCATGCAGCTGCACTCATATTTTACATGCAGGATGGTTCAACTACATGTTTCATAATCTCTAGCTGTTAAGTCTGAGACTAATGATAATTTAATGTGCCACTAGGATAAATGGGACATTTCATTGCTCTTAGAACCATTTTTTGTCTACCGAGCTACATTAGTTTCTGTACAAAAGGCTACTTTTGCAAGTAGCAGGACTCAGTTCTTTTTTTTAATGGAAGTTTCGCATTCTGCAGAATACGAAGGTGTCTTGGGGCTAGATAAATATATCAAGTGGGCTAGATCCTAACACCCCTTTATCTAGGATATGTTTGAGAGAAATAATGGTTCATTTAACATGATTATTCACTTCTATTTCATTGGAAGTTGTCACATTCTGAAACTATTTCTGTGATCTCTTACTTCTAGAATTATGCTTCATTTTTCTTCTCTGATTTTTAATGGGAGATCTTACCATGAGTCAATTTGGGGAAGTATGTCTCTCATACTTGACACTTTCTGTCCCACTGAAGCAAAATGTGGTGTGTGTATATATCCTGCTGGTTAAAGTTGTTCTTAGTGAGTTTCAGGTGTGCCTGGTTTCTCCTGATTTCTGTTTCTAGTTGATGGTCACGGATTCTGTTTTGGGAGGAGGGGGCAGTCTGACATTCTCTCTCTCTCTCTCTCTCTCTCTCTCTCTCTCTCTCTAATGCATTGAAATTCAATAGCCTCATGAGGAAGTACAAAGCTTTAATTAGATCTGTTGCAGACCTGCCAGATAGTCCTTTTGTGCCGACTTTTCATAGTGCATTTAATTCTAATGCTGGCCTTTTCT